GTACGTGGTGGCCCGAACGTGCTTGGAGGGAGGGGGGGGGGGGGGGGGGGGGGGGGGGGGAGTATGTACGGTCTTGAAAGTGTGGTGCGAGGATTCAATTCTCGGGTAGAGAGGTACCAACAAAACAACGCGAGTTGACACCCGCATGAGCGTGATTTTCTTTTCACGGGACTTGCCCTCCTCGGCTCCTTGGTTCGATTCATGTTTCCCTTGTCATGTTGCTACTGGCTGATTGAAGGAAGCTCGCCCAATCCCCTCTTAACTGATCGCGCGTGCTTTTTGGGCACTTGCTTCTTTCCCTTCTCGATCGGGGTGCACCTTGTACTCCCTCGAAGATCAGACGGGGGTATACGTCCCGTTCGCACAATCGAAGCCAAGGCCTGGGTTCAGCGACGCCGAGGCATTCAGGCAGATCACCGTCGCCGGTGTGAACGTTTCTGGAAACACCTGGATATTCTCGAGCGCGAAGTTCTTGCAGGAAGTGTTGGTGTTGCACTCGATGATGATGGCCTCGGTGTGTTGAAGGTTCGGCAGTCCGACATTGTACCAACATGGCTGTTAACATCGCGGTGGTCAGCCAGTGTCATTTTCTGCCGGGAGTCACGGTTCTTGCAACAGAGGGAGGGGGTCTGTGGTTATTGGGCAGCAACTTACATCGCTGACGCAGGAACCATCACCTGGATTAAACGTGTTGATTGTCCCCGTGAAATTCGCCCACGTGAAGTCTTCCATGTTGACGGTCGAGTTGTTCGGTCTTCCAACCGTCGTTCCATTCTCGATCTGAGTCTGTGCGGATCCCTGGTTCACGTACGTCTGCGTCACGAAGATCGGGAATGTCACATTGTACACCCTGATGTTGGACCAGGTGATGTTCCTCGCCAGACCCTTGCCTCCAATCCAAGACTTGAACCGAGAAGCATAGACCGCGTTTATCACCGTGATGTCGTCGAATTTGACATTTGAGACATTGGCCCACTTCGCTTGGTTCTGACCCAGAGACCCGATGCTCATCCCGTGACTCTGATAGCCGATGGTGCCTCCTTGAAACAGGATGTTGCTGGCTCCGGCTTGCACTGCAATCGCATCGTCCCCGTTGAATATGACGCTGTTCAGGATCTGGATATTGCTCCCCCCGACATCGAACCCGTCTGTGTTGAAAGGGAACCCTTCAGTCGCGGAGACAGCGTCGATAACTGTGTCTGAAATGGTGACATTATTGCCACTCACTTGGACTCCCCATGCAATCGGCTTGCGGGATTTAAAATATCTCATGGAGCCGTTGGTCGTGTTGAAGCTCATCAGATGCGGTCGTGACGGCGTTCCACTGCCGTTCTTGGGATTGGCGTCCCACCAAGCCTGACCGTAGCTGTCAATCCAGCCATTAGTGACATTTTGCGTACCGATATAGTTGATGGAAGGACCTGAAAAAGTGAACCTGTGTGACGTCAGCGGGACAAGGCAAATCGTCTCTGAGAGGAGTACCAGTAGAGGGCGGAGGCGTTGGTTGCGGCTGTTGTCTTGTTCACAATCTCCTGGATAGCGGTGATGTTCTTGGGGAGATGGATGTTGCCCTGCATCCGGATGACGACATTGGAGAGATTGCTGGCCACAATGGGCTGAAGAACGTTGTAGTCGACTCCTTCACTGAAAACGATCGTCGAATCTTCGGCACATTTTGCGAACGCCGCTGCAACCGCAGGGGAATCATCAGCCTTGCCACCTGAAGATTTGTACTTGGAGGTAACTGTGCAAGTGTTGTGCCCGCCGCCGCTCTGGCGGATTTCCAATGATGCTGCCCATGCCACCAGTTGCAACAAAACAGCAGCAAGTATGGTTCTCGACATCATGCTGGGCAGGGCTCGACGTTCTCAATTAAGGTCTTGGAGGGGTCTTTTTTGCGAGAAGCATGCGAGCGGAGGGTGCATTGATATATTCGCCTTTCGCCATCCCCATTTTCAACGTAGTATGATGCGTATGATCTCCATTGCCTGGGGAAGGCCGTTGACTCCCCTGTCGATCCATCTCCTTCATTCCATTTGCCGTCACCACCGTCCACCGCCAGAGTAGGATGTGGCAGGTCAACTCCAAGTCCTAAGATCGAAGAGGAAGGTGGCCAAAGTCGTTGAGGAGGTGACTTGTTTGGGGCTCGGCATGGATCCCGCCGAGATGACCATGCGGTGCATGTTCTCGTCTGGTTCCTCCGCAAATGGTTGTCAAACCCAAGTCGGAGAGAAAAGTGCGGGGTGCAGCAGGATGCGGGGCGCCAAGCCAGGTCGGGGCGAGAGAAGTCCGAAGTTGCATCCATGCCGCCATCTCGCCCATCGGTTGTCAGAAGCATAATACGCTGGAAAGAAGGAGAGAAATACAATTTACATTATCAATCACCGGCGAGAGAATGCTTCACGATCTCCGTCAGCTGAGGGAACGACACAAGAAACCAAGGCTACGCTGTGGCGTGCGGCTGTAACCGCTCCTCCGCGACGGTCCGCCATCCAAGTGCCAAGGCGCTAAAAGGCTTCACATCTTGGCGTGCGCGGGAAACAAGCACACAATCTTCAATATGCCAGTGGCGCTGCGGACACCAAACTTGGAACCAGAAGTCTTCAGCTTTTCTCTTCACACTTGCGTTGACCCCTACCTTTTGGGACGCTCACTCTGGACCAAAATTCGCGTTTTATCACTATCGCCTTGAACCAAACACCATATTCAATCAATATATATTCATAACCATATAACGACATTGCCCAGTTGGTCGCAGGGATCCAACACTCAAGATTTCCCCGCCAGCCGCATATACTGCTCTACGGCTGGGGATTCTGCAACAGTGAGAGATGCGATTGTGGGTGGCCTGCTTCGCCTCTTCCTTTGCACGCTCGAATTGACCGGTACGCCGTCCTCTCGACATCGCACGTAGAAATGGGGATGCTGGTTTCGCTCCGTCGGACTCGCCCCCACCTTCTGCATATCGACTTGCCACTTCTTTGCCAGGAGGCCGCCGCTAGGTCCCGCTCCACAGGTCCCGGACATTGTATTTGAGGGCGGCGAGTTGATCGCCAGCGCGAACATGTTTTGCGGCTCGGTGTAGTCCGTCACCCTGCCAAGCAGGCAGAATGTCCACAGCAGGTACACGAGGCTGAAGCTGCTGAGCAGGAACACGGCCACGAGGATGACGTAGAAGAGATTCTGCCACTCCTGGGTCCCTCCGGAAGCATAATCCTTGTAGCTCACCTTTGCTTTGAAGTTCTGATACTGTGGCACGTCGAGAATTGGGACAGAATAGTTCCAGAAGTGAACAAAGGGCGAGTTGGACGACGACAACAGAGCTGTTTCGCCGGCCAAAACCGCCAAAGCCTCGCCAATAGTGGGCATGTCTGAAGTTAAGACGGTAGGATTGCCGTCAGAATATGCAGGAATCATTTGACTAAGAAGGCGAGCGCTCGACGCGTTGGCGTCGTTGACTCCGGCAGTAAGAGAGAGGGATCGAAGCCATTCTGCGCCGACGTCTTTCCAATCTGCCTGCCAATTCCCAATCACCGCATCCTTGACTGCGTCGACATAAGGAAGAGTGTTGCCTGTGCTCTTGTCGCATTCAACCGACAGCTGACCGCCTGACTGGGCGACGCGATAGTACGTGGTGCAGTTGCGATATTGAGCAGACTTCATGGAGCACAAGACGTAATCGTTGGTCGGGTATTGTCTTTTGTCAACTGGAGGAGGGGCTGCGAGGAGATAAATGGCATCATATCCGTATGCGCTAGAGATAAATCCGAGTGTGTTGTATTCGATTGGAAGTTTCGGAAAGACAGGTGCCTGCTGCACGCCGTCGTAAGGGCCAGTGGTTCCAAAATTGAAGATGTCGTCGACAGCCGTGGGACGCGGGAAATATGTGCTTGGATCTGTGATATTTGAAACATTGACAACCAGGGGCGTCAACTCCGCCGTAGACATGCCTACACATAAAACATTGATCAGAGGCGCTGGTATTGCAGCTTGGATGAAGTACTCCCCGTTTCCCTGGAGGTCCTCTGGCTGTAAAATGTGGTTCTTGGAATCTCGGGCAGCATTGAATAGGTTCGCATGAGGCATCGCCAACGTGACATTTTGCACGAGTCTCCCCCAGCGGACCGAGTCGGCTGTGATGTTTTCACGACTAGGAGTGATCCATTGGCCTTGAACCGTGGTATTGTCAAACAATGTGGCGACTGGTTCAGGGCGCCCGCCGAAGGAGCTTGGATCAGAGCTCGTATTGCCAACCTTCAGTCTCTCGCGCCAGTCCGACATGAACGACTTGAAGTTGTGAAAGCTTTGTCCGGCATAGTCAATCTGGAGACACGTATCGCCCTCGGGATGGGGCCCCACGCCTTCCGGGTCAGGGTCTTCTTGCACAGGCGTTTCGCAGCTTTGGGCCAGCCAGATGGAGTTGGCGTACGATGCTGACACTTGACCCCAGAGGGTTCGGTCTTCAAGTGGCCCAAACTTTGGCTTTGGCGCCACCAATGCTTCAGCGGCGGTGGTGTAGAAGGTTGCCGCCAGGACAGCAATCAGGACCATGATGCCGAGAACAGTGGAGGCAGCATATCTCACCACTATCCAATTCGTGATAAGCGTACCGGGTTGCATGACCCACGACCTCATGGTCATTTCTGCGATGCTGATGCCGCTGTTTCGGTCGGTCTTTGCAAATGCGCGGCGACTCAGAATCTGACCGAGAAGCGCCACAAAGATGGTGACGAAGGATAGCTCGACTGTTTTTGATAGTAGGGCGGATAGAAGGGTGGCATTCCCAAAGGAGAGATGTCCGTTGGTGCCAATTCTTTCACCCCATCGTGGTTTTGCAAACGCGATACCAAGGAAGACGGCAGAAAATACCGTCGAATAAACCGCCAGTGCCAATATCGATATCGTCCACCATGACCATGGGCTTGTCAAGATGTCGCCGTGAGTCGGACAATTCTCGTCAATCCTGCTATGTGTATGCAATAGTCCGACTTCCGGGGAGAATTCTTGCGAGGTCTGTTGGTCGAGTCGGCTGTATGATGATCGGTCTGATCTGAATGATTTCCCGTCTTCACTAGGGTTGGTCGTGTTTTGATAAGGAGTACTACGGCTAGGACCCAGTAACAGGGAATCGGGCGCCGTTACAGTACTCGTGAAACCATCTTTGCTGGTGAAGGATTGACCTTTAGAGCCAACCGGGACGCGCTTCACTTGCTTCGACAGGCCTGAAATGTTCAATCCGACGACGGGCCCCTCGTCCCACTCGGCTGGAGGTGCGAGATTCTGGAACTCATGATCTTCTTGCGGCGCTTGCTCGTAGCTTCTCTCCGGCAGCAGCGACGAGTTCTGGCGCCGAAAAGACCGTCGAGCATGGAAAACGTCATATTCGTCCCCATCCATCGTAGGTAAAGCTGTCCTTCAAGCTTCTAGCTCCAGGACACACTCGAGGATGATTTCTGAAGGTCTAGAAAGCACTGATCCCGGCAGAAGTAGAATCGGGGGCATGGTGGAGACGGCCTCTAAAACTAGTAAATGGTGAGGCTGAAAGATGTAGGACCTTTACGCTTCTTCATCTACCCCATGTTTGACCTGGCGCAAAGAACCAGACTCTCCGACGATAACAGTTGCGTGTTATCTTTCCTTCTGGCCCCAGCCGAGGGCCGCTAGAAGCACAGGTTCGCCATGCCATGCTGTCCCATGGTGTTCCGCTAGGTGCCATTCAGTAAAGACCTAGCGACGAGGCGCACACCCAAGCACGCACACTTATGCATGATTGAGCTGAGCAATTGGTTTATGGCTTGATGGGGGTGGTGCAGGGTGGGTTGGGTGCGACTCGCTCAATGTTGATGGACAAACAACGGTTTGGGTATCGGTGCTTCCAAGCCGCACCCTCGACTGAGCCAAGTTGCATTCCATCATGATCCAAGGTATGTACCGAGTATCTGCATGTCTTGTTCTAACACGCACGCACTTGTGCTGTGGTCGCTCTAGCGGATGTCCTAGGAGGAGATTGAGCAGTGGAGAGCGCGGTTGCGGTTGCTTCGTCCGGCATCTCAAACACGAGGTGGGCCTCACTAGCCATGAGCCCTGGGCGCGTGGGTGTGTTGCCGGGCTAGTGAGGCTCACTAGGCTGCTAATCCAACAGTAATTTGCCGCTGGTGCCGCCGCTATTCATAGGTGCGTGAGTTCCAAGACATCGGCTCGAAAAATGATCTTCTCGAGCGGTGCTCGGGTACGGGGAAATCCAGACTTCGCTACGGTCGTCCTTCTTTTATGCACCCTCAGTATCGATGCGCTAAGACCGCCATTGAATCCTTCACGCAACTAGGTGAGTACCTATGGAGAATGGAGTACGGAGTACTCGGGATGAGGTATAAGACTGGGGATCTGCCTGGCCATGGTGATGACCGTGCAGTTTCAGGAGCCGCCAGGCCTGAAATGGGCCGCGCCCGTACGAAGCAAGGAGAAGACCCCCCCCTCCCGCCAAAGCTGCTGTCGCACAGAGGTCGTTTACGTGTTGATGTTGAGCGGGGATTTGAACGCCTGCAGCATGATACCAGCCGTGTCTCTCTGTGCATCAGCAGATGCTTTGAGATATGCATTGACTAGGTATGTACAACAAGATTCTGGTCCGGGGTTCCCTCACCATCGAGATCCTTTACATTTTTGGCCAGCGCCAACAGCGCGAATTTAAAGGTCCACCCTGTGGTCGAAGGGGACTGTTGTACTCAGTACTGGATATTAACCCGGAGTACTCATCTCTTAGCACCATCATGGACGGACCCGGGCGATCATCTCCGTTGCTACCGATTTGGGATTTAGGTATAGGACCAAAATCTTCGTTTGGACCGCGTCTCGACCGTGGCGGCAGAGCCTTGGGATGCCGTATTTCTCTTCCAACAACCGATCACCCCGTCATCATCCAATCGGAGCTTGTTATAGGGTTACAAACAACCTCATGCCAGGACTTGGCCAGGAGAATCTTAGCGGCTTAGTCAAAGCAAATACCACAAATATCCTGAGAACTTTGGATTTCGTATCTCGCATCCTATCGTACCTGGATGCGCAAACGAGATTCTGCCGCTTTGTGGTGATGTGGACCTCCAGGCCAAGCACCACGAGGATGACGGCTCTCCATCACAAGGTCCGGACAGACTGTAATACAGGCAAGTAAGTTTGTATCCCACCGTTCCTCGCACTGGCTTACGGTCTAAGGCGACGTCGGGTCAAGTGCGACGAAACCAAACCTGTTTGCTTGAATTGCACGAGAGGGCATCGTCAATGTCGAGGTTATTCGATCCCAAAAGCCAAAATCTTCACCTTGGAAAGTCGCGAGAGTTCGTCTGAACAGTCATTATCGGGTCCATCTTCACAGACAACGGCTTGCGGTAATGAGCCCACAGTGTCCAGGGCTCTCGAATGGTCATTTGGCACCGACGGGGAAGTCCGATCTCTACAGCACTGGCTTCTCGTGACATCGCCAGTGTTGGCTCATTATGGTCCACAGGGGGATTTCTATACTGTACTTGTTCCACAAGTCGCTCGGCAGTCTCCTGCCGTCAAGCATATGCTCGTTTCTCTTTCCCTGACGCATGAAAAGTTTCACACCGAGGTAGCGACTGCCACCCCTGAAATGACCTCACAGGCTGTTTCCCACTATATCTCAGCCATCGCAGATATCAGAAACAACAACCCGCCGAAGCTTAATGTTGTCATTGCTTCTCTTGTTGACTGGGCCATGGAGCTAGTCCAGAACAACGTTCCAGCAACCGTGGCACACTTACGTGGAACGTTCAAACTTCTTCGGGAGTACCAGCAGTTGAAACCTCCTCGGTCAGCGGAAGACATTCTACGAAAATCAAATCTACCAATGGCAAGCCTTGCCAGAGGGTTAACTACGCTGATGATCCATACTGGACCTAAATCAGGGGAGATAGAGCCGCAATATCGCGGCCATATATGCCAACCTTGGGGAGGGCCAGAATTTTCGTCCTTTGCCGAAGCGAGGAGAGTCGTCTGTCAATATGTCGAGAAAATTGCCGAGGCTGAGCATGGTCATAATTTACGAGAGATTGAGAAACTGTTGGGCTATTGGTTCGAAGGCGTCCGGCGATGGGACCAAGGAAAAGTTCCATTTCCCAGTTCCGTCCTGACGGTGCTCCTCATGCTATTCAATCTCGCATTAGCTCTTCTCCCAAGCATTGATTTGGCTGGATTCAGCTATTCGGTCAACCCAAGTACCATTGACTTTGTGGTCGACAAAGCCGCCACGCTTACGGACATCTGTCTTGAGGCCGAGCAGGGCAATAAAGATCTAAAGGACACGTTGATCCTTGTGCTTGCATTCGTCATCCGTCTCTTCCCACACTCGAAGAGCCATGGTCGGGCATCATTGTTACTAAAACAACTGCGTGGACAGGTATGAGGAGGATGCTGGATCGGGCGGAAGCTATGCGTTTGCATGCAGGAGCCACGCAGCACGGACAACTGCAAGCAATTCGAATAGTCTAGAGAAACTTCGAACTTGCCAGACACATCAAAGTGCGCAGAAGCAGTATGGGTAGCGTCTTCACGGCGCAGACAAGATTTTCTTGTACCGGTCCAGACATCTGCATGATCAGTGACCGAAGAGCCACGACAGGCATTTCCCGCCACCTGGTCAAATTCGATGATGGGGTGATTGACTTTGAGTCGACCTCGGGGGCTTCTTTGATGCGGTCAGACTGCCCGTTGCAAGTCTCGTTTTGACGTCTTGGAGGCCCATGAGCCTCAGGGCCGCCTCCGATTTTGGTGACAGTGAAACGGTACATGTCGAAGATTGACAGGGTTGGTCGACCTCCTCGCTGCTTATCAGTGTCGTTGACAAGAACTCAATATTCTCGACAAACAACTAGCTTACGGATCCTTGATTCTCTATGGCTGCTTGGTGCTATTTTTGAACACAACGGCGTTTTTATCATGCGAAAGCCTTCGTCGCAGCCACAACAACCAGATCCCGAAGACAAATACAGTCAGAGGTATGGCAGTGGCAGGCAATATCCACCACATCTGCGACACGCTGATGCCGTTGTTGTCGAAGTTGAACACAACAGTGCTCAGGAGCGACTATACTGAGTGTCAGTCATGGGAACAAGTGTTTCAGAAACCGGATACCACCTAGGGCTTTGGCAGCTGGCGGATATCCCATCGCATACCGACACGAAAGTTCCGGGAAGGAAGAACATGGTCACCGCGGCAATGGTGATCATGGATGCGCTGTCACGTTGAGTCTGCTGCGCAATTCTTGCCGTGAGTTCCGCAATCTCCTTGTTCTGCCCCGCTATCTCTTTGTTGTCTCGACTCTCGGCCTGGTTGGCAAGGTGGAAAAGCTGTCGTCCCACGTCAGTAAACGTCTTCTGTTGCTGTTACCAGATGGCCAGGGTCTTCTCACCAGGTTGATCTGCGTTGCTGTACGGTCCCTATAGTCCGCAACGAGGTGTCTGAGGGACCGGCAGCTTGACATCAGGAATGCCATCGAGTCCCTAGACCCTTCAATGGGCTGACTTGCGCTCTGTATCTGACCCTCGGCAAGAGATGCATACCTCATCTGCACATCCCGCAAGAAGTTGAGATGCGGTTCAAACTCCGAGACTTTCCGAAACAGAATATGCCAACTCCGAGAGAGGCGGTGCAGCTCCCTGATCATCGAATCGACGGCCTCGTGAGGCTCGTTCGCTTCCTAACACCGAAGTGAGGACTTCTTCATCTTACATATCCGTTTTGGAGGGAGAGGGAATTCCTTACGAATCGCTTCATTCGGCCTCTGGTGGTCACCATTTCCCGCTGCCATGATTTCAGCGTCTCATCAGCGATGACAACGTCCAACCTGAACGGAACCAGCAGGTCATGCTGGGCAAGTCTCGGAACAGCCGAGGAAGGGAAATTAAGACAGAAATATGTCGACGAGCCAGTTTCAAGGGACGTCGAAACCTGCGTGCAGGCACTGGCGGAGGGCGCGTATTCGTAAAACAGATCTATGAGAGAAAGGGGGAAAAATGGTTATAATGCTTGACCTCAACGATTGTGGCTGACTTGAAGGGGGGGGGGGGTCTCGAACCAAGTGATTGGGCCTTTCCCTGCTTGTCCCGACTAATAAAGTGGGCGTGCTTCACTGTATACCAATGTCCCAGCCCGCAGACAGCGGTGATCAGCAGGTCTGAGAGTCCCGCTCGATCTCGAAGCAGTCTGAGGATTGTCGGATTGACCGCGGCGTCGCCGATCTCAGTGCTCGTGCTCCCGGGCCCGAGGCTCTGGAGGAAGCTATGCTCGTCGTTAGTTATGCTCGGTGGTACGCCCTCCATCAAGCATGGGGGAAGGGGCTCCAGGGAGGTGGTGACGGAGGGCCGAAATACAAAATACGCAGGGAACATTTCTCCCGCGGAGCATCTGAGTCGTCCTGTATTGCTCCCAGTTAGTGATCAATCAGCCAGTCAATCGGGCTACCTAGGGTCGCTTTGGCAGGTCAACACCCCTAACAGCAGAAGCAGGGGAGGGTGATGGGTGATGGGTCATAGACTCACCGACAGGAACCTCTCGAGGGCCCTACCGTCCAGATCGCGGTGCCATCCTAGCAAATGCCCCCCCAAAATGAGCATCGCGATTCTTGAAGACAACCAAAGTGGTACATATACAATAAGAAGGGAAGACAACAATAGCACAACTCATGCATAGTGTTTATCTAGCCCCTTATTCAATAAGAAATAGTTGAAACTCACGAACGATCCCATCACGGTTGCCGTTGTCATTGTCATTGTTGTCGTTGTTGTTGCTGACAAAGTCAAGCACGTCCACGCCTCTCCACTGAACCGTCCAAGACTCCCTGGCCGTCAAGGCCTGCTCGAGCTCCACCGCGTCCACTATCTCGGGGCAATGTGCACTTTTCCGCCTTCGTGCGGCCGTGGTTGTGGTTGTGGTCGTGTCTATACTGCGGGTGCTGCTGCGGCGGCGCCCATGTGGAGTTTGTTGCAACTCATACGACGACGACGACGACGACGACGCGGTACCGTGATGATGGTCCTGACCATCCTCGTAGCCTTCCATTCGGGTTCATATTACTTGAAAGCATAGCGTGAAAGAATGGCCATGATGTAATCATTTGGCCTTGATGGAAACAAGGAAGGCCACGTAACGGACGGATGATTTCTTGTCCTTTTGTCTGTTGGGTTTTGGCCCCCGGCGCTATCGTTGTGTTGTCACGTTCATGCTGTCATGCATGGGGTGCCTTCTTTGCCTGGCCGCGCAGTTAGTTACTTGGTTAGTTACCCAAGGTTACCTCATCTGGCTGGGCTAGCAAGAGAAGCTACCGCGGGCATTTCGAGCGGGATACTGCCGCCGGAGGGAGAGACGTGAGACGAAAACCAAGGACCTGCACTCCCCTGCGACGACGCAGATATCTACTTGCTGTTCCTACCGTTCGCTCAGGGATGCGGTGATCGCGCCGATGCAATGACCCCTGAGGTGTCAGCCTTGTCCTGCCCAGCGGTCCCAGTTGATGCCTAGCTATGTAGCGCCCGCTAGCCTTGGCGGTCCTAGATGTACACGGCTATTCCTCGAGCAGGCACTGCGAGGAGCAGTGAGATACCTTACTCATAGGTTTCCTAACTTGTAGTCAGCCGAGTCTACCAAAGAATGGCAAGTTTGAAGCGAAGCGGGCACGCGCGGTCCGTGACCAAGGACTTACACCGTCGTCCTATCGAGTGAGATTGCGAATGTCAAGTGGAAAGAAACTCGAGGAGCTAGTGTAGGGCATCCGATGTAGGGGGAATGGCATCGAAAGGATGCTGTTGATATTTGCAATAATATTATGGTCAATGCCCGAGACCTTGCAACAATTAGCCGGATTCGCGAGAGAAGAGACCGCGAGAGCTCAAATACTCCACCGCCGAACAAGAATGAATAGTGAAGAGCACTGTCGTTCCACTTTCAATCCCCCATAGACGCAGTCTCCGCTATTGTAAAACATTTCAGCCTTGCAGGGGAGCTTGGTTCAGCCACTGTGCGTGCCATTCACGCCATTCACGCGTCCGTTCACATCACTCGGCCTCCAATAAGTATATACTTTCGCCTCCCAGTGCATCAAGGGCTCTTTTCCAACCCACTCGGCTGGCACTGCCCGGTTCTGCGTGATCTCTCTCCAGTCGTTGCGATCTCGATTCGGCCAGTTTGGTACGTAGTACTGTGGCCCTGGAGTGTCGTTGTCTGTGAAGTTGGCAACAACAACCACTGGATTGGTTGTTCCTCGCACCCAGGCTATAATCTTCCCGCCGCGGCTGTTGTCAACGTGGATGAATGATGTGTCATCCAAGCCAAGAGCAGGGCAATTTTTGCGGAGGTCAATGAGCGTTGCAACGTAATTGAAGATGCGGGTCCGCCAGTCGTCACCCTTGCGCTCATAGTTGACGGGATCGGATTGTTTCTCGCCGATAACAAGGTCCATTTGGTCACAAAATTCCTCACCGGCAAAGATCATGGGGATGCCAACGGCGGTGAGAAAGCATGCGAATGCGAGTTTGGCGCGCCGCTCGATGTCGTCGACTTTGTTATTGGACAGGAAGTTGAATAATCTTTCCTTCCGATAGCCCTCGACATCGTGCGAAGTGATGTAATTGACAGCTTGAGCTCCGTCCGAGAACCCGTCCAAGGTGCAATCGATCATCTTCCTGACCGTCCACTCGAAGTCGTCATTGTCAGCTTCTTCGCCTAGTATTGCCGCTCGAAGGCGGCCCTGGAAGGGTTCGTTCCATAGTGCGTTCAGGGTCCCAGTGGTGAGAAGATCTTTGGGCACGCTGAGCTCTTCCCCGATGACGATGAACTTGTCGGTGGAGCCGTTCCGCGCCTGGTGCAGCTGCCACGCGTAGTCCTTGTAGTACTTGATAAAACCATAGTTGGCGACATTATTGATACTATCGAGTCTGAAACCAGAAACGCCAAAGTTGAGTAGCCAATGGTGAAGATGGGCCCTATGGAAAGACCATGACGGATGCACCAAGGTTGCTTGACCTGTCTGGGGATCGTACGTCTGCGTATTGTCCTCGACATACCGCCAGAGACTCCCTCCGTACGAGTTCCTTGGTCCTTGGTTGTGGGACGTATAGCTGTCCTGATTGTCTGGTTCCGCAAATTTCCGCAACGGGTCGCCAGCGTTGAGATCAACAAGATGGAACTGCATGAAAGCCGCATATATATAGGGGTCGTGGCCAAAAGCCATGACTGTGTCCAGAATGAGCCTTGTGTTGGGAGTGATTGTTTGAATGAGCTCAACAAGGCTGGCGGTCGAACCGAGATCAGAGTCCGGGGCGAAGTAATGAGCAGTTGAGTATCCCCATTGATCCAGATACTTTGAGTCGGCGATGGGCAACAGTTCCAGGGCATTGATTCCAAGGTCGGCCACGATAGACTCATTCTGAACGGCGGCGATGCTCTTGAATTTGAGACCCGGGGTTTCTTTATCGAACAAAGCCTGGACGTCAGTAAAAGTCCCTCGGTCGACTTGCAATCCGTTCGGGCCGGATTTCGCCCACGAGGGTGGCAGTTCGTAGATGACCATGTGGTTATTTGCCGGAACTTGGGGTTGAACAGGAGCAGGAATGGGCACCAATTCTGTGCCGTCGACATCGCACGGCCAAAGCTTCCCGTCACGGAATTTGATGACTGCTGGTGGCTGCATATCATCTTTCCTTTGTTGGTCCCCAAATTGCCTGTAATCCACGGTGTAGGCCAGAGGGTCCGTCACAGTAATTTTGCCCGAGTTTAGAGGGAACGTGTTGTCCACTTCGAACCAGTAATGGTAGACCTTTCCATTCTCCAGCGGTGGATCTATGGCGTCAAGAGAAAGCTCCCAGAGATCTTTCTGCGTCTGTGACAGGTCTCCACTGAACAAAGTGGTCACGGCGCCAGGACTTGGTGTGTCTTTGAAAGTCCCGAGAATCAATCGCGGCGCAGACTGGCCAGCTGGATTCCAGAGAACGAATCGTTCCTTTCGACGTTCAAGCAGGTCAAAGGTCGTCGCCATGATGTGAATTTGTAGGCAGAGGATGGAGGAGGTGAGCCCTCCGAGGCACTGGGGCTTCGTGGTCGTACTATTTAAGGACTCGTGAGGCGTAGGCTAGAATGGTCTGCTCTTTCAGCTGGGTCTGGCTGGCTGAGCTCCGGTTGGACTTTGGAGCTCTGGAGCTGTAAGACCCCTGCCAGGGTCAAGCAGGGTGTAGCAGGACAAGCTTTGAGCAGTGGCACTAGCATGGATGAGATGTCGGAACGGGTCAAGTGCGAACGTTCAAAGGCCCGTGAATGTGCGGTCTGGGCTTCACGTGCGCAGCCAAATGCAGCCGAGGCGAGCAACTGGCCTCCTAATTCGGCAGGAGCATTTCGCAGCTGAGCATTCTCACTCTTGGTACTATCTTCCTCCACCAGACTTGGTCAGACCGTGCATCTATGAACAGAGAGTGGTCAGCCAGCCATGGACTCGTATCTACCATCAAAGTTGTTCATCGACAGATTAGGATGTGGCCGGGCTCGTACTGCGCCTTGACTTTTCATCGCGGGTAATCTTGCGTCTTGACAACACCCTCCTCTCCCACCCGTCCAATGGACTGATCTCGACTTCTCTCACGAGCTCATAGTTCCCAAGTCGCGGCAACAGGACAGCCCAGGTAAGCCAATAGAACCCCCCAGCAGCAATGATCCCCATGCCTACCACACAGTGCAGGTAGTATGGGAGATCCTTGTACACGTTTTGCCCATTGCTGGGAGGCACAAACGGAGCGGCAATGAGGTACAAGTTGCTTAGGAGGAAAAGGAGAGTCACCGGCCACGTTGCACGGATGGGCGGCGACCATTCCCAACGGTATGGGTTGACATAGAGATATAACAGTCCAGCCGCCACAAAAGCATTGATGATGGACAGGGGATAGGAAATGACGCTAGATGCGTCGATCAGCTTCTGCGTCGACGGTAGAATCAGGGGACCTACTTCAGGATGAAATTGTACGCATCGCCTGGAGGCGGCGCAAGCATGATTATCACCGAAACACACCAGTGCTCGAATAGACCAGCGAGAGGCGCATTAAACGGGTTGTTGCTTGCCCATACACGAGAAAAGGGAAGAATTCCCTCTCGCCCGAGTTCTTGGACCACTGGTTACCATCCTATTAGTTTTTTTGGCAACATCACCCAGGTAGCCAACCTAGAAGGGGGGAGGACTACTTACAACGACCTTGAGAAAAGATAACACTCAGGACATTCCCGAAGGCGGATAGTGCGACAAAAGACGGAAAGCACCCGCTCAGCGCTTTTTCCAAAGACATTGCGAAAGAAGGATGCCGCAAGAATACGGCCAGAAGATACGATCTCTTCTTTAGGGACGGCGGCAAAATAAGCAATCTGTACGAATTCCATCATTAGCGATGCCCCTACCAGGGGCAAGGAACAAAGGGAGCCATCTTACGTTGACAAGCATGTAAATGATGGACACAAATATAATTGCAGCTGGTGCCGCGACCTTGAGGGTGCGGACTGGATTCTTCGTTTCGCTCAGAGCGTAGTTTGCATTGCTGTAGCCGATGTAGCTCCAAATCACACTGTACAAGGCTGTGACAACGCCGTATCTGGAATAAGTCAGCCAAGGGTATCCAATGGATGGCTGGTGTAGCACTGACGCGCTGCCAGTCGTTCCTTCAAATGCATTCTCAAAGTTATGGGGCTCCGGCACCTTAAGGGCACCACCAAGAGCGGCCGGGAAGACACGTCAACTTCGACAGGCGGGGAGCTGATCAAGAACTTGACTTACCCACCCGGAGACGACAATGAGTAGCACAATGATCAGCTTGATAATGCCGAGGAGATTTTGCAGCCTCAATCCCCATTTCAGAGCACATCCGTGAATGAGAAATGCGGCAGTGATGCAGGCTAGCCCAACTCCTCGCTGATTCCCACCTGTTGACTTCAACTTCAGCAGCGTGAAGAATGTACTCTCCAAAAATGACCGAGTTAGACCCGGCCCAACCAAGAAGGACGACATATCCCGTGTAAAATCCAGTTGCGAGGTATTTGGGATGTCGGTAGACAAACTCCAAGTAGTTCTTCTCGCCTCCGTTCTTTGGGATTGCAGTCCCAAATTCCAGATATACGGCCATGCCACACATGGCGATTATCATGCCGGCGACCCAGATGAATAGGCTAAGGCCGACGCTGCCGGCAAGGGAGAATATCGTACTCGGGGTTGCGAAAATGCCAGTTCCAACCATGCGGTTAAAGATGAGGAAAAAAGCACTGATAACACCAATCTGGCGTTTCGTCTCGGTGAGCGTATGTACAAGGGCCGAGGAAGCTGGAGGTCTGTCAGAATAAGGTGGTGCATTCAGAGCATTTAGGCGTTTCTCGGTACCATCTCTTGCGTCTGATTCGACATCTATCGAGGTCTCTTTTTTGGTCCTTGGAGAATTGGCAGCCGCAGGTGTGCGTTTGGAGAAGTAAGTATAAAGCCTGCTCGACATGGCTGCGATCTGAACTTCTGATGTTCTTAGCAACCGAGACGGTAAAACAGTGTAAAACAACCATGTTCTCCAACCTCAGTCGGTTATCTTGTGATATTTATGACGAGCCCTGTCGGAGGTCGCCTGCAAGTTGAGGTGCTGCAAGTCCTCTGACAGATCGTTCAAGTCCCCCGTAACTCCCATCTTCAATGTCGTATTGGAAAGATATTTTTATGCTAGCCTCAACGGCGAGGGAGATGCGATGGTCTCCATTAGGCTTCCATGTTGTGCTTTGGGCAAGCCAATGACGGCCACTAGCGGTCCGCAGTTAGCTTTATGGCGGTTGCGAAAGCTAGGCTGGGTGGGCAAGAATTGGGATCGCGCAATCCTTGGTAGAAATTCGTCTCGCGTCGAGCTGAGAAAATACCATCCAAGGTTGCGTTGATTGAGTAAGAAAAACATCCTCCCTCGAGGCTGAGAATGTTCGGCGCGGGTAGGATCGGTTCTTTCCCAGGGCGCCGACCCACCGTTCGCGTCGTGAGCCATCATCCAAAGAGCATCTGTGTGAGCAGAGCACAATAGAATTCAGAGACCGATTGCGTGATTGGGAGGGAAAATGATGGATCCAGCGAAAGGAAAAAGCCTCCCAGAGTCCCACCGAGCTCCTGTTGGTCTCTACCTACCTTTGTCTCGGGACGGGGGCAGAGCCACCTTCGTCTACGCATGGTCCTTCCTTCAGCGGAAGAAAGCGATGGTGCATACATTGCATGTCTGATAAAAAAAAAAAAAAACAAAAAAAAAAAAAAAATAGTTTGAGTGGTATGAACCCCAGTTCTGGGATTGATAACCAGATGCGACTGCCAAGCTTTTGAAATGACATCCCGCTTCCTCTGACACGCTAGTACAGAGTGCGGTCCTTAAAGGTCGTCAGCCTCGCCACCTACGGTACTAGGCTGTCAGCAGCTTCAAAGTGAGGTTGCTTTTCTTCCGATGCCAACCTTCGATATGACCGCGTTGCCGCCATTTCGCCACTATCAATGGAGTCGAGAAATTGATGCTCACCTGAAGTATATCGAACAAAGGATGGCCTTCGCTCCCTGCCGGTCAACATGGGAAGAGTCAGCCTTGTGGACAAGACGACAAGTTGATTCTGCTGCATCCTATTGTTTGTCGACATTCGCATTGACGCATTTGAGCCTCCACTCCCATGGCTTGATAGGCGACGATACCTTCCCAGCCCTCAAATGGCCGTTGATGTTCCAAAACGCCACCTCTCCGCTGCCAAAGAGGTCTATCTTTGTGGGGGGGAAAAAAATTAGCTTGCCGATCAACGGGTCGACTCGCCAAATCAGCCCTGCAGACATAATTTATCTGCGCACCAATGACACGAATCCACGTCGATGTCGAATTGCGTTGTGAATGTCTAGCTAACTAGCCATTCAGAATTGCGCGGCCGCCACAGGAAGGTGTCTTGCATGTTCACCGGTTGAATATCATGCCAGTGATGGTTCGCCAAACAGATCACGACGGCTACGAACAAGGCCTACGATGATAAACTGCCGTCCTTGTCCTCGCCATCGATACGACTCCTTTGTTCCACCGTAAGTTTCACTTAGTGACCGTCAGGTCGGAATGGAATCATCTTCCTGTCCTTGCTACAAGCCGCGCCCAATTCCTTCGATGGCATTCACAGACCACGGGGATGACCTCTCTCCTTTCACGATACCCAGTCTCTCACGTCCCGAACTCCCACATTGCGGCCTTCGAATGTCTCTTTTTGCGTGGTGGCGCCGTGCGTTCGAAGCTGAATGGAGACTCCGGTTCAGGCACCGTTACCTCTCCACGGTCAGGTGACATGGTAATGTCGTCGTTTAAGGGAACAGGAGACCGAGCCGGGCTGGCAGAGCCCCTTGAGTCTTTCCTTTCATCATCCTCGACGGGATCGTTTCCATTGATTTCGCTAGCCGGCTCATCATTCGCGAACGCCTCCAGCTCGCTCTCGCTATTCCGACGACTTTCCTCGTCAGATGACTTTTGCACTACGGTTCTCAGCATTCCGCGCGGTATCTTGAACACGCGAGCTTACCTGACAGGTTGTGTCGATCAAAGCGGTGAAGTTGACGTAGACCGCTGTTGAGCGTCTTCAGCCTCTGTTCCAGTCGCCTGCGCTCAATCCTAGATCCCTCATCTTCCTCGGCAATTGCCTTGATGGTGTCATCGGATAGCAGTGCGACACCCCCTGGACAAAAAATGACAGCCAATCTATCCAGAAGACATTTTTCGACGGCAAGGATGCTGAAATCATCCACGAATTTCTTTCTCGCAACCTTTCGGTCATCAGCCTGTCAGCAAGTGCATCGAAGGAAAACAAAAGAGCCCAGTGAACGACAGGACTCGCCTTGTAGTAAGCTAGCATGCAGTCGATCGCTTCAGAAGCTGCGAAACGTTCCATATCGGCTTCTGTTTGGGTTCCGAGTGCAGCAATCAACTCATCCATTCTGAACGTTTGTTTCTGTTGTATCGATTCGTACAGTGGATAATTTGATCCAAAAAATTCCTTGAGTTTCGCCCGCAAATATTTGCAGAGGTGCTCTTCACGGGCCTTTTGGACGCTTTCTGTGAAATAGTGATTGTAGGTTATTGGGTGCCCCGATTGCTGAGGCTTCAGGAGCTCGGTTGTTTTGACGCGCAACGTTTCTTCGATCTTTTCGATACCGTGATTAATCACATGTTCCAGAAGTCCTCTGAAACTCTTTTCGTCCAAAACGTCCCATAGCATGGGGATTATGGCCTTCCGGACGTCCCCAAGGAGGTTGTCGATGCAGTCGGCCACAATCGATTCCCATGGTCTACTCTGCAGATAAAACAGATCACCTATGATAAGAGGGTTGAATGTCCCAGGCAACTCTCGTCCCCGACTTCGACGCATTCGTTGTTTAACTTCGTCGACAAAGTCAGGACGGAGAATTTGGTTCTCTTCAGAGTCGATCTCCTCCGCGTCATCGATAATCTTTCTTTGCATCCCCTGTTCTTCCATTGTCTGGGCCAAATCAGTTAGCCGATTCTGAACCACGGCGCGCAATCTCCTCTCATAGCCTTCATCCTCCATAGCATCCCCAAAGAAGGAGCTGATGTAGATTCCACTTATGGCATGGCCTACGAGAGTCGTGAAACGGTCGCTTGCGTCTAGGAGGTATCGGCGCTGATCAGCCAATGTTTGTCGTGCTTTCCCCAATCTTTGCAAGGCAGATTCTGCGACTTTGCGTGACTGTTGAGCTTCAGCAATGAGACCTGGTAGCTGCGATATGATATGATCCTTGAGCACGGTACTCAACCTAGGTCTCAAGGAATCGACACCAACCAGAGAGCGTGGCATTGCGGCCCAGATTCCCTGCGCTAGGAAGCTCATTTCGGATTCATGACGTTGTTGGAGAGAAAAGTGCTGCTCTTTATGCTCTCGATTCTTAAGGACATGCCATCCCAGTCGGAATGTGAGTCGAGTGTTCATGGCTAGGTCATAAAAAGATCGCTCCATTTCAGAATTCTCGGGCAGAGTGTCTGGTTTCGTTATTATACCCATCGTTCGATTCCCCACTCGGTCGACTTTGCGCGTAAAAGCGGTAACTTTTTGTAGCGCAAGGTCGCTTTTGGCGGAGATGACTGCTAGGATGACACTGCGCTTATTCCGTATATAGGACAAGACCAATGACTCCACGAAGTCAACCCCCTCTGCACTCTGGAACTCGTCAGGCGCATGGTAAAGTCCCGGAAGGTCAACAAGGGTCAAATGAGGTTGTGTGGGTCCTGAAACCTCTACGCGGAGGACGTCCTTTGAAAAGAGATGGCCCTCTTGACCGACGCCAATATATCGTTCTGCTTCTCTGACAATGCTCGCAAAATCATTAAGCTCGATTGTTGACGACTTGAACCCTCGGATGCGGTCTTGCTCGGCTGATGGTCGTTCCTCGTCAGCATGAATAGAGGCTTTGATACCCACCTTCGGCGAGCGCCTTAGAATGAGCTCAGTAGCGAAACGGGTGCAAACATTGTCCTTGGTCGGGAATGATAAGCCTGAGATGGCCTCCAACACAGAGCTTTTGCCTGATGACTGGTCACCACACACAATCAGTTGGGGAAGGTTGACGTATTTGCTGATGCCTTCCGACCTCAGTTGGTCAATGACGTTGAGGATCTCTTCATGATCTTTTGACTGAAGTTGTATCAAAGGCGCCAGGGGATTGCCAGTGTTTTTGAAAGGGTCATCGTCCGTGTTTGCCATTTCAAGTCAGCCCGCCTTGATAGCTCCTAGAATCAAGGTCGAATGCTACGAAGAATGCAGTCCAATACCTTTCTAGCAGGCTGGCGGATATTTTGGAGCTCATCGGACACAAGGCCTTGACACACTCTCGGGGAGCTCTTCTTCGCTATAAATGACGAGCATTGGGGGGTTTCGACAAGACAGATTCTCCCACCGACTGCCCCTCACGGTGCATGAGCCCCGGAGGGAGTTCGCGAACTGAGGAGCGACACGTCGACTCCTTGCCCGGGGTGCAGTTCCAGCAAATTCGGGGGCATGCATGCAAGGCGCCCAAGAGATAGCAAGAGAGGCACGACATCAAAACGAACTTGTTCGAAGTGTGTCATGATCAACCATCCACTTAATGCCTGCTGCGAGAACCCCATACAGGGATGCGTTGTCAATGATATGCGAGTGGTCTGTAGGCTCCGATAGGAAATCACCTATGAGGACTCCAAGTGATTGTCCATTGTTCTTGCCACGACCACCTGGCTTCGCAGAGACTGGATGCGTTCAGGAAACCCTGGCACTAGTTGTCACATAAGGTAGGCGATAGGAGGTCACGGCCATTTTCTCCGTTGGCATGGCGTCCTTATCAAGACTTGCCTATGGCCATACTACTCTCATCCACCCGGCGCTAACACAATCGTCCTCGGATAGAGGTCCTTCCGCTGTGGTTGTTATTTCCTCAGTTGGGATTGGTGCTTCATCTCCTAGTGTACCTTTATACAACTAGTGTTCCCTCAAGAGACAGGTGGCCAGGTGTGTTGCGGGCTGCCATCTATTGCACCGTTCATTCTCCTGTAAAATTCTCTCTCTCTCTCTCTCTCTCTATATATATATACACACACACAAATATCCCTCATCAACTATTCCGTCGTCATGCGTTAGCGCCTGATTTCACCGGATGTAGAGCCAACATAGGTGCCCAGATCTTGCCTCCATCTTCGCGTAGCATCGAAGGCATATCAGTTGCATCATGATTCATCCATTGCTTGAATGTTCTTCCCGGATAGCCAGGTACCCACCACCACGTCCCTCCATTAAAGAGCTCGTAGACACCGTTGGGATCGTACATAGCCTTTCCAAATGACAGGCCGTTGTTATCCCCAGTGTTTTCGGCAGGCGTACCACCGTTGAACAGCTGTCCTAGTTCCTGAACGCTCACTTCCCGACGTGCCTGAGGGTGGTGGAACCAGGGATGAGGCGGGAAAATAACTTTCAAGCCATGGTACAGGGCAAATGACACGGCGGTCGCCTCCGACGACAAAGACAAACCTTGATGAACTTGGGCGTGATGCATTGCATTGAGCAGGTTCCATGAATACCTCCCCATGGCCACCGGACTGTAGAATCGTGGTGTGTCTTCCCCGTCCTGAAACCCATGGATCCAACCCTTGAACGGCCAGTACTTCGTGCTTCTCACATCCGCCAAGGCATTCGTGAGAATGAGGTCGGCGTCCTCCCCAACACCCCAGTCGAAATTGTCCTCACGGGGGTCGGCGACAGGTGGCTGAGGACCGATGGGATGTCGAATGTCAGGAATCCGGACAGGTCCCCAGATGCCACCACCACCCAGGCTTTCGTCGATGGCTGCCCTGAATTCTTCATAAGATCCGTGGATCTGTGGCATGTAATAATACGAAGACCGCTCGACTGATTGTTTCCGTGGTTCCTTCCGTGCAAACCTTGCCATCGCGTCCAACCATTGCCCAGAATTTCCTGTGAACTTCATATCCATCTCAAGCTGCCAATAGTGGTCAAAGTCAGGGAAGAGTTGTGCGAACAGTTGAAGGGGCTGGTAGACTTGGAAGAAAGCTGAATGTTCAGGAATTCGAGGATACCATGACTCGAGCAAGTCGTGGTTGAAGAGGACGGCGATGTCTCGAAACTCGGCAGGCACCAAATCATGTAAAGCCTTCTCGTAGCTTTGCGAATCATGGAATATCCGCCTCGTTTCGTTTTCGTCCTTGACGTCCACCAGCAGAAAGACAGCATTGTCCGCATTGGAATCCAATCCAGCCTCGACGATCAATGACCGCAGATGATACAGGTCCAATGAAGTGTAATTATAACCTTTCCAGCTGCGAAGCACAATCGCCGTCCTGCCTGTCGAGTATGTCCTTGTCTTTAATTCTCCAGAGCGAGTTTTTGCAGGCAACCCAAACCTCCTTGCCGTGGAGATGTTTTTCGATTTGTGAAAGCGGTCCTGGTTCGCAGCGAGACAGTCATTTTGCAAATCCGCCCAGTTCACCAAGCTCCACTGCACGCGAACCCGATGGGACCTCTCCGACTCTTCATCATATCCATAGGGACCGTATCTCGACTCAGGGGTGTTGACGGTAAGTGGCAGGTCCAAGGCCGCATAAGAGCCTCCCACAGGTTCAGGGAAGGCTGGCACTGTCAGCACGCACACCGAAGGAAGCCGACTGATTCTGGAACATACGCAAGTCTAGCGAACTCGCCCATATTCTGTCATCGAGATTCTCCTGCACGGGCCTGCCTCTGGGTCCAATGCAGGGTTGTCGAACCGTGTTTGGCGGTGGCTGCGGTGGCTGCAGTGGGGAGGGAGTGGGCACTGGTGCATCCAGGGGTGCAGGGAAGAGGTCGTGCGAGATGCCAGCGGTACGAGTAAAATCACGATACAGGAAGACAAGGAAGCAGCTCAGACCAACGACAGTCAAGAGATGGAGCCCAAACCGTCGGAAGGTGCCATATTGTGTCACCAGTGTGGCCATTGCACGGCCACCCGCAGCGCAGCACAGCACAGCAGATGCGTGCGCAATCACAACCAGGATTAAGGATTAGTGGTGATGTCTGACACCTCTTTTGAGCTCCACAGTGACGCCGCCTTGTGAACGCTCCAGCCTGGCCATCACCAAGCCATCACTCACCAGCCGTGAGGCTCGCACCAGAGCACCGGCGAGGTGATCAGCATCCAGACAACTATCATGGCCGGTGCCAACATGCTGCCGAGCACCGAGTACCACAGCCAACACCGCTACGGGGCACGGGAACGAGGTACGCTGGTGGTCAATGGCGATGCAGCCTCATGCCGCTCTGCAGGAGTGTAGGCTTACTACTCGTAACAGGTTAGGCCAACGCGACGATGACGAGGCTGGCGTAAGCTTGGCCTAGGATTGCGCAATGAGTTTCGTTCCACCGAAGAAACCTTGAATTTCACCCTTTGAAACAGAGGATGGAGGAAAGTGTCCTTCGAAGTTTGGAGACTTGTGCCGCCGCCTTGGGAAAGGCTGTCTTTTTGTGCAGTTGACCATTGGGGTGGCAGGTCTGGGTGGCTCAGCTTCGCTGCCTGCATGAGAAGGCGAAGGCTGTGTACTAGAAGCTGTGAGATTCCATAAAAGCGTCCAGCGGTCCCATCAACGGTTGAGCTTAGTTTATACCCAGAGCATGGCTGCTACGAGACACTGCAGAGATTGTGCCGGTTAAGGTAAGGATCGCAACCAGAGGGATGTCGCATCCCAAGCCTCACGAAGCAGGTAACATCTTTAAAGCTACACAAGACCTAGGACAAGTCACCGAACTTGACCTGCTGCAACCATGATGCGGCTGCTACATTGTAGAACGTGGCGGCTCCAAAAGCTCCATGATAACAGCGAAGTACAAAACTATGCCATCTGGTCACACGCATGGCACCAAGACAATGACCAAGAGTTGACAGACCGAGACTTTAAGAGGTGAGAAATCAAGAGACAACACCGTCGCAAAGTAGACGGGAAGAAGGGCGAGGAGGCTTGCGCAACCACGCTCAGGCTCTAGGTCAAATGGATCTGGATCGACAGCTGTTGCATTGACAACAGCGACTTCCTAGAGCCTGCGGAAGCCATCAACTCCGTGTACCGGTGGTACGAGTGCATTGTGTGCTTGGGTGATCTAGACAAATTTGGGCCTTGCCGATGGTTCCAGAGAGGGTGGACTTTGCAAGAGCTGATCGCACCGTCAAGAGTCTTATTCTACCGCAATTCCCCCGCAGGAAGGAAGCTATATGACCCCCACTGGAAGTCTTGTGACAGCAGGAATGTGTATAATATCAAAGATCAGTACGACGCATCTGAACATCTGAGCACACAAATCACTGAGATCATACACATCGATCCAGCATTTCTTCGGCAACACGTACCTGTTGAAATCAAACGCCACTTGCACCGTATTCCAGGATGCCAGAAAATGACCTGGGCCGCAAACAGGAAAACTCCCAAGGTCGAAGATAGGGTATACAGTTTGATCGGCATATTTTGACATCCATATGTCCTTGAAGATTGGAGAAGGGTCACCGCCATCCATCCGACTTCAAGAAGAGATCGTCAAACAAGATAGGGATCCAACCCTTTTCGCCTGGGTAGCCACGGACCAGGATAAGTGCAGCCCCGACATCTTTTGATCACAACAACAAATGTTTCAAGGAAAGCTTCCACGAGATTTTTGCATGCCATCCAGGCCACTTCAGCTCGGCCAACGAGATAAAGCATACAAAGCCCATCAAGCAATGGTGTTAAATTCACCGGCCATCCACTGATAGGAAGTTTAGGAACCGTGTCGTGTTTTCCATTGACTCTCCTTCCAGGCGAAGATGACATCTTCGTTATTCACAGGATCCATCATCTTCAAGATTGCATTCAAGACGTCTATGGAAAGGCCATAGACCCCTATCGAAGTGCCACATTCATCCCCTCGTGTATTGGCGAACATCTGGACCGAGAAACCTCTTCTCCAAGTCATCAGTGGTGTGCAGTAGGTCATGACTGCTGGGACCGAGTTCTTTTTTTGGCTGGCCTAGCGCCTTACAAGGTGGCTGGAGATGGAGATGGTACAGTCTGTCTCCTTTTCGGACTTGACTACCAACGAAGGTCTTGGTTCTGTCTGCCCGGGCCTGGCTCGCCACTTGCGTCTAGAGGCCAAGAGATGAGACGGACATATCTCGACAGGGGGCGCGCATGGTGAGCTTGAAAACCCCAAGCTTGAACATAACGACCCTAGATCAGTGCTCAATGTTTGAAGTAACGCGAATTTGTGGAGTCCATGTGGAGGGTCAAATCAACGTCGAGAGTAACAGGGATACTTTTTTGGCCTGAATTCATCCTTGATCTTCCAGTGCCCGTGTCTGCTTTGGACACTAGTCGGCCTGGGACAAACCCAACATGATCCATTTGGGGCTCCCTTACGCAGCAGATCAGCTCACCCAAAATGATGCCGACAAACATGCCATTAAACCCAACCACAGGGAGTACCCCCGTAGTTGGGCCGACACTGACGACTCCTATTTCGCCGAATAGACCTACAGCTTCGGCTTTTATAGAGAGCACCGGTTTAGGCAGACCGATATAGCCATCTAATATTCTGCCAAATGGGCCTACAGCTCCAGCCCTTGTGGGGAGTTCCACCGTAGTTGGTCTGACAACAAGCACCGTCCTTTGGGGTACTACAGAGCAGAGGAACTCACCAGCGAGGTGTGTCGGTTCCACCTCAATACCGCCTAGAATGCAGTGGATCTCAAAATCGCCCTCACTTCGATCGCTGCGACACGCACACTTCCGGAACAATTGCCATTGAAAGTTGCGAGCTGTGCCGAAAGTGGCGTCGCCGAGTCTACTCTTTCAAGGCCAGCGAGGTGTAATTCTCTTCCTCGCGAGGGAAGGCGCCAGCACATATTATATTCACCGGGAGGAATGCCACCTGTTTTCACAGTCTCCATGGGCCCTTTCTTCCATGTCCCTCCTATGGTTAATACCAAAATCTGGCTGGCAAGTCCATGAACGCAGTCCGAGGCCGTGACGTGTCCAATCGGCGCACTTTGATAAATATTCATCGTATTCGGAGCTTCGCACACGTCCGTTGATTAGATCAAACACCATCCTACTGCCGCCTTTAGCTTTTGGTGCCGCTTTGTGGTCAGCTCACGCCATGAACGATTCGACTACATCGACTTCCAGGGCCGTGACCTATCTCATTTCCTGCAGATGCTTTCCGAGAAATCCCTGTCGTCTGGTCATGTTTGCGACACGCAGAAATCCCGGGGCGGAAGCGTGATTTTCCCTGGCTAGCGACATCTCATCGGTTCAAGGCCAGGTCTACCGAGCGGAGCCTCGCCTGGGTTGCGTAACTGCTTCTTTCAAAAATGCAGCGAGCATCCTCCCTGGTTTGGAGTAAGCTAACTGAATGGCCACAATGGTGTCTTCTTTCCTCAATGATGCCGTAATCTTTGCTGCTCATTCAGCCCGGGAGTAACTAATCAATGCGGCATTCCCGGCAGAAGGTCCTATGATCCCGGCGTTCAAAACCTCAGTGAATTCACATCAAGTCTCGTCTTCTGTCGATTCTCCCTCACTGACTCAGTGCGCCATACCTTGGGAGCAGTCGAGGGAATCTTTTTCTGCCTTTGGAGGAAGCTAGATTCTCCAGCAGTCAGCTCGACCATGCATACAAGTGGCATGCCCAATCCCCTGTCGATACGGGAGACGGTTACACTTTGGGATCCACATCCTGCAATATTCGAAGTGGTCACTATATCGAACGTAGCTAACGGCGTAAGTAAAGGGCAGAGCACATCTATTTCCGATGGTAAACGCAACTCTCAACACCACCGAAAGCCACCTCCATTCTAACAGCGAGGGACTTCTGGCGTGCCACTTATTTTTCAATTCGGCTTGGTGCCTCTTACCCGACGTTTAGCAAAGAAATGACGTCCCTGGCTGAGTGCTTGACAACAGTGGTCCAACCCCCCAAGGGTCCAACTTTCAGAGGCGGCCGCGGAGAATTGGGAGAATTTATTCAGCCCTTCAGCGGGTTGCGGTAAGGGTATTTGTCATGGTAAGTTGGCCGCAGGTTCGGCAGCTGTATATTACATCGCATTTTATTGGACACAACCTGACTTGTTCCTGACTAGAGGGCGAGCTGACCAGCGATCCAGACATCGAAACAAATAAGGGCCACCACAGCCGAGTCGAGACCAGTTGTCTTCCCCGCAAAGATGCGTCATGTCAGCAATGGGCAGATCGAGCGTACGGGCATTGAAACTAGGTTGCCTCCTGGCGGTAATAAAACTCGAGAACCTATTGCAGAATGTCGATCGACGGCATCCGGGGAGAAGTACAGAGTATCGGTAGAGCACGGACACTACAGAATGGGCAGTGTCGATCAGTCTTGCCAAATAATATTATAAAGACAGCTCTTCGCCTCGCCCTAGGAACCGATTTCCATTGATTTCACCAAGCATGGCCAAATACATCCATTGGGACGCTCCTGGAGTGGAGGTTGAGCAGCCTGGCGAACAGGAGAGGATCAAGCAAGTGGCGGAGCAGTTCTGCAGATTCCAGATGATGAATTTCGACGAACATCATCACGCTCTACGAGGCACTCACCTCAAGACTCAGGGGGTGAGTTGGTCACGCCGGACTCTCCCGACCCTGCTGACGGACATTTATAGTGCGTTGCTGGTAAATTCATCGTGCACGACAACCTTCCTCCACATCTCGCTCAAGGCATGTTTGCAAAGCCTGGTGTATACGATGTTATTATGCGGTATTCTTCTCTCACGCCCAAACTTGTTCCTGACAATGTCCCTGCACCACGTGGCATTGGAATGAAGATTTTTGGCGTCGAGGGCGAGAAGATCTGGGGAGAAGGCAAGAAAACCCAGGACTGGACCTTCAATAATTATCCCATCCTCGAACTTCGTGATGCTCAAACTACGTATGAAATTGCAGACTCGATTGAAAGGAACTGGGACAATATGCCAGGATTTGAGGATGAACTTAAGAAGCGTCCGGACGCCGACGTTGCATGTCGACCAGCCACAATTCCCCCGCAACACAGTAAGCTACGTGTTTGGGGCAAGTTTGTGAGACTAGACTGATGACGGGTTACAGTGGTGGCAATGCCAGAATACTCACAATCGGCATATCGCTTCGGTGACTACGTGGCCAAATTCGGTGTATTCCCGCTGGGCCAAGAGCAAAAGAAGCTCGAAAACACCCACATCAAGGACACCGACCCAAAGAATGTCATCTCGCAAGAGCTTCGCAAATTTCACATGAAAAACAAGGTTACATACTCGTTCTGCGCGCAGCTTCTTCAGAACCTGATCGAGCAGCCGGTCGAGGACATTGGCATTGAGTGGGACGAGAAGAAGTATCCTTTCGAGCAGATTGCCACCCTCGAGTTCGAACCACAGGATAGTTGGCTGCCGGAATTTCGAGTCTGGTGGGATGATCGGATCACCGTCAACAGCTGGCATGGCCTCAAGGTCCACCAACCCCTGGGCAGCACCAACCGCGTCAGAAGAGTCGTGTATGCTGAGTCTCGGAAGTTGCGGTTGAGAGTGAACGGTCATAAGGACTATATTGAGCCTGCAAGCTTGGAAGAAGTGCCATGCCAGGTGGCGGCGCAGGCATAGAGGAAGGTTTGCGACTCGTCGCAATCATGCGGGGCGGAAATATGACTAGAGGATAGTTGAAGGTGGATTTCAGACACTACCGGGGTGGAGTTTAGCTGATGGGCCAATAAATGGGCTCAAAAGATGCAATCAGCGAACGAGTATCGTATGTAACTAGTTCATACAATGTTCTGCTGGTGACTTTTTAAACTACCAAGCTCAGCATGACGTTTCCCTCATCTAATACCAAGCATTACTTACCCTCCACGGTCCGGCCCGATCAGCTCAGGTATCTATAGAAGAGTTTAGCGTTGGAATGATTTTAGCAACATGGTGTCAAGCCAAGGATGCATTGCTGATGCGGACTAGTGTCCGCGCCGCGACAGGATCGACCAGCAGGACCAAGCTACCCTGGTATCAAGTGCTGTGGAAGCTACGCAGACAACGTCCACACCCCCGACGACCTCTGAGCTAGTGGTCCAGAAGTCGACAAATTCGAACATATGCTCAGGCAGACTTCTGCAAGCCGAGCAGTGAACAGCAATTGCGTGCCAGGGAGCCAAATAAGCGGGGTATGGTCAAGGCGGGGGACGGATTCGTTATTGACAGGATGAAGTCGGTAGAAGGACTCTCGGGTCGGCCTCCAGAGAGAACGTGGTTGAAATTGACAAGCAGAGTGTCGGGAATCTGTCAGTGAATCAGGTATGTGGTCCTCGCGATTCCCTTCTCTACGGTGCTTGGTCCACTACACGTGGACTTCCTGGACTCTGTCACTAGCACCTACACATATCGGGGGCGATTTCCATTCCAGTCTCATGTCGGACGTCAATCCAGGCACCATGCCGATGTCACCGGGAGTTGCTCGTACCTAGACCGGCGTGTTTACCATTGCCTGGCTTGACGTCTTCTACCTCCGCTCCCCGGACCTCGGGTCAGACCTAGAAGAAAGACCTAAGGGTGTTAATGAGGCGTACCAAGCCGACCTCTGACATTCGGCTTCGGACGTCCAACGGGTCCACGATACAAACAAGACGCGCAACTGGATTCTATCTGACGTTTGTCAAGGAAACTACAACCCTGTGGCACGGCTCCCCGAAACACTACTCCAGCCCACGGTCCGAAAACTCAATATTGCCTTCTGCCCGTGCGGTCACCTGGCTGGGAGGGTCATAACCAGCACAGCGCGGCAGATGGAAAGCGGCGCTGGGTATCGTCAAACACATTTTTCGACTCGGAATATGGCGATGCATTGTTCGTCGGCGCCAGTAGTCGGAAACAGCTCGAGCAGACTTGGGGCAACATTGACATGCACGAATTGAGCGACAGGGCCTGCGGGGGGGTTCATAAAATATCGATAAGAAGCCGAGAGGCTAATTCTCGCAAGGCTGTGAATGTGACGACGCTTCGCGGAAGCATCTCGGTGTGTTCTCCGAACCTAACCTAATGTGGCTAGAATAGGGCCTTGACCCCAAGGTCTCCGCATGGCTGCAGTCCCACGCGGGGACCGTGGCAACATTGTCTTAAGTGTGTCCTCGTACTCGGTATAGGTATAGTTACAACCTTGAAGGCACCTCGAAGCACAAAAGGACCCTACTCGGCACATCCGGGGAAGCCAGCGCCTTGGTCTTCTACCTCTTCCCGCTTTGAATTTATGGGGACTTAGTTGCCATGTATGTGTATGTTCAATCTCGTCGGTAGCATGCCGGATCGAGATTTGAGAAGACCCATGCAGCAAATGAGTCAGACACGACTGACTTCTGACTCTGCTACATACTGGGTCCGCTGTGGGTTGCCTTTGGGATTCCGAGAAGTCGAGATACGAACCTTGGCAAAAGCTTTGCAACGGGCAGGACGGGATCCTATCTACATTAAGCTTTAGGCGGCCTCGATTTGTCGTGGTTAGCTCACGCCTCGCGGTTCCGAGATGGAATTCAATTGCTGGGACGCCCAGTGACTTACCTCCGGGTCCCCAAAAATTGTGGAATACCTTCTGCACTTTTCATTTTTTTTCTTTCTCCTTTCATGCCCACCTGGGTAAAAATGGCCTGACTGTCATCCTCCTTACTGTCTGTGATGCGGGGTGTTATGGGATTTTCCCGAGGGTGTTTTCGGTTGTCGGACCTTTGGCTCGTAGTATTCAACAAGGCTTGTTCTCTCTTGAATGCGGAACGCCTTTCTCTCGGCAACAGATAGAAGCTGAGCCAAGTTTTCTTTATTCTCTCTTCAGAGAAATCACATCTCGCGTTAGTCTCGACCTTCAACCTCGATAGAACACGATTGTCTCGAATAGTTTGACCAGACAAGAATCATTCATTCAGAACCCAGCCCCAATCTGCAACCATGCAACGAGGCGCTGTGAAGTCGAAAGACAAGCTGAACTGGTACACTATCCGTCTCCTCGCCTTTATTGGACTCGGGTCGTTGACCTTTGGATACCCCGCCGCGGTGATTGGGACATTGCTTGGTGAGTGACATTGTCAACCAGACAAGTTCCGAGTAAAGGAGAATCAGTCCATTAACGTAATATATCATCATCTAGGCCAACCGTCATTTCGTACACCCTTCCCGAACCATATTCCATCCCCTTCCCTATGATTTATTGGCTAACCGACAGAATTCACCAGTGGAATATTTTAACCTGGAAACGCGATCCAATGGAACGGACCTTATATCTACCATGAACGGCATATTTCAAACAGGAGGTTTTATAGGGACCCTTCTTTTACCCTGGGTGGCCGACAAATGGGGCAGGCGTTGGGCACTGGCTGTTGTAAGTCTGCCCAAAACAACTCTTGAAATAGTTCTCTACTTCAAGTTGCTTATCGGATGCGTCCCAGCCTGCAATCCTTGTCTTTGTTGCCGGAGCCGTGATGGCAGGCAGCACCAACGTTGGCGAATTCATAGTATTTCGATTCTTTGCCGGTGCCGGTTCATGGATGTCGGTCGCAGCTGCCCCGGTACGTGATCGAACCACACCTCCCGGGACAGGTTGCCCTCTAATCCGATGCAGCTCATGATGAGTGAACTCGTTCCCGTCAATCTACGAGGTGGCCTTGTGGAGATCCACGGGATTTTCTTTCAAATTGGCTATATGTCGTCAGGCTGGATCGGGTTTGGGACCTTTTTCTGGCCAAATAACGGAAACAACTGGCGCCTCCCGGTCGCTCTCCAGTGTCTTTCTCCATTACTGCTACTGTGTGGCCTTCCGTTCTGCCCAGAAAGCCCGAGGTAACCAAAGCTCCTCCATAAGTTGGTACCAGACTAACACACGATCCCCAGATGGCTTGTCATGCAGAACCGAGACGAAGAGGCCAAGCGTGTACTGGAGAAGGTGCACTCTCACTCTGACGAGGGCCACGATAGAGCCCACGCAGAACTGTACCAGATCCAGAAACAGGTCGCCATTGACCGGGAGTTGAAATGCACTTGGACACAATTGTTTCGCAAACCCTCCTACAGAAAGAGAGCTATTCTGGCAATTGGGACCACCGGAATCGTCCAGTTTGCCGGCGTCTTGGTCATTAACAGTACGATGTCATGTTTCACTTCTGTGTGGGATTCTGCTGACAGTGAAATAGATTATGGACCAGTCATCTACAAACTTCTCGGCTACGGACCCGAAAAGCAACTACTCTTTCCCGTCGTGTGGTTGACAGTCGGATTCTGCCTCTTCCTTGTCGCGCCAGGCTTGATCGATCTGTTCCCCAGGAACATTCTGTTGGGTGGCGGGATTATCGGCTGCTCCGTTATGTTGATGATCATATCTGCGTTGATCGCCAATTTCGTCCCGTCAAACAACACTGCCGCCTTGAAGGCGACCGTGGCATGCTTCTACCTGTATCAGCCATTCTACGTTATCGGGCTTGATGGTATTTCCAATACTTCCCATCTCTGTATGGCGTCTTTGACTAAATGCCCCTTCTAGGCACTCAATTCACCTTCCTCGGCGAGATCTTCCCCACGCATCTTCGCGCGAAGGGCGTCTGTCTTGGTTCTGCAGTGATTGCGTTGATGAACATCATCTGGCTTCAGTCTGCACCGACAGCATTGGCGTAAGTCTGAACATCTTACCTCCGCATCGTCAAGCTTTTCTCACCACAGATAAATTTAGGAATATCGGTTGGAAATACTTCCTGGTCTTCATCATCGGTGGAGTCATAGGCGGTGTCTTGATCCTCATATTTTGGCCCGACACAAGAAACATGCCCTTGGAAGAGGTTGCCGCCATTTTTGGTGACGAAGACGAAGTCGCCGTTTATCAGTACGAGCTCGAGATCGACCCGACGACTCATACGGTCAGGGACCACCACTTGGAGAGCAAAGTACTGCAGGCACAGCAGGTCGAGGGTGAGAGGAAGGACGGTCAGGTGGAAGTGTTGCCGGAAACTCGAACGGACTGAAAGGGTACTGAGGTAGACCGTCTGTATGGTAGCACTCTACTAGTAGTACTTCAGGCGCTATACAAATACCTCTCCCTGATGACAACGATACTAATGAGTATATACAAAGTCGCAGCGCTGCGTCACGCATGGACACTGCATTGTTTTAATATCTATCCCTTGATCTGTCGATATAGCCGTGTCCGGTCTTGATAACTCACACATCACAATCTCTCTTTCGCCACCACCCAAAGGCCGTTCGCATCCGTCAAGACCCGTCCTTGTTCGTCCTCGAGAGACCCGGTCAAAAACCACTTGCGACCCTCCCTCCTCTCGAGTCTGGATTTGACGGCCACGGTGCACGGGTTGAGCACGGGCGCGCGGTAGTTGGTGGTCAGGTACGCGGTGTACAGGTTCAGGTTACCAGCACTGCTGCCCATTGTTGTCTGCTGGCGGTGGATCTCGACGCAGATGCTCAGGGCCTCGTCCATGAGCGCGCAGAGCACGCCGCCGTGCGTGGTGTCTTTGAACCCGTTCAGGTCCGAGCGCAGGTCGAGCAGCCAGATACAATCCGGCGCTTCGTTCATGCTGTTATCCTCATTTCGTCTTTGATGCGTCTTGTGCTGCTGCTGCTTCTGCTGGCCCTCGGCCGGCGTGACGAAATCTCTGCGGATCAGCATGAGCGCGCTCGGCACGGTGGTGGGCGACCGGATGGTCTTCGCGAAGAAGGCGTCGACCCCGTTGGACTTTGGGATCCTGGAGAAAGTCACGATCGGCCTGTATGCTGGGTCGTCGACGAATTTTCGAGCCCACGTCGTTCGGAAGTGCTCGATCTCCTCCCTGGGGACCGGGGTCGTGTTGATGTATTCGAGGAAATCCACCCAGTCGGGCCCCATGTTTAGATTGTCTGCGCGTTGATTTCCGACGGTGTGATGTTGAAAAGTAGTACAACTAGTACTAGTATGCACTCCGTATTACTGTGCTCTGGTACGTACGTACCTAGGTCTGTAGTACCTCCTATCGAACGTAAAAATCTATCCTCTATCTTCTCATTTTAATTGGCCGCTTTCCGCTTTAGTCACCCTCGGCTCAGTTCCTGCTTTCTAAGCGATTCTGGAGCTCTGCCTCAAGCATTTTTGGTCTTCCTTCTTTCTCTTTATCCATGACATTAATTTTCGTGAACTTTAGACGACAGGAGCCATTAAGAGACTACCCAGTAGGATCTCCTAGTCTAGTCCCCTTCTTTGATCTACTTCGCGTTATTTAGGTGGGCTACTTAGAGAGTGCTCTCTTACTCGGTAAGAATAAATCGTTGCCTAATTCATTCGAGAATCTAATAAGAGATTGGCTTTAGATTGATTCTCTTGTATAAGTATAGGACACCATAGCCTCCGGTGGTCATCAAACTGATTGTTTGTAAGAGAAGGCGATCTGAGAATAGAGAGATCGATGAAAGTATTTAGTAGTAATATCCTTCGTATACTCGGCGTATCTACACAGACTCAAAGCCTTAAAGATAAAGAGGCTTTGAGCAGAAAAGGGGAGAGGGTGCGGCCTTTATACGTTCCTCCCCCGTTTAGCGTCTTAGCTCCTTTGCTGTGTTTATTCTGTAGGGCTCCGGGATAATTGTAGATGTCCTAACATTGTTCTCATATATTTCAGAAGACCTTTTCAGATTCCTTTCCAAGTCTCCGCTTAGTATATAGTCCGAGGCGGCCTATTTTGGGTGTCATAGTATTTAAACAGTCGCAAACAACAAAGAAGTGTCATGTTTCCTTGGATTTGCGCCGGATGTATCATTACTCTGTAGGGCCAAGGTTGTACTAGCTCACCTATTCTGTCTTACTCATTTTGATCGACGTGGTTTCCGTTGACGACCGCTATTTCAGCAACCTTCGATTCAGTGGGGGCCGAGCCGAGTAAATTCATTGAAGTGGAATCTGGCAATCTTGAATGCACAGGTCTAGCTTAACCCGGACATGGCAGTTGATTCTCAAGCTAATCAGTAACCACCACTCGTGCTAATTGTACCGCTAGGTCTAGTTTAGTGTGGGATGCTGGGGCTGTTTTCTTCGAGCCATTATACTAGTATGTGTAATACTACTATTGAGAAGAATGTATCGGAAGTGAGCAACAGTGTTGTCGTAATAACATTCTACTGATGGAAGGTTGATTCCTGCATATAAAGGGATATACAATGTTGCGGAAAAGAGTACTGCAAGAAGATAGTTCCGCTATATAATTAGCCCAGCCCACCCGAACGCATCAACAACATTGAGCTTGTGGCACACGGGGAAAGAGGCAGACTTACTCGAAGAGAGCTATGGAAACCCTTCTCAACTGCCGACATCGATAACGGAGAGCGGGTAAAGCAAAAATATTCCGTAAGTCTCTCTGGGCTATGCCTCAGCCTAAGACTAGGAATCCTTTACTCTGAATTGGGTGTGTTATGGACATTTCCACAGAGGCTCTAATCTTGTTGATAGACCTAGGAGAGGAGTACGGTATTGAAGAACTCTCTAGAATGACTTCCACGGACGACGGGAAGAAAACTGTTCGTTAAGGCTGTTCCATAGCGTTACTACGTCGCTTTGTCTTACCTCAAAGGACTTGGTAATAGCGTGAGACGCCCAACTTTCATAGGAGAAGCACTGTTGCTCTCTCGTATTCCACATTTAGATTTAGGTACGACATCGAAGAGAGTTGGCCTCATACTACGACCAAGGAGAGAGTGAGCATGACGTGGTTTTCTAGCTGGGCACCTTACCTCGGGGACATTGCAGAGGGTAGACTGGTTAACTGTTGTGATCAGGCGTGGATTATGTTTGCCTACCTTCGGCTCTCTGTCGCTTCCGACTCGGTTGAAACCATTTGCGGTTTATTAAGACGACGATTCTGATTGAACGTGGCGCATGTAACAATCCATTCCACTCAGAGTGCAGCCCACAGCCTATTTGCAAGAGTAACTCCAGCAAGCGCGGACACTTTCAGTTGATGCTTGCGCCGGACCGCACCTGGGTAATGAGTCACTCGATGACTTTATCAGATCTAATATTGATGCCAGCAATACACCTAGACGGAGGGAACATACTCAGCCGTTTCGACGCCTTTTTATTGTTCGTGTATAGCGTCAAGAATGGTATGTCGCCTTCCCTATAGGTGTTAGATCGGTTTGAACCAGTTCGAATTAAGTCAGCCTAATCGGCGATTAAGCACTAAACTCGGTTATAGCCCGGTCTGAGACCGATTCCAGATCGATTCCAACTGATTCGACTTAGTTGACCATTGAAATAGTAAAAAAGAGAGTTATTCGATTCAGTTAGTAGCACTTTTTCTCGAAATTTTGAGCTTTATCTCTTTGATTTTAGTCTTATTTTAAATATTAAAATTATATTCTATAGTAGAAATCTTTAATTTTTCATAATAATTTTTACTAACTGAAAAATATATATATATATTGATAATTATATAATTATATAAAATATATAAATCGATTTTAAATGGATCTAGCCTAGTTCGAGCCGACTTAAATTCATCTTAAATTAATTCGACTTAGTTCGAACCGATCTCGAATCGGGTCAAATCAGTCTAGCCAACCTGTAAACCCTTAAATCGAGTTCAGCCCAGGTCAGAACTAGGCTAGAACTGGGCTGGAACCGGTTTAACACTAGGTGGGCGGGCAATATAGCAGTACTACTACCGTCTTTATACGATCTTTAGACGGTTTGAGGGTGTTGGAGACGTCTCCGAGACTTCTTCAAACCTTGAGATTCTCATTTATTCAACGTAGGTGAGAATTAGTGGAAACGTCTTCATATAGTATCGAGACGTAAAACACCTTGCGGGCAGGCAGTAATGTAAGGACATAATCGTCGTTCGATAGGTGTCCTTTCTCGTGGTGTAAGATGCATTGCAAGGCTGTGGAAAAGTTGAGCGTTAACGCCTCACTAATACTTCCGGAAGTAGTTTAGCTGTTTGTGTCTTTTGTCAAAGTGACTGTTAAGTACTACCACAGAGCACCCGCTGCTTGCACCCTGCGATGCAGTGCCTTTGTTTAAAGCTGGTAGATTCTATTCGAGTTGAGAGCGTACTATGTATATGAGAGTCTGCACATCCGTCTGGCAACTGGCAGTTACAGAATCGGGGATCATGACTTTGGCCTATCTATTTCTTGCGCAATTTTCTCCCCTTCAATAGAATTCATTGGCGGTTGTCCTATGTACTACTAAGTAGTAAAAGAACTAGTGGTTTCTCTAGGTCTGCCCTGTGTGAAGAGCAGTCCGATCGTAGTCGCGTACGGACAGAATCGGAGTAAAGGATGGTCGACTGGGCTGCTGCACTGCAACCGTCACTCGAGACGACCATGCACTGCCATAATGTGTATTCACACTTATCCTTGCCATTACTAGTAGCGCTGGAGACCACTCACACTGGCTGATCATCAATCACTCCTTCCACGCCTGTCGATTTGGAGGAACGGCAGAATACCATAGGAATTAGCTAAAAGTTCCAGATTTGCCAATTGGGGGATTGAGTGTTGAGTGAGCCAAGCACATCGCAAACGATTATCGCAATGGTCCGCAAGGAACTCTCGATCGGCCATCTGGTATTACGTGCGGATATCGGCTTCGCCAACAACTCCTAGGTCTTGAATTCGCTTCGCCCAGGACGGGACGGGAAAGCTAAATCCTCACGGACCGAAAAAAACTGACAAGTATTTTGTTGCCAAAGGATCCAACTTTGCTTTGTCGTGATTCTAAGACCGTGTTCAAGACATGATCCAGATTATATGCGAGTAATATGAACCATACATAGTATTTCGCCGAATTCATGGTCGCCTTCGGGCAAGACAACAGGGACGACCCTTCTAGACTTCATTTTCCTTTTCTGTCCCTGGAGGGCTATGGGGCGAGACGCTTCTGGAACTTGCACTTCTGCTGATATCCGAACAGCTGTTGCGCGATCAGATACACAATTGGACCACCAATCAAGAGGAGCCAGCTGAAGGCCAACGCTACGAGCACGGTAACGGAAAAGCCCCAGAAAGCATCGGCAATGCTTGCAGAATGCACAACCCATGTGTGCCATGGCGGATCGCTGGGCAAGGTCAGGATGACTTGCATAGCTGAGAGTAGCAACGACACCGAGGCGAAGATGAACAGCAGAGGTCCTGCGAATTGCCGCATATACGAAGCTGTGTACCATTGTGTCTGGTGATAATGTCGGTTGGTGCCCACATCTCCATCCTCTCGAGGCCGCAATATTCGGATGAGAATGTTGAGCCTGCTCAAGCGCAGCTGACCAGTATGGTATCGGAGCCCAACTTCGTCATCTTCCAGCAAGCGGAAGGGGGCAATGAAGCGCTCCCATTGCAACCAATCGATGTTCTCTGGAACCAGGCCTTCCTTTATTGCGAGCCTGAGGTCTGTGCGATGCCGGATCAGGTAGCCGTAGGATCTCAGGAAACCAAGAACGACCCGGCGATCGAACTGTTGGGGTTGCCCGTTCAGATACTCCTTCCAGAACTCGTAGTTGAGCAAGGCTGGCGGGATCGGTTTAATGAAGATGTCGCTTCGGTACCAAACTAAGTGCAGAGCCGGGTCTTCACTCGCGATGATTGTCCTCCGCTTGATGATCTGTTTATGCAATGCATCTATGCGCGCGCTGTCCATGGCTGTGCAGAGCCATAACCACGGATACATTCTGTCCAAGATTGCGGTGTTGAGTTCATCCTTGAGGAATCTTGCAACATCGTTCTGGGTCAATGCCACATTGGGCTGATCAGGAGCGTGTTCTAAGGCCGTAGGTGAGGAGGCCGCAGGGCCGGTACGCAGAGGGTGCTTGTCAAGCGCGTCGGATGCAGAGAAGGGCGGGTTGTAAGGCATCGCGAAAATTGACCATGTCAATTCCTGGTAGCGAGGAGGCCAGCCGGTGCTGGTGGTGCTCTTTTTGTACGGCCGTCGCTGCAGGCTGCTGCGTGGCTGTGCCGAGACTGTCAGCCTTGTCGAATCTAACAGGAATCTAGACCTTCTCTCAGCCTCCCCTGACAGCAGCCACCACCCAAACTACCGCAGAGCTGAAATGTGCAAGCGGCTCTCTGCATGACTAGTTTCAGCCATCTATGGCCCTGGGGAACCTTCGCGTTTGCCCTGATGGCTGTTCAACAAGACTTATCTGTCACTTGCCGCGATCTGGCGTCTGCAGGCAAGGAAACACACAGTCGAGAAGGTGAACCCTCGGCGCCGTTCGCGAAGTTTTCATTTCACATCCAAGAAACCCCCTTCCTCTTTCCTTAAGGTGGTACAAAACTGACCAGCGCATCCTCTAAAATGAAGTGGCAGGCATTGCAAGGAGCAATGACCTTGTTCGATATGTTCGGCTTGGGTGCAGCTATCACAATCTTTGCCATCATAGGCCTGCGTTTCCTGGTCCACCCGCGAAGAAAGGCTGCCTTGCAAATATCAAAAGTGCTATTGACGGAAATTACCCTGGAAGGGCTCTTCGCCAATGAATTTCTCAAGGCCATGGACAAGCATCAACCATTCGAGGAGTTTGATTCAGAAGACGACTTTGATTGTGAGAGCCGCATGGATGCAGATGCCCGCAAATATATGTACATTGCCTCAGCGAAAGATCTACAAGTTTCTGGGTAAAATCTCTCAGATGCCATCCCGTCCCGGGATTCAACGAGATGACTCATCCGTATCCAGGCATCGACTCGACCGAGAGCCTTGAAAGATCCAACGAGGCGAGCCGAACACACACACCGAGCCGAAAACCACTGCCTTTCAAGGAAACCAATTCGCCTGGTCGTCTGCGCCAAATCTACGTCAAGTACCGTCCTGTCCGCAAATTTGTCGAAGGCCGTGGATTGAAAGGAATGGTGAGGAACGTTGCCAGCTACCTTCAGACCGTCGGACACTGGGCGCTCGTCATAGGTCCTTACACCTACGATATATATGAGAAGAACGGATCTATATGTGTCTTCGTGGGAGAATGGGAAGAGACACCGCCCGGGGAGGAGGACCGGATCAAGATGAAAGAGGTGGGAAAAACAGTTTGCACGGACGAAGATATTTGGAAGATCGGTCAGTGTTACACCCTCCCTCCCCTTTACCCTCTCTTCGACATGGAGGCATGCCAATACTTCACAGCACTGATGGTTTACATACGCATGAAACGAGAGAAATATGACATCGGCTTCAACAATTGCCAGCGCTTTGTCCGCCTATTCGCCCGCAGAATTGCCATTCCCGACCAGAGGTCTGTTATTGACGTCTTGATCACGATGCAGCGAGTGTATCGCATGTTGCCCGCGTCCTTCTTCACTTCGGCTTACCAATACAGCCGGTGCGCGGGGAGGGTGTGTCTGGACATACTGCGGGAGTTCTTTTCGTCCGAGCTACTAGAGACCGCTTTCGAGCACATCCGGCGGACCGCAAAGATCAGCTTTCGCGCCGCCTTCTTCCTGCTCACCGCCGGTCTTCTGTTCGGGTTCCTCAACATGGTGAGAGAGCTGAAGGGGTGGGATGTCGTCGAGGACCGCTCCAAGTACGTTGAATTATTGGAGAGATTTGGATTCAAGGACGCCGAACTGCAGCATATCTGCCTGCGTGGGGCCTTTAAGGGTCCAAACGGGATGAAGGATTTCTTTCGCCAGGTCGTCTCTAAGCGGCGTCTCCTCGAGGGAGTATAGCGCAGACTTCGATCGATACAGAAGCAAGAAACCGAAACACGCACCGCGTTGAGGAAGCAGTTCGCATGCCCGTTCACCGGGCGCAAGCCAGGAACTCGCGCGATCAATCACGTGGTGGTTCGGTAGCTATGTAGTAGTTTTATCAAGAATGGCGGAAAGGTGAGATTGAGATAACGACAGTAGAGGCTCGATTGCCGGAATGCGAGAACAACAAGGAAAGATCATTCACTATATGATCGTCGACCCATCGCCACACACGCACATGCACTCTAAAACACTTGAGGGGAGTTGTGTCAGGTTTCATTATCTTCAAAATGGATACAGATCACAGATCTCCATGATCGCCGTCATCATACCAACATCAACTTCTCGAAAACACCTTCACAGCGCCATCACCACCGCAGCTAATAACCCACCTTCCATCAGGACTCCAGACGACACCGCACACTCCTTCGCCCCTCATAATCCGATGGCTCGATATCTCTTGTGTACAACTGCGTTTCTCGAGTGACCAAAACCGTAAACTTGCATCGTGACCTCCTGATACCAATTCTTTGCCGTCCGGACTTAATGACAAGGAAGAAATCGCCGATGGATGTGCGAGCATGGTGTATGTGCATTGTCCTGGGGGAACGTTAGCCTCGCGGAGTCGCGTCAAAATAAAAGAGCACATACCGCTGTTCGCATCAAAGAAACGAATATACCGATCTTCATAACCCGCAATGACCACCCCTTCAACGCCGCCTTCTGAACCTGTTGCCCCATGTACCACATCTTCTTCCCCCATTGATCCGCGTCGGCCAGGTGCAACCGAATCCCTCGTATCGAATCCCGCACTACTGGCAACCACTGCATTGATGCCCGTGTTTGGCGTACCGTCGTAGGTCTCCTGGCTGGCCATTCCGACAATTTCTTCACCAGTCCGCGTGTCAAACACCAATACACTAGCATCAGTATATCCCACGACAAAGTTCTCGCCATGAGCACCCAACGGAGAAATCGATGTAGGCGCCGGTTTGTCTGCTCGTTCTATCCGGTGCACTAAACTGTAGTTGAAAGGGGTGGTGCTGGCAATGCTCGGCTGAGGCGAGCTGGGGAAGTTCGAGCCTGCAGATATCGAGTTGGCTCTTCGACTGCCCCTTACTGATCGACTACCGGCTTGCGGCGAGCTCAATTGCGGCGGAGTACTGACAGCCCAGATCAGAATAGTGCCATCGGCACCACCGGCCACGAGGAGGACACGATCCGGACCGCCAAATTGTGAACATCGATCTCCGAGAATGGTACCCGTTGACCCCGGTAGACAACATAATGCCCAGACTGCATCTTTGTGGCCTTCCAAAGTTGCCTTTGCATCGACCCGGCCGCGCTCCCAAACCTTGACAGTGGCATCTTCACCACCAGAGAAGATCCAACCATCGCCCACAGCACGGCCGCCGCTGGAGAAGCTCGAAGAAGCGGGACATGCTGCCAACGAACAAACAGCGCCGATGTGACCTCGGTGGGTGAAATGAGCAATCCGGTCTAGATCATCCCCCAGCGCAACATTGTGACCATAAGACGCCGGAATGTGCCATCTCTTGACCCCGCCGTCATCGCTAGCAGTGCAGAATTCAGGTTCCGATGGGCTGCCACCCCCCGTGAAGATGACCGAGCGGACAACATCCAAGTGTCCTCTCATGGCGAACCGAACTTTAAACTGTGAGGCATCTGGCTTGAATGCCAATTCCCGCACATCATTGCTGCCTTCACTGCGCCGTCTTGATCCCGTGCTCTTCCGACGATAAGCGCGAGGCGGAGACTTGGAAGGAATCATGTTGGCGCTGGGAAAGACTTCAGTATCTGGCCTGTGCGGCGAAGCAACTTTGGACGGCTTTTCGGAAGCGGCTGGTCCTTCATCAAAATCGGGAGGGGGCGGTCCATCATCAAAGTCCCATCCGTCAGAGATCTCCTGCTTGGTTTCGTCCATCGTCCGTATCTCTGTCTGGTCTTTCAAAGGGATCTCTTGTCCATAAGCATCGAAACTGTGAGTTATCGATTCCACTTGATCCTCGACCACGGGGATCTGCTCGTTGTAGAAATTTTTCCTGGGATCCACCAGTGGTACAGATTGGACGATATGTTCAGGTAACCTTCTGTCAGCTGCGCCGGGCTGTATTTCTGAGGTACTGATCTGTGTGCTCGTCCGACCAAGGGGTGTAGGTTCAGCAAATTGCCCCGGTGGTTGAGCAGCACTTTCTCTGACCATGGCCACGTTCCGATGTTGTTGCTGCTTTACTTGTTGTAACTGTAGATACGCCTCCTGAAGCTCTTGTTGTGTGGGCTGTCGCCCCTGGAAAACATGATTCCCGTTTGTCGAGGTCGCAAGGTCATTAACCTCGGGCGGTACGTGGGCCGTAGGTAGGACGTGATATGTGATTTCCGAGGAACATTTCGAGAGAAAGCTTTTGGACTTGTCGCGCTCTTTTTCTTGTCGGATCCCCTGGGCCAAGTGGTTCTCGGGATCGATTTCGGCGTCGAACTGGGTGATGCCTTTGACGTGCGAATCTGCGGTGTGTCAATGATGGTATACAAGATATGCGCGAGACACGGTACCTTTACCAATAGCCTTCAACTCTTCCCTGGCCAATTCTTTGGCCTCCTTGTGACTGTCGACCAGTTCGCCTTTGCTGGCATTTCTGGCCTTTTCCCGTTCTTTCTTCAGAGCTGTTTCCAGCAGTTTAACGTGTCGTTCCAGAGAAACTCTCATGCCTTTGCTCGTTCTAGTCTCTCCTTCGAGGATGGCTATTCGGTTCTTCATTTCTTCGCGCTCGATTTCCCACGCATTTCTGTCTCGTTCATGTCGATGCCATTCTGTCTGCAAGAATCTCATAACACCTGTTCGCAGCTGTCAGCACTTGAAACAGGCCTGTGGAGGAGACATTTCCACCTTGTAGAGTGTATGCTTGAACTCCATTCGCTTCTCCGCCGGCCATTCCTCCTACGCCGCCTCCTCCAGCCCCGGGCTGCCACGCCATTATGCGCTTTCTGGCGCTCGAATGCTTGTGCCTCTCTCATCTAGCCATGGTGGTTGACTGCGAGATTCGAAAGAGGTCACGCTGTCTTCAGTCGAGATAACTTAGTCGATGCCGAGGACTCGTGGTGGGAAGGGGAACGGGGAGACCGTAATGCAGACGCTAAAGCACGACGACGAAGGTGGGATCGGCAGGAAGGGAAAAGGGTGGACGGCTGGCAGGGTGAAGAACGGCTCGAGCTGGATGATTCAGGTTGTTCTCCTGGTATGTTTGGAGTAGTTAGAAGCACGAGCAGCAGCGCAGCAACTTCCCTCCCCGGGCTTGGGAACGCAGGGAGTGGCAGCGGCAGCGGCTTGCAACGAAACCAGACCAGCCCGATCTAGCGCCAACGCTGGCGGTTGTCTGCAGCTAAAGGAACTTCCACCACTCCTTGCACTCCTCCCAAATACTAGGGCTTAATACGGGTTATGCTGCCACTCTTTTGCCCTGTTTTCCAAGAATAAGACGCTCCTGAAGAGTAGTTGTCGTTCTCAGAGTGTTATTATATGGAACTGGAGCATCCACAGGTACATGGAACATGTCATTCCATGTCCCTTTACTCTGCGAATTCGATCTTTTGGGTATCATCTTCGTCGTTGTCTTACAACTCTAGCTCTTCCACTTCCAATCCACATAATGTACACGTCTTGACGGGAAATCCAGTCTCTGGATTGTCAATCGGCCGACCAAATTCGTGGACATGCTTGCCACCGCTCATGTCGTCCCCGAAGTTCCCTCCACCGCCACCTTTCTTGCTTCTCTGGTATGCCTCGACTCTTGTCCTCTTCTTCAAGTCCGCCAGCTTCGATTTGAACTTGTTCTCTTTTCTCCTCTTCTTCTCCGTCTCCCTTCTCTCGAACTCTGCATCCAGAGCTTCTGCAGAACCCCATCTCTTGTCCGAAAATGCGTATTCCTCCACTTGACAGCGCAGGTACAAGAACATATTGTGCCATGTAGACTTGTGTGGGTTAGGCCTCTCGAGATGTGGGAGAAGATTTTCGTCCTTTAATTCTGGATCTGTAAGAAGATAGTCCTCTTTCGCCTCAGTCTTTGTAAGGAGGCTGTATTTCTCGGGAAACTTGTCCTTGCATGCGTTGCATACAGCAACATTGAAGACATCAAGCCATTTCCAGTCTACCTCGAGAGTTCCGCATTCTCGACACAACCTTGTGGTTTGGTCTGTGATGGCACTGATTCCTGGTTCAAAAGGTCCCGCCTGTCGATTCCGCAAGGACTTGAGCAGTTGTTGTCTCTCCCACTCCTTCTGCGTCATGTGTGAGGGCTTTTGATCCTTTTCATCGGCGTGCATAGCCTTATTGTAAGGGTCATCTTCCGCGGTCAAGAACCCACCCTTTGTATCTGCCATCTTACTGAAGTCATAGTCGACGTACTTCGCAAAGTTACGCGCTGGCTGAATGGCCTCGAGGGGACGATTGTTGACCTCATTCCTGGCATCGCGATTCGTAGGAGGTGCCGACGTCTGGGAGAAAATGGCATATGAGCGCTTCTGGCCTGCGATGGTAGTGTCTGATCCCTTGAGCCTCCCTGTGGCCGCGGCTTCTGCCTCTGTTTGTTCACGCAGTGCCTTGGCCTTCAGACGGTTGATCTCGAGCCGCCGCACTTGTTCTGGCGTCAGGGGGGACTTGGGCTCGGCCGCAGCCTGAGGCGTCGGAGTCGAGGGCCGCGAAGCCATGACGGCGAAAAGTAAGAAAACTGAACCGCAGGTCGTTCCAAGCGATGGATGACTGATAAATGACAGAAAGTTGCGGGGAGGCCGCAGTTCCTGTTCCTGGCGAGCCCCCCAGCCTGGTGAGCCACAGCTCGGCGGCGCCACTCGGTGAAGCAACCTCCGTTCTCGCCAGGGGCCACCCATGGCCATCTCCAAAAAGTTCTCTTTGTTCCCCTCCTCCCACTGACTGTCGGTCAACAAAGCAAATCAACTCGGTCTCTCAGGCATGGCGACGAAGATAACGCGCGCAGACTTCGAAAAAGTCTTCCCCTCGCTAGTCGAGGATCTGCTGGGAGAATGCCGCAAGTTCAATCTCCCAGCAAATGCTCTGCAATGGTTTGAAAAGGTACTGCGGCATCTCGTTCCTAGCATTGGCTGTCCAGCTAATTCATTTACGAGTCTCTCAATGTGAACACACCCACTGGAAAGCTGAACAGAGGAATGTCAGTACCAGATACGGCCTCGCAGCTCCTCGGCCGACCTTTGTCCCCTCAGGAATTCAAAGACCTTGCAACATTGGGTTGGCTCACCGAGTTGCTACAAGCGTTCTTTCTTGTTAGCGACGACATCATGGATTCGAGCATAACCCGTCGCGGAGAACCATGCTGGTACCGCAACCCGGGCGTGGGGATGATTGCCATCAACGACGCTTTCATGCTTGAATCCTCCATCTACCTCATTCTAAAAAAACACTTCCGCAGCCACGCCGCCTACATTGACTTGGTCGAGCTGTTCCACGAGGTCACTTGGCAGACGGAACTGGGCCAGTTGTGCGATCTGATCACTGCACCAGAAGATCACGTCGACTTGAACAACTTCTCCATGTCCAAATACACCTTCATCGTTATCTACAAGACCGCATACTACTCCTTCTACCTCCCTGTGGCTTTGGCGCTGCACTACCTTGGGTTCGCTACACCCAAGAACCTTAAGCAAGCACACGACATCCTCATCCCGCTAGGCGAGTACTTCCAGATCCAAGATGACTATCTCGACGCATTTGGCGATCCTTCAGTGATTGGCAAGATTGGGACAGACATTAAAGACAACAAATGTGGGTGGTTGATCAATCAGGCGCTGCTGATATGCACGCCAGACCAAAGACAATTGCTGGACGAGAACTACGGACAGAAGGATGATGAGAAGGAGGCAAAGGTGAAGCAATTATACGATGAGCTCCACCTGGAAAAGAGATACCAGGATTACGAGGAGATGCGTGTTGGAGAGCTACGGGGGCTGATCGCTGCCGTGGACGAGAGTGAAGGATTGAAGAAGGGTGTCTTTGATGCATACCTAGCGAAGATATACAAGAGGAGCAAGTGAGTCCGGCGTGGGGTGTTAGTCAACAGGCTTCAATGCTAGACTAGAGTTTCTGACAAGGGGCATGTCACAACAAGGAGCGATTTTATCGTTTTGCCGCATCAAGGGCCTGTCCACACTTCATGCTCCATTGCTCTGAAAGACATGCCGTCGTCCCACATCGCACCTTCACTGGCAGGAAGGTATCCTCTTTCGCACCGCTCATATTGCACTTTCGGCCTCGTGCGATAGAACTCGTCGAATCGTGAATCCAACGCTTCTCGGAGGCTGCGCACACCGCCAGCGGGGTGGAGGGCGGACCATGGAAACCGGCATTCGTCCTTCTTGCAAGTTTTCAGCACCAAGAGAAGGGCGTCGAGGCGGGCTACGAGGCGAGATATCGTAGTGCTAATGTTCGCAATTGAAAGAACTTGCCCTGTGCTTGTAAAGGAGGAAGCGTGAGGCGACTGGTTACTCAATCCTGCGGTAGGCATGGCAATGTTGAAAGGTCTGCTTCCTGCATCGTAGATATTGTCCATCTGCCATCGATCCTTCGTCATGTCGTACAGTTCGTGCTCATTGCTGCACCAAACGGTATACAACAGATCGTAACCGGTGCCAATAACCCGCAGCGCCTTGTAGGTATGATTGGGATAAAGAATATAGCCGTATCTCCCTTCCGACATGATGATTCCCCACATTTCTACGTTGACGTGCTCTTGTGGCCATGGTTGTTCTGAAGGCATCGAGTCTAAGACATGCAATGGTATGACACTACCATCCAGTTCGTACTTTGTCATTTCGGCTTCCGAGACACCTGCGAGGCTTAGAAATGTGGGCGCAAGGTCGATATGCGAGGTGACAATTTCCGTGCGGTAGCCTTTTGGGATGCCGGGCCCTCGCACGATAAGAGGAATATTGACGTCTTCTTCGAACGCACACTGTTTTCCAGGTTGCCTTCGATGTTGTCCGATGCTATAGCCGTTGTCGGTTGAGAAGAATAGGTAGCTATTCTCCAACATGCCAGCTTTCTCCAAGCGGTTCACTACGCTGTCAATCATTTCATCAACAGCTTGCAATGCCCGAAGGCGGTTGCGATACCACTCATCATTGTAGTCGAGGTTCGACTGATTCTGCAGGGGTAAGGTGAGAATCCATGAAGCACCACCCGGCCTGTCGGGATTGAAGTTGGGAGTCCGGGGGACTTTTGCGTCCTCGAACAGGTGCTCGTGGCGTTTGGCAGGACGCGCCATAGATTGTTCTGCCGTGTCATCCTTAATATGTACATTGCTGTGAGGAGCTGTCGGCGCAATGGTGAGGAAGAACGGCCTGTCCACCTCCAATGCATCATCGAGAAATCCTAGCGCCTTCTCTGCCATAACATCCGTCGAGTATCGACCCTGATAGCTAATAGGGGAGTCATGGTTGCGTTGAAAGGTGGCATTGTAGTACTCATACGTATATGGGTCAAGAAGGAAATCGGAGCCAGTCCATCCTGCTGCATGGGGATTGTCGTAATTGGACGTACTCTGGGCATTGAGCAACTTGCCCACGTAGTAGGTGTTGTATCCGGCGTCTTGGAGCCAGACAGGCAAGTATGCGCCGTTGAAGCCTTGTCTAACAAACTTTGGATATCCACCTACTTGTAGTGAGTTTCATGCGCGATCTGAAAGAGACGAAAGGACAGTATTGACCCCAAGGAGGATGTAAGTCGGTGACATTGGTGTTATGCGCAGCCTTGCCTGTCCACATGCTTACCCTTGAGGGACAACACAAGGCCACGGTGCAGTAATGCCTTTGTAAGGAAGTGCCATGATCGGCCACGTGCTCTTTGAGGAAGGGCATATACGAGAGTGAGTCCATATGGAGATCCTGGTCATCGGTTAAGATGAAGATGATGTTCGGCTTTTTGACGGATTGCCTGATGGGTTTCTGCTCAGAGCCATCAGTGAGCCCTAAGGACCACCACATCAGTATGAAGCACCAGATCACCGTCCATCGCAAGCGTTTTCTCGCCTCCATGATGCTGGCTGTTTCCGAGCAACCGAATCGTGGTCAAGGACGACGATACGGCATCTCGACCCGATCGAACGATCGCTAGAATACTCCGAGATGTGCTTGGAAGCTTGAAACTGAAGACCCTCGGTAGAGATGCAACCGAGTCGTCGAGCAACGTAATTGGAAGCCAGAGAGCATTCGATCAGCATGGCAACAGGGCAAGCAGGGTTCTTTCACCCATTTGTCACGGTGCATTGGGAAAGGAGGGAAAGAATGGGCGAGGGAGAATGCGGGGCGGAAGCTCCCTGCAGAAGTTTGGGGGAGCAACCTCCCTCAATCAGAGGCTGCAGAGTGTGTTGGTGGGTGCAGTGGGTGCACATTAGGTGCCCACAGGGGGAGAGCCAAGGCAGCTTGCCGCTTAAGAATGAGCCGCCTAGGCCTAAACCGGGAGGCCGTAACCTAAAGTGACGTGCAAGGCGTCATTGTGCATTCGCAGGTGCAAGTGCCCTCTCTCACTGTGCCAGAGCAGAGCACAGAGCTTCACCCGCCGCCCAAAAAATGACAGTCGTATGATTTGCTTTAATGCCGTCATTTGCCTACGATTATGCCATCTTTTGAAGTGACTATCGCGCATTCTTCTGATCAAACCCTTTTGGCTGTCCTCACATTGACTTTGGGTCCTTGCTGTCACCTCTATTAGAGTTCGCAGAAAGCTCTGCTGCCAGATTTCAGTTCAATAAATTCACCTTTTACTCCCTTGTCTCGCAGTGGAGCTTCCCTCCCTCACCACGCTCGGGCATCCACCCCAGAGATCGCTTGTTGTGGTGCCATCGCCCCCCCAGCCTGCCTCAATTTCTTTCAACAGTTGCCCTCGTAACACATTCACGGATTTGCCATCTTTTGCATCTTCTTGCCAGACGGGATTTGTTGTGTTGAGCTTGCCATTACAGCTCTGCGACCTCTCGCCTTTAATTTTCGACCTCACATCACTCCGTCGTTGAGCTGTGAATCCTACCTGCAAGCTTCCGCTCGCTGTGGGGTAAGCTTTCGTCTGCAGGTCTCGCCCAATTGACAGACGCCGCGTACCTTGCTCTGCACACGAAGCACACGAGATCAGACCCGGCAAAATGAACGGTGAAACAGAGAAGAAGAGAGATATAAAGAACCACCTGCTTTTTGAAGTTGCAACGGAGGTTGCTAATCGAGGTACCCAATATCCCGTCGTATATCCGTAGCATGTGCTAATTCGGACCAGTGGGTGGCATCTACTCAGTGCTCAAGTCCAAAGCTCCTGTGACAACGGCAGAATATGGAGAGAGATATACGCTCATTGGCCCTCTGAACAAGAACTCGGTACGTGGGATGAACCTGTCCTGAAAGCGTTGACTGACACTCGCAGGCCGCAGTCGAAGTTGAAACTCTTGATCCCCCGCCGGGCCCTCTTCGAGAAACCATTTCATCCATGCAAGAACGTGGCATTGAGCTTATGTACGGTCGGTGGCTGATCGAGGGCGCACCAAGGGTGCTCCTTATCAATACTGGAACTGGTTACCGATGGCTGGATGAATGGAAGGGCGACCTATGGGCTGCAGCTGGCATCCCTTCCCCGGCGGGGGATCACGAAACGAACGAAGCCATCGTGTTTGGATATCTGGTCGCATGGTTCCTGGGCGAAGTAAGTGTTTAAGATGATGATCAACCACTATCGGTGCTGACGGGTTCTAGTTTATCGCTCGCGAGACCGATCGCGCAGTCATCGCCCACTTCCACGAATGGCTCTCTGGAGTGGCTCTCCCATTGACCAAGAAGCGCCAGATGGACTTGACCACCATCTTCACAACACACGCAACCCTCCTTGGTCGGTACCTCTGCGCTGGCTCTGTCGACTTTTACAATAATCTGCAATATTTCGATGTGGATGCAGAGGCAGGAAAACGTGGGATTTACCACCGCTATTGCATCGAACGAGCATCCGCTCACTCCGCCGATGTCTTCACAACCGTTTCCCACATCACCGCCTTCGAAAGCGAGCACCTGCTGAAGCGGAAACCTGACGGGGTCCTTCCCAATGGCCTGAACGTCAAGAAGTTCTCCGCGGTACATGAATTCCAAAACCTTCATTCCGTACAGAAAGAAAAGATCCACGAATTCGTCCGGGGACACTTCTATGGTCGTTTGGACTTCGACCTGGACAACACGCTCTACTACTTTACTGCCGGCAGATATGAATACCGGAACAAAGGTGTGGATATGTTCATTGAGTCGTTGGCTAGATTGAATTTTCGCATGCAAAACTCGGGCAGCAAGATCACCATTGTCGCATTTTTGATCATGCCCGCACAAACGACATCTCTGTCGGTCGAGTCGCTCAAGGGTCAGGCTGTGACAAAGTCTCTGGCCGACACCGTTTCCAACATTCAGCATGGTATCGGTCGAAGGTTATTCGAAAGGGCTGTGCACTGGAAGGAAGGAGATCCTATGCCGGACGACAAGGAGCTCATCACTCCAGCCGATCGGGTCATGCTTAGACGGCGACTCTTTGCCATGAAACGTCACGGTCTTCCGCCCATTGTCACCCACAATATGGTCAATGATTCCGAGGATCCTGTCCTCAATCAATTGCGACGCGTTCAACTCTTCAACAACACCCACGACCGTGTCAAAGTCATCTTCCACCCCGAGTTCTTGAACTCGGCGAACCCAGTATTGTCTCTGGACTATGATGACTTTGTGCGAGGTACCCACCTTGGTGTCTTTGCTTCCTATTACGAGCCCTGGGGGTATACACCCGTATGTATGCCCTCACAATGCCCACACGTGGCTGACGCTAATTATTCCACAGGCTGAATGCACAGTCATGGGTGTGCCGTCCATCACCACTAACCTGTCCGGCTTCGGTTGTTATATGGAGGTGAGTGCCCAAGAAAACGAATCAGCAGCATTGCTGGAGTCAACCCCTCGAATATCTCTAATCCTTCCTCCAACGATGGCGGCTAACGTTCGCTCCAGGAGCTCATCGAGAACTCCTCTGACTACGGGATCTATATTGTGGACCGTCGAACAAAGGGTGTGGACGAGTCAGTCAACCAACTAACCGACTACATGTACGAATTCGCCAACAAATCCCGGAGGCAACGCATCAATCAACGAAATCGCACCGAGCGACTCAGCGATCTTCTAGACTGGAAGCGCATGGGCATGGAATATGTCAAGGCTCGGCAGCTTGCCTTGCGCCGCGCTTATCCTGCTTCCTTCACTGACGCGGATGAGTTCGACGATATCATTGGAGGTACCGAACAGAAGATCTCTAGACCGCTCTCAGTGCCCGGATCGCCCCGAGATCGAACCGGTATGATGACTCCGGGTGATTTTGCTTCATTACAAGAGGGCAAAGAGGGTCTAAGCACGGAGGATTACATTGCATGGAGGTTACCGTGAGTCGCGCTTTCTGCACGTCTTGCACATTAACTGACTTTGTGTCCTAGTGAGGAAGAGGAACCCGATGACTATCCGTTCCCGCTTCACCTGAAGAAGGGTTCAGGTCCGAACTCTCCGGCACCACTTGTCGGGCCCGTAAATGGTCAGTAACTGACCGATTTGAGGAAACGGCAGGTAGAAGACGGGGTTGGATACCCAGTCTGGTCGAGAATAGCGCGAGATCCCAGATCAAGCAGGAGAACGGGGCGTCAACTCTTGGCATAAGACCTGCGGTTTAGCGAAAACCGGCGGAAAGAAGACGTCGAAAATTTGAGACCAGAATCATTTGCATTATTGTGCGAAAGCATTCATGAGATTATCGGTCTAATGGGAGATGATCCTCTATTGCCATCATTTACGTTATTGCCTGCCTCTCTACAACTCTCATCCAAAACTGGGATACTCCATCTTCCTCATAGCAGCGAGTCAATCAATCAATCAATACGTCAATTCGTTTCCTCATAGCAGCGAGTCAGTCAATCGATCAACCCGTCCATCTATCCATCTATCCATCTATCTATCAATCAACCACATCAAATATCTTCCTCGGGCGAATAGTGCTCTAAAGTACTATTCCTTCTCCATCGCATCACATCTCGTCATCCCTAAATAGTGCTCCAAGTGCTATTTCTTCTCCCTCACATCTCATATCTTCATCCCTGAATAGTGCTCCAAGTACTATTTCTTCCTCATCGCATCACATCTCATCCGTCGAATAGTGCTCTGAAGTACTATTCCTTCTCCCTTACACCACATATCTTCGTCCCTCGAATAGTGCTCTAAAGTACTATTCCTTCTCCATCCATCCATCTATCAACCCATCACATCACATATCTTTCTCATTCGACTAGTGCTCTAAAGTACTATTCCTTCTCCTAACGAGGAGTATATTTTGCGATCCTCGAAACGCCCCGAGATACTTTCGAGATACGAAGTACCTCGATTCGCAAGCCACCAAAGTTTAATTCGGCAACCAGCGCTTAAGTGGCCTTCGTTTTCCAACTTTATACGCGTACCATACGCGTACCTAGGTAACATTCCTGGGCAATCTTTCTGGGCAGGGTTCCCGCCATTAATAACCCCTGCCTAGTGCCGTTTCGGGGTGGTCGATCAATTCCACCAACTCGGCAGGTTAGGGTCGCCCGCGACGAAGGAATCAGTATGGCTGAGCCTCCTTGGCTGGCCAAACGGATTCTCTAGGACTTCGATCGCGTTCTGCATAGCAGGAATGGCGGCGCTGCGAATTGTCGGCGTCATGACGCTAAATTCGCTACTGGATCCTTGGTACTGCTGCGCTCCTGGCGACCATCCGCGTCCGGATGCGGTGGACGAGGTAGTACTGGTATCGTCTGCCTGCGGATTCTCGAGTAGGTCATAGATTCCGCTCTTAGGACGACTGCTGGGTTCGGTACTGGCGAGTCGTTGGAGATCCTGGTGCAGCGGTCGAACGATCTGAAGCAAGGAATTTGCGACACGGTCCACCACGCTGCAGTTGGCGAGTATCTTGATACATTCCCGCGACTTTGCGAGGTAGCCCTGGACCTTGTCTCTCTGGTCGTACAGGAGTCGCTGGGCGGCCGCGAATAGCAGGACGCTACATGCGCTGAAGGCGTGGCCACTGCGCGGGATGGAAGTATCAGTGCTTTTGTTCCCGGAGATATATTCGGCCTTGTACTTTCACAACTTACATGCAAAGCCAACATTTGCGAAACTTGCGTTTGGTGTATCCAAGTATATCAAGGAGATCAACACACAGTTCGGCGGCCTCGACACATTCCCCCTGAATGCTCTCGCCTTGCCTGGGTGTTCCATCTAGAGTCCATCGTCTCTTCATTCGACAGTTGGCCATTTCAACCAACAGTCGCCTTTGGAGCATCATCTTTGCCCCAAGGAACGTGACGTGAACGAGAATAAGAGCACGTCGTTCCGGCTCCGAGTACCCGTTCACGTGGCCCGGGATAAGTGCATCCAGTCTCATCGAGTCTGGTAGTTGCGCTTGCCACTCACCTAATATCCTCGAATGCTTCTCCACAATGGCGAACACTACCGAACTTGACTTGTAGACGTCCAGTAGGATACCTGCCATCATGAGACCGACCGTGCATATCTCGGCCTGGATGCGGTTCTCGGTTGTCGGGTGAGGTTCGATGATCTCTTGTCTCGTAAACTGCACCTGCTTAGCCCGTGGATGTTCCTTCACCTCAAGTCACTCACCTCTGCTTCGTCGTTATTGAGATCAGGCTCATATCCGAGGCTTGAAGCTAGCCAGCTACGAAGATTAGTTCCGGCAACGCAAAAGTCACCAAAATCTACTCACCATTCCATAAAGACAAGCGACCGGTAGACTTTCCTGTATGCAATCCAGGGCAAGATATCTTGCTGTTGCAAACGCGCCCACCGAGCCAGTCTCAACCCTGAAGCTAGGACATGGTCAGCTGTCCAGATCTCGAAAATTCTGGCGATGACATACCAATCGATAGACGAGCACTCGCACGCTTTGTCATGGATGAGATAATACCGAGACACAGGATAACTCTCATGCCTCGCAGGAACTGTGACTCGATGCAGTCACTCATATAAATGGTCGCGGTATGGAATAAGGCTTCCATGGCCGCTCCGTCAAACTTATCACCATCATAATGGCTTCCAACCGCGGCTAGAGCGCAGAGTTCGCACAGAGTCGCGTTGTCGACAGCTTCGTGGGTCCGGTATACCCTATTCAAGATGTCGTCCATCTCCTGTTTCTCGTAGATATATAAGAGTGTATATGTGCAGTTAAAGTATGCTCTGATGCCATATAAGATCAAGTTTTCCGGCGGCAGGTCATTGACGGTGTAGACCCGTGCAGCCTGGTCATAGATTAGCTTGCAGGACACGGACAGCCTTACAACTCCAATGACAGGCATCGGCTCACGTCTAGCCCTCGTACAACAATGGGCAGCAACTACATTATCTTTCAGGCCGTTCAGCGCAGACAGATTTCTACTTACCTGAGTATTGAACTCGACATCTTTTTCCCGAGCCTGTGTCCATTCGGCCAACCCATCGCTGCCTGGAGATTGAGGTGGATTAGTCCTCATCCTTCTCAGCAACTCGTAAGCCTCCTCGTCCGAGCCGTGCGTCAAGGTGTTGATAGTGCTTTCAAACTTGCGGACCCTCTCCTGTAAAGCATCCGTCTCGTTCGCCCTCAGTTTGCCTCTCCGGCGGTCGACGTCGGAGTAGACGCACAGGGTTCCTCGCCCTACACAGGCGGAACAAGTGGGATGGGCGTTATCACACTAAAAGGGTTCAAAGTCATCTCTTTGCCTAATGTGGACGGGTCTCGGACCAACCTTTGACCGCTTGGCACGACAGGGTTGGCAAGCCTGTGTAACATATTTCCTAGCCTCGGGCGACGTGGTCTCCCCTGAACTGGAAGGCTGAGCGACTGAGGGCTGCGACGAGGTCGATGCTTCGGAGACATTGGACGGGGACAGACCGGTCCTCTGTGACATGGTGGGCTAAATGGACGTATATCAAAGGTTCCTGGGACGATGCAGAGCAGGGGTGTTTGGTGATGGCTGGGACAGAAGAGCTGAACGCGGACCTGAATTGACAGGACAGGGGACTGTTTCGCCTCGCCTCTCGAGGAATTGGAATTACGAGAGGCCAGTCACAGAAGGGTCAAGGTGTGGCCTGTACCCATTCTGCAGGAGATGCAGTCCATCCCTGTCTGCTCCAGGTCCACTGGCCAAAGCGTCCCGAGGGAGGGACGTTCCAGCCTGGAGAGAGAGTAAAGTTCGGATTCGCCTGGCCGTTCAGCTGGAATGGGCTGGCAGATAGTGTAGGGTCGCCAGGGTGGATAGTACGGACAGAACGGAGTAACAAGTCTGTGTGGTGTCACCGTGCACCGTGGCGGGGTCGTATTCTTTTTGGGGAGCGGGGATGGCCGCCTGGGTGCCGCCAAGGTGCCGCCCAAAATGGTCGCTTAGAATCTGTACTGGTAGGAAAACCTATGCTTGCCCTATGCCCAATGGCGCCCGCAGCCTACTAGCCTGGTCACTAGACCCCTCTAGGCGGAATCTAATACGGGCCACTAAGTACTGGGTAGGCTACTCCCCCCCCAAAACGGCAGTGGGCGAGGCTACTAACTCAATTTTTTCCGCTGAAATTTCTCTCCAAATTCCATCCTCACCGCACCCGCGCACCCAGACGGCGGACACAATGGGTGTAGGACGCCGTATGAAGAAGCAAGGTCCCCCAGCGACTCTCGAGGAACTGGGGATCAGTTTGAAGCGCAAGTCAACCACCCAAGAGCCCGACAAACCCTCCCGAAAACGAAGGAAGTCGGACGAGAAACCGCCCGTGTCTGTGAATGCCTCAAAGAAACTCGTCAACCTCGACCGGGCCTTTCGGAATGACACTGTTACGGCGCCGGCTAAGACAAATGCGAAGAGGAAAGCCAAATTTGTCAACAACGATGCACAAATAACCGTCCCTCCTTCCATACCTGCTGCTTCCGAGGGGGTGGATGGGGACGAGGAGGACGCAGGCGAAGAGAGCGATCTCAATGCTACCGAAGTTGCACTGAATACTGTCTCTTCATCTGGCCTGGAGGACGAAGGCGAAGACGAGGATGACGAACTGGTGCAGGCAGACCTCGATGGTGAAATTTCTGACGACTCCGTCTTCGACTCGGACCAAGAAGAACGACCGCGCCGCATGTTTTCCGACGACGAGGGCGAATCTGACGCCGAAGCAAAACTCACTGCTGCTAACATCGAAGGCCTTTCGCGAAAACTTGACCAAAAACAGGCAAAAGAGGACGCAGAAGCGCAGCAAGAGTTGGAAGACGCAGCGCTACAGACAAATATTGCCAAAGACGACGGTGTGCTGGATTCGGTGACCTCGCAGGGCCTTGCTCCCGATCTATCCATCATTCGCACGAGAATGACTGAGACCATCCGTATCTTGGGCAATTTCTCACAGCTGGCCGACAAAGCCAAATCGCGAACTGACTACACCGAGCAGCTGCTCTCCGACATCTGCGTATACTATGGCTATACCCGATTTCTAGCCGAAAAGCTGTTCGCGCTCTTTACCCCGGCCGAAGCATTTGCCTTCTTTGAAGCCAACGAAACACCTCGGCCGGTCGTCCTCCGCACAAATACCCTGCGCACAAATCGGCGTACGCTTGCCCAAGCATTGATCAATCGAGGAGTTGTCTTGGAGCCGGTCGGGAAATGGTCCAAAGTCGGTCTTCAGGTTTTCGAGGCACCTGTACCGCTAGGTGCAACGCCCGAGTATCTCGCCGGGCATTATATCCTTCAAGCCGCTTCGTCATTCCTCCCAGTGATGGCCCTTGCCCCTCAACCCAATGAGCGCATTCTAGACATGGCTGCTGCTCCAGGCGGAAAGACCACCTATATTTCGGCTTTGATGCGGAATACCGGCGTGGTGTTTGCCAACGACGCCAACCGCCAGCGAGCCAAAGGTCTTATCGGTAACATCCACCGACTTGGATGCAAAAACACCATTGTCTGTAATTATGATGCACAAAAAGCTTTTCCCAAAGTCCTCGGCGGTTTCGATCGTGTTCTACTAGATGCACCCTGCTCAGGTACGGGTGTCATCGGCAAAGATCCCAGTGTGAAGACGTCCAAAAACGAACGTGATTTCCTGGCTCTGCCACACTTGCAGAAACAACTTCTCCTGGCAGCCATTGACTCGACAGACCACAACAGCAAAACGGGTGGCTATATTGTCTATTCCACCTGCTCAGTCACCGTTGAAGAGAATGAGGGTGTGGTCCAATACATCTTGAGGAAACGACCGAATGTCAAAATCGTCGATACGGGACTGGGCAATTTTGGATCCGAAGGGTTCACGAAATACATGAACAAGAAGTTCGACGACAGGATGAAATTGACGAGACGGTACTTCCCTCATCGAGAGAATGTGGACGGGTTCTTTGTGTGCAAGTTGAAGAAAACGGGGCCTACGCCGAAGAACGTGGGCAAGATGAACGGAGTTGACGAATCAGAGTCGGCCACAATCGTCAACGGAGATGGAAAACCAACTGCCAATGGTGTTGGGGGTGAGGAGCTGGCGGTCGTTGCGCATGATGATTTCGGCGGGTTCAATGACGAGGAAGACAAGGAACTCATTGAGCGGGCAGAGAAGAAATGGCTGAAAGCCAGAGGGCTGGACCCGAGAGTTGCGGATCGCGAAAAGCAGGGACAGAGCAAGGAGAAGCAGCAAAGGAAAGTTGGCGTCGAGGTCAAGCAGAAGGGCAGGAAGGCAAAGGAGAAGGTGAAGGCGAAGAAATGAGGCATTTCACCTCAAGGGCATCTATTTCTAGGAGAAACCTCGAGGAATACAAGTCCTTGGATCTGCCAGGCCTAGTCCTATTATCAGTCGCTTGTGCCTCCTGAGACGCCATTCAAAAGGTGCCCATGCCAGATGGACTCCGATAGAAAAATTTTGTCTCACAAGGGGCGCTGGCAACGCTATATTAAGTGTTCCAAAAGAGAGCCTCGCAGCCAGCAGTTTATTTCTCTCTATCAACTCGGTTCACTAGAATCAGATAGTCCACTGTTAGCATGAAGTCCTCGTAGGTATTTTGAGTCTTGGGAGGGAAAGACCCCCAAAGTAAAAGTGTTGGAAATATAGCAGCGCGACCTCCATTTTCACCGACCCTCCATTCCGCTGAGGTTAAGAAAGACGGTAACCGTTGGAACGGCCAAAAAAAAAGGGGCAGGAATGAACTACTTACTCGTCGTCAACTTCCAAATCACGCCGCCCGCTATTGCCGTCGCCGCCACGATCACGAACAGGACGGTGCACGCCATACGCAGGAGACGTCTGTGGCGGAAGACCAAGATACGCCAGGACTTCAGAGGAGATTGGTCATGCCATTCGACATAGGGGCCGTGTTGGTAGGGATGACATAGTTCCTGGCTTGGCTGGGCCGGGTCTACAGTACCGGATTCGAGTTTCGGGGGTGTTGGGAATGAAGAAGGGCTATCGCACGGACTTGATAGGTTTGCTGTGAAAGAAGATGTCTGGACTGGTTTGGAGAGAGTTTGAGGCTCTCGATGGAAATCGCGGAGCCGGCTCTGGTCGATCGCGCGTTCAAAGCTGTCCATTGCCCTGACTCTGTCTGGTGAAGGGCCGGAACATGTTTCCATGCTCAACGTGGAGGACTGGGGGCCTGGGCGATTTTTGCCTCGGGGTGAGAGGCGCATGAGGGGCAGATGGAGAATGGTGCAGGAGTCGTAGGGGTCTTTCGTGTCCGCAAATGCTAGCAGAGGTAATGAGCAGCGGATTCGCCTGGGTAGTAGCTCCATGTTGCAAGGCGAGCCTTGCCACTCCCTTCCTCCCAGTGGAATCAAGGAGGTCCGCAAATGTTCCGGACATGACGCAAAGACATCGTCTGAGAACCTATCAGCTCGGGCGCAGTCGCCGGGCGTTAGCAGACGGTAGACACAAGGTGGCGGAATTGCGAGTGGTGAGAGGAGAATCGTCGGACGAAGATTTGGTAGGGAGGTTTTCGGTCGAGGCGGCCGCAGAGGAGGTGTGCATGGCGGCAGAGTTTGAGGCGAAATTACGTCGAAGCAGTTGAGCGATGACGGCGGAGACCGTTTTGGCGTACTCGGGCACCTAGGACTGGAAGCCGGCTTGGAAGGAGACTGTGTAGGTGCTGTGGACGCTGTTATTGACAAGGCTCTCGGCGACATTCTGGCAAGACACAAGTGGCGGCCGATTGGTATCTGTTCGAACGCGGTGCATAACTGGGCTCTTCCTGCTGATTAGAAGCATTGTGAAGAAAGGAAGTCTGCGTAGTTACAAAAGGGATAGGTGGACGAGATTTGCACTCCATCTTGGTAGAATGGATGGGCACCACAGAACAACAGCAAGCGAATAATGTGCAACGAGTCCGCGGACGAAAGACGAGACAGCCAGACAACCGAGAGCAATCGGTTGGTAACACGGCATCGAACCTTTGCTGCCTTCAGATTGGTGCCACGAAGTCAAGGGCTGGTAGCATGGCCGGTGTCGATCTCGACTGGCAGTTAGCGGGTCGAAGAACGGTGTTGCAGAAGTTGTGGAAGGGCTTCTTTTCGTCCTCGCCGTTTGCTCAACGGGCGCGTTTCAGTGTGTCTTGGTTTCGCAGCTGTGATCTCGGTCTGGGTGGTTGCAGAGTAGCGATGACTGTCCTGCAATGCACGGTATGACCCCGGCAATTGAGGAGGGACACATAATTTATTTTTCCTTGCAGCAGATGTCACCAGCTAGGAGAGGACAGCCTTGTGGAAGCTGACATCCTGCTCGTGTGGTCAGAAGCTTGCACCCCGTTGTATGAGCCGACTTTCCCAATCCAGTCTCTGATTTAAAGATGCGCCACGAACGGGGGAGGTGTGTGCCGACTTCCATATCCTGCCACTCCGCATAAAGATGAACAACAGGAAACGAGGCAAGGGGATGTGGTCATGGAGGTGGATATGAGATAACTCGGCACTCCAGATTTGAAAGGCCAACCTGCTGGGGAGAAGATGGTCAGCCCACACACACGATCAGGTCAGCCAGCGGATGGTTCCGTCCTGTTTAATAATGAGTTTTGACAGACGGTCGGGAGTGTCAGAAGAGCGAACTTGATCGTCACGCCACAGAAAGAGCATAATCATGAGCGAGTTTGCAGGCCGAAGATATTAAATCGAGGTGGATGATAGAAAAAGAAGCGAGTGCGCGTCCCGAAGCTGGAGCCGATGGGAGGTGAATAGACGACCTCTAACCTGGAGCCGTAGCTTGCATCCGAGTTCCAAGCGGCGTTACTGCGCTAGCTGGCTTGGGCAAGGCCAATGCTGTTAGCTCGGGCAGCCTAGCCCGCCTCGGGCTAGTGAGGCTTAGGGAGGCGAGCATTAAGGGCAAGGGCCCTGAGTATGGCAACAGGCGGCACGGGATCCGATGCAGGGAGTGTTCGGGGCGGGGTATTGTGGGATGCTGTGGGTTGAAACTTCGTACAATGAGGTTCGTATGATCTGTGGCCGTGGCCTCCAATGACGGCTGCGCTGACCAGTTTCGCAGGGCCGTGATCTCCACGTTCTGATGCCCATGATACCTCTCCACGAAACACTTCATGGCAATCGCCAATCCTATTTGAAGCGCGGAGATCCTCCCTCCTGCGTCGAAGGTTGGTTCTCGTCTTCCATTCTCTTCTCAATCTCACATCCAGCTCTCTCCATTAGCTTGACGCATTGCCTTCGCTGCCGTCGAACTCTGTCACAAACTCTGCTCCCCACCTCAGCTCAATCCTCAATTCCTGCCCAAGATGAACGGTGACAGCAAAACCGGCGCGTCGCGCTTTGACCCCAACTTCACACAGAATGTCATCAATGCCATGGGCCCCAAGACCTCCCCTCGCATGCGGGAAATCATGACCAGCTTGACCAGACATCTCCACGACTTTGCTCGAGAGGTTGAATTGACAGTGGACGAGTGGGCCGAGGGTGTCCAATTGATCAATTGGGCGGGCCAAATGAGCAACGACAGAAGAAATGAAGGTCAACTGGTGTGCGATGTGGTCGGCTTGGAGACGTAGGCCACCCTCTACATTGTCTCCGCAAAGACCATGCTGACTGCGGCAGACTCGTGGATGAAATCACATACAAGAAAGCTGCCGAAGCTGCCGACCTGGCTACTCAGAGCGCCATTCTCGGACCCTTCTTCCAGACCGACCACACAATTCGAAAGAAGGGCGAGAGTATCTCCACCAATACTCCAGAGGATGCCGAAGTTGTATACCTGTATGGCCGGGTGGTGGATGCGACCACCAAGAAACCGTTGGCCAATGCTTCAGTTGATGTTTGGGAGGCGTCCACAAATGGTCGGCTTTGTCAATATTAGGTGGTCCGGAAGAGAGAGCTGACAGAGACCTGGCAGGATTGTACGAGCAGCAGGACGAGAATCAACCCAAGTCGAACCTTTGCGGTAAGTTCTACACGGACGAAAACGGAGAGTACGGTTTCTACTGCCTGAGGCCGACCCCGTACCCGATTCCATACGACGGGCCAGCCGGCAAACTGCTGCAACTGCTCGACAGACATCCGTACCGACCAGCACACATCCACTTCATTGTGAGTATTTATCCTGTGTTTCCAACGACTACCAGTTGACGTACGTGCAGGTATTGGCCGAGGGCTACAAGCCCATCACGACCCAAATATTTGACAAGGACAGCAAGTATCTTGATGATGATTCCGTCTTTGCTGTCAAGGATTCTCTAATCGTCGAATTCGTGGCCCGGCAAGGCGACGAGAAGGCCAAGAAGGAACTGAAATATGACATTTTGATGGCGCCATTGAGCTCCAAAGGAGAATCTGGTGAAGCGCTGGTGACCGAGGGCATGGGCCGCGGCTTTTGAAGATGGCGACGGGGCTGACCATGTTGGTTTATGATGAGCAATTCTTGTATAAATGAAGACTTTCAGTCCCAATTCAAAATGCATCTACCTACATACAGCTAACCCCCCTGCTGGCCCCTGCCACTGGGGTGTCCGGAAACTGTCCGCTTTACTTTTACGCCTCACGCGATTGGGCCTTCCCCGCGAACCTTGACTCAGGCGACTGTCCAGACTCCATCCTCGGCGAAAGGCAGGTTGCCTCGCTAGCCAAAAAATCTGGGCAGTGAGGGGCGCCGCACTAGCCCACCAGCCCGAATTTAGGGGGCGAGGTCGCGCCGCCCTTCCCCCACAACTTTTCTCACGTCCGCTTCCGACGCTTCCCAGCTGATCACCAAAACTTCGATTTCCCAAACTCCACGAGGTGCTGCATCCGATTTCTCTCGCCCATCTGTACCCATCACACATCCGGAAAGCGACCCCTGAGTCATCGAACGCGACGACGCAAGGCTACAAGGCTGACTGTCTGGCCCTCTGAGCATGTCATGCCTCGTCCACGCGTGAAGGATGAAGACCGAAAACGAGTGGCGCGGGCCTGTGACACCTGCAAGCGGCGCAAGGAGAAGTGCGACGGCAATAGACCCTGTTTGCTCTGCAAGCGGCGTTGCCGCGAGGATGAATGCATCTTTACAGAGGCCTACTCCAAGCGAGGTTCACAGCGCCAGAGCAGCACTGCGTCGTCCCATCCCATTACCCTCAAGGATGCTCTGAACGAGTCCAACGATGCCGAGATCGCCATCGAATCGCTACTGACACTGTCCGGTTCGAGAAGCGCTCCAAAATCTCCCCAGTACGATAAAGACCAGGACGCACTCGTGTCGAGAGCGCCGGTGCCGAAGCTGGCCAGACTGCTCCGCGATGGTCGCGGCAAGTTCATCTTTGTAGGCGATTCGAGCAACCTGGCATTTGTCCAGAATATCCGGCGCTTGGTCAAAGCAGAGATCGGGGAGTGTCAATTGACCTCGGATCCTCTTCGACATGCCATGTGCGAAGTCATTCCGCCGCCCAAGGCGCCGACGCCTGCACAATCGCAACATCCTAAGCCCACCTTGGCCGAGGCTCAGGATCTGATCAAGCATTATCTACTGGCGTCGAGTGGCGTAATTGACCTGTTTGACCCTGACGATATCACCCAGCATCTGTGCGCATGGACGCACGATCCCGCCGCCGAAACGGATTTCAACAGTTCCATCTATTATCTAGTCATGGCCATCGGGGCATTGACTCGCAGCGCATCCGACCTGGATCAGGCAGAGTTCTATTTCTCGCGCGGTCGAGAGATTGGGGTCTCGAGTTTCTTGGAAGATCCCAGCGTCTTGACCATCCAGGCCTATGCCCTGATCACCTTCTACATGTTGTCTGCCGTGAGAAGAAATGGCGCCTTCATGTTGCTCGGCATTGCGGTTCGAGCCGCATACGCTCTAGGGTTGCACCGAAGTGATATATCAAACTTGTTCGAGCCGAGAGAAAGGCTTGCGCGGGAGCGAGTGTGGAAGAGTTTGCGTGTCCTTGATCTCTATATGAGCGGCTCTCTGGGCCGACCGCCTGCAACGTCGGAAGTAGATGGTGGGAGTGTGTCTTGGAACCGATCGACGAGAGACTATGAAGATATCCAGATGAATGGACGCAACACCTCGGCGACCCTAAGGATATGTTTCATCTTCGAGCGGATATTGAACGAGGTTTATTGTCGTCGAGAAGTCTCTGTTCAGCTCGTGGAAAGCATCAGTCGACAATATCGAGACTGGACTATGCAGCTGCCGGCAGGCCTGCAAGCTGACAGTTTGGACCAGAAAGGCGGCTCCACTGCTCCGACCTTGAGACAGACAATTGGAATCGCTCACTTGAAGGGAGCTTATTATTGGTCGATTATTCTTTTGACCAGGCCATTTCTGATCTTCAAGGTGTCCTCAAAGATAAAAGGCCGCCCAGAGGACGAGGACAGCGCAGGAAACTCGGTCACAATGACTCTGAGTGAGGCATGTATTGACGCTGCACTGAGAAGCATCGAAATTGCGACGGATATTGTTCATACTCCGGGAGTACCTAAGCGATTGTTCATGATCACCAACAGCACATTCATATCGGCCATGGTGATCGGATTTGCCATTTTTGGTGACTTTGACAAGTCGTTTCCGTTGCTCAGCAGCATTGCCCAAGCCGAAGCTATCTTAACAATTATGGCAAAGGATGACATGTCGGCGCGTCGACACTATGAGATAACCAGCTATCTGCGCCTTGCCGCAATCGAGCATATCCGAAGGCGGGACCAGATGCAAATGCAGAAGCGAAGGCAGGACATCCACAACATTTTTGGTGACCCAATCAACAAGACAAACGGTGCCGGCTCGAGCAAAGCGACTACCGGCAATCACACCCCCAGTCAGGTTTCGGTCTCAGAAGCTGCTCAAAACAACGATAACGCGGTTCCTCTGTTTGATGCCCCGGAAGAGTCCGGTGATTCCGCGCCACCTTGGCAGCTGCGATTTGACATGCCGACTGAGAGCCGCGGCCCTGTATTGACCACCTCTGGCGTTTTGGCGTGCAATGGCGAGGATTCTGTTGATCCTATCCCACCTTTGCCGCGCACCGATTTCGGGCAGATACCAGAGGCAGATTACCTCTCACCGGAGGGTTCCGGCATACCGAGTCTCCCTTCGTACACTGAAGAATTTCCTCTCTTCTCGTTGATGACGGAGTTTGATCAACTGCAGGATCCTTTCTCGATGGTCAGGACATGAACAGCGTCAGTCAGACTTGTTGAGTTTCCCTTGACCCTGTTCGGCTACAGAGCTGGCTAAGAGCCTCGCAATCCAGGCGGAGAGAAACCACGCCCCCACCGCAACCACGAGGAGATATACCCCCGTTGAAGCGAGTGACTTGGGCAAGATGTTGAAAATATATGGGTCTAAAATCACGTCGACGGCCACCGGGGGCACCATCTCCATCAGAGTCTGGTTCAAGCTAAAATAGTCTGCCGCGGCGAACACCTGGAGTAAGAGGAAAGTTGACCCCGTGTTGGCGGTACCAACCTTGGGCTTCCGGAGAAGGAGCGCCTGACTATCGTCGGGACCGAGTTGTGCACGGCGCGCATCAGCGTATTCACTCAACGATTCCAGAAGGTCGGGAGTGGCAAAAGTATAATCCAGGGAGTGCGTGTAGAGCCAGAAGGATGTAGGTTGCTGGAAGAGTCAGCGGGGGTCATTGTGGCAGATAGGGATCGCCTACGGTTGCCAGCCAACATATGCGAAGCTCATATCGTCTTTCCGGGCAAAGGTCCTCGAGCAGGAACCAATTTTGGGTTCCCTTCGGAGAGTCTGGACGCGGGAAGCTTGCGTTGATGTGAGTTCTGACACTTGGGTATTGTTCAGATAGGCGTGTCAGAAACAGATTGTCGATACTTGCATCTTGGGGTAGATTTTTAGCCGGAGGAGCAAGGAAAATGATCTTCTCTACGTTGGCAAAGGCACAGTAAGGCCATAATAGCCACAAGACGAGGAGCTGATATGCCATTTGTGAGAGATGTGCAGGATGGTGTTGGTGCGTGGTGGAAGCACGTTTGATATTTGAGGAAGCTTCGGCCTCGGCCATCTGATTGGCTGCGACGCGAACCTGTGGAGTCGGGGGCTTGTGAGCATGTGATTGGATGAAGACAGCAGGGGACAGCAGGGGACAGGCGGTGAAAGAAAGAGAAGAAAGTAGTACTGGGTAGGAAACAGCGCGCTGTCAAGTTGTCAACAATCCACCAAAGCCACCCCACAATTACTACCGCTTGCCAACACTCCGTCTCCATCAACATTTGATTCTTCCTGCTCTTGCTCGCCGTTGCCGTCTGTAGCATCTCTCCATCTCTCCATCTCTCCATCTCACATCTTCTCCTTCATCTCCCCCTCGTGCCTTTCCTGAACCTCTTCATCATGAGAGAAGTCATCAGCTTGAATGGTACGTGAATGCCCCAAGCACGCGTTCCTGACCGACCTTCGAAGCCCCCCTGTCAAGAGAATTTGTGACAACACGCTGACCCTGCATCTGCACTCCTAGTTGGCCAGGCGGGCTGTCAAATTGCCAACTCGTGCTGGGAGGTAAACAATGATCATTATCTATGCCTTTGGACCAGCACTGATTCTTGCAGCTATATTGCCTGGAGCACGGAATCCAGGTGAGTGGTTCACCCTTTTCTTCGCTGGCTCCAACCACAAATTGACTTCAACCAGCCTGATGGATACCTCACCGAAGAACGCAAAGCCGCCGATCCCGACCAGGGCTTCAGCACCTTTTTCTCCGAGACGGGTACCGCATTGAATTTCATCCGTGGCCCTTCATCGCTGATTGTTTTGGTACAGGCAACGGCAAATATGTCCCCCGAACTATCTACTGCGATCTCGAGCCCAATGTCGTTGACGAGGTCCGGACCGGCACCTACCGCAGTCTTTTCCACCCCGAGCAGATGATCACTGGGAAAGAGGACGCTTCAAACAACTACGCTCGAGGGCACTACACCGTCGGCAAGGAGCTGATCGATCAAGTGCTCGACAAGGTCCGCCGTGTGGCTGATAACTGCAGTGGCCTTCAGGGCTTCCTTGTTTTCCATTCATTTGGTGGTGGTACTGGCTCCGGGTTCGGCGCCTTGCTGATGGAGCGTCTCTCCGTGGACTACGGCAAAAAGTGCAAACTGGAATTCTGCGTCTACCCGGCTCCCCAAGTCGCCACCTCCGTTGTTGAGCCATACAACTCGATCCTCACCACGCACACTACATTGGAGCATTCTGACTGCAGTTTCATGGTAGACAATGAAGCAATCTACGACATCTGCAGACGCAATCTAGGAATCGAGCGACCCAACTACGAAAACCTGAACAGACTCATCGCCCAAGGTGACCATCACTTCTCGCCGTTTGGCACGACCTAGCTGACCAAGAAACAGTCGTCTCCTCCATCACGGCTTCCCTCCGATTTGATGGGTCTTTGAACGTCGATCTCGCCGAGTTCCAGACCAACCTTGTGCCGTACCCACGCATCCATTTCCCTCTTGTTGCCTACGCGCCCGTCGTCTCAGCAGCCAAAGCACAACATGAGGCTCACTCAGTTCAAGAAATCTCGATGTCGTGCTTCGAACCCAACAACCAGATGGTCAAGTGCGATCCTCGCAACGGCAAATACATGGCAACATGCCTGCTCTACCGCGGAGATGTGGTTCCCAACGACGTCCATCAGGCTGTCGCTACTCTGAAGACCAAGCGTACAATTCAGTTCGTGGACTGGTGCCCGACTGGCTTCAAGATTGGTATCTGCTACCAGCCTCCCCAGATGGTGCCCAATGGTGATCTTGCCAAGGTGAACCGCGCAGTGTAAGTCGCCTTGCAATGGACATTCTTCACTCCGCTGATCGAATTGTAGATGCATGCTCTCCAACACCACTGCCATTGCTGAGGCATGGTCTGCTCTGTCTCACAAGTTCGATTTGATGTACTCCAAGCGTGCATTTGTTCACTGGTACGTTGGTGAGGGGATGGAAGAAGGTGAATTTTCCGAGGCTCGTGAGGATCTGGCAGCATTGGAAAGAGACTACGAGGAAGTGGCCAGCGACTCCATCGAGGAGGGAGACGAGGCGGAGATTGAGCATTAGTTTACACACCCTCTAGTCTTTGCACTTCTCGCTGAACATGTTGAAGACTATTGCAAAGAGTGCAGGAGCATGGGATATTTCAGTCAATCCTGGGTGCCCGTCCACGAAGAGCTGGTAGTGACATTGTGTTGTTGAAGGTAGTCTCTGTGAGACAGAACCTGGCATAGGTTGCATTAGATGTGCATAATTGACGCAGGCCATTCATCACCAGCACCACCAGCACTACCAGTCACTTGCAGACAAACCATGATTCCTTGAAGATGATTCTGGGAGAGTGTTGATGCTTAATCTTCTTTACACTAGTGAGCCTAGGTATAAAGCCGGTCACTTTCTTGGAGCTCGGAGCGACACCAAGCCCCAACCCAAGCCCTGGAGCTCACTACTGGCGCCTCCAACTCTGGAGCTCCAGGCTTGGCAGCCGCATGCTCCCTGGGCTCCTCGTTCGTCATCGCAATCCACCCCATTTCTCATCTCTCTCCATTTCTCTCTCGCATCCGTCTCGCCGCCGTAAGACTTCCAGCCATTTCCTTAGAAGCCTTCGACAACATCCTTGTATTCCTGCCAAAGACAAGTTATCCTTTTCATCAAGCTCTGTCCAGAATCACCTGCGCGCCATCTCTGTTCCTACCTGAGCGTTACCTTCGCATCTCCATGCCGTCAATGCGCGACTTCTAGAAATATCCCGATCGCACAACAATCCTATCACACCCGGTCATGGCGGAGATGATTGGATCAGCAGCTTCAGGTTCGCCACTCCTGCTCAAGCGGGTGTTTGTCCAGCTAGGCCGCTGACACGCTCAATTCCAGGGCATCCGAATCTCAACTTAACGGCCGAAGAGAAGCGAGTCTACAGCCAACTCTTGAAAGAAGCCGACCCCGATGGGTTCGGAGCTGTCTCTGGAGATGTGGCCGTCAAATTCTTCGAGCGGACGAAGTTGGCACCGGATGTGCTAGGACAGGTCAGAGCGATTGAACACTTTCTGGGCGCTGCTGTTGACTTTTCACAGATCTGGCAGATTGCCGACACTGAAAATCGAGGTTTCCTCACGCCAGCAGGCTTCGGGGTGGTGCTGCGACTTATCGGCCATGCACAAACTGGTCGTTCACCTTCGGCCCATCTTGCAACTCAGAGTACGACCCGTTGAGACCATGTGAAGACCATTCAGCTAACAATCCCAGCCGCGCCTCTCCCTCGGTTTGACACTCCCCTATCCGAGCAACCGGCTCAACACCCTCACCCCCCTCAACCCTCACAGCCCATCGTTCAACAATCGACTGGACCTCCGGCCAGCCCTACTCCAGCAGCTCCTCCTCCGATCCGTGTGCCAGCCCTGACACCAGAAAAGGTCGCTGAATATTCGACCATGTTTGAGAAATCAGGCGCGGAAAATGGATTGCTCTCAGGTTTGCTGGCGAAACAAATATTCGAAAAAGCAAGGCTGCCCAACGAGGTGCTCGGACGGATATGGGGTCTTTCCGACACACAGGGTCGGGGCTCCTTGGATGTCACCGAATTCGTGATTGCCATGCATCTCCTGGCTTCCTACAGGTCGGGACAGATGCGTGGCGTTCCTAGCACACTTCCTCCAGGCCTATACGAGGCCGCAACCCGCCGACCTGCTGTCCGCGTAGGTAGTGGATCACGCCCAGGTTCAAGTGCCATCCCTGGAGTGCCCTACAGTGCCCGTCCACAAAGTCCCATCACCAGGCAGCCACAAGTAAGCACACCGCTCTCGTTGTCTGCGCAATCGACGGGAGAGCCGTGGGCTATAACCCCAGTCGACAAAGCTCGATTCGACGGTATTTTCGCAACTGTTGACCGTCAAGGAAGAGGCTTTATCACCGGAGAGCAAGCGGTCGAATTCTTCGGCAATGCTAGGCTACCAGAAGAGATCCTAGCTCAAATTTGGGATTTAGCAGACATCAACTCCGAAGGTCAATTGAACAGGGACGAGTTTGCGGTGGCCATGTACTTGATCCGACAACAACGGGGAACAAAAGATGGACGGGGAATTCTGCCTTCTACTCTTCCCCCTGCTCTTGTCCCTCCCAGCATGCGGAAGCTACAGATTCCTCCGCCTCAGCCAACAGCCCCGGCATTCGAAAATGCCGCTCCAACAAAGCCACGCTCTGCTGCCGACGACTTGTTCGGGCTCGATGCGTTCGGTCCTGCTCCAACAGTTCCTGCAGTCGCTCCTGTTCAAGCGCCCCAGTCTACGGGGGGCACTGATGCCGGGCCCTTTGCTAATCCTCCAGGTGTTTTGACACCGCAGATGACGGCGACAACCTTCAAACCATTTGTGCCGACCAGCTCTTTTGGCCAAAGTATCATCCCTCAATCGACTGGTTCGCCTGCGCCGCAACCGAAAGCGCAACCCGATGACCTTCTCGGGGATGCGGATCCAGAGATCAGTTCAAAACTTACAAACGAGACTAGCGAACTAGGCAATCTGTCCAATCAAGTCAGCAGCCTCTCAAGGCAAATGACGGAGCTCCAAACGGATAGAAAACAAACGGAGCATGAGCTGTCTAGCGCATCGGCTCAGAAAAAGGCCTTTGAAGGTCGACTAGCTCAGCTCAGATCTCTTTACGAAAAGGAGGTCCAGGAGGTGAAAGTGCTCAAAGAACAATTGACGACCTCCAAGAATGATACCAAGCGGCTGCAGCAAGAAATGGCCATGATTGACGGCACCCACCAAGATCTTGCAACCCAACACCAGCAACTTCGTGCAGCCCTGGAATCCGATCAACGTGAAAACGCCTCGCTAAAGGAACGCATACGGCAGTTGAACCAGGAGATTGATCAGCTCAAACCGCAGCTCGAGAAGTTCAAGTCCGATGCGAGACAACAGAAAGGTTTGGTGGCCATCAACAAGAAGCAGCTAGCTACTAACGAGGCCGAACGAGATAGAATAAAGGCCGAGATCGCTGCTGCTCAAAAGGAAGCCGAAGACGCTCAGCGAGAGGCTGAAGAATCGGCTCGGCAAGCGGAAGCGTCAAAAAGGGAGTTGGAAGAAACCCGAAATATCCCAATGCCAACAGTTAAAAGCCCTCCTGTTGCAAGCCCCGCGCCATCCACAAGCTCCAATCCGTTCTTCAGGCGCACGACAGACACCTCTTTTCCACCTGCGGTCGGCGGGGGTGAGCCAAAGGACAATCAGAGTGCTTTCGACAGCATATTCGGACCATCATTTGCTGCTGCTGCTGCTGCTGCTCCCGCTCCCGCAACCTCTTTCTCTGGTCAGCCGTCAACCCCAGCTGGGCAACAAAATCTTCCGCAGCTTGATTCCCCAGTTTCTTCATCTACGCCGAGGGATGCTGTTGAGCCTCCAGCTCCACCACAGTCCCGACAGATCAGTTCGGCAGCGCTTCCTTTCCGCAGACCACTTGAGAGAGAGGATTCCATCAGTTCTTCGATCAAGGTCGCCGCGCCAGCCAGCAGACTTAGCCCCGGTGAAACCCCTCAAGCATTAACTCCCGCATCCACCGCTAGCCCTGTCGAGCACAACGATTCCACTGAAGACATCTTCACAGCTGCAGCAGCTGATGAGGAACAGGAATCTATTCGGAGAACCCTGCCTCAGCCCTCCACTGGAGAAACAGCGGTCGAAGAAACCATCGGCAAACCTTCAAGGGACCAAGTGAAGGATATCCCTGGGGCGTTTCCAGGTTCACGGTCGGACACTCCGGGCGTCGACCCAACTATTATCGCCGCCGGAGCCGGCGCTGCAGCTCTGACCGCTGGCGTAGGCGTTGCCGCAGCCACAACAAATGGCGATAGACCGACCACTGCGCAACCGTCGGCGCCCTCCGAGGCTCCCAAGCAGAATTTTGATGCCTTCTTTGGAGGACCGGCACATCAACGCTCAGTTTCTCAGAAAGCTGCCGACTTTGACTCCGCTTTTGCCGAGATGGACAAACCGCAGGGCGGAAACGAAGAATTTCCCGCCATTCAGGAACTTGGCGGCGATGATGATGATGACAGCAGTGAATATAGCGAAGATGAGACACCCATGAAGTTCGACGACGACTTCAATACAAGGTCTCCACCGCGAGAGAGCCCAAATGAAGTTAGGACGGGCAAGCAACCCGAGGTCGTGCCTGAGCCGAACAGCACACTGTCACCCCGCCCTGCCATGGCCGGCGCATTATCTAATGCTAGCTCGCTGCCAGGGGTAGAATCTCAACAATCCCCTCCCACTTATGGTGATTCAGTACCCGAGGACAACCCGACACAGTTCCCTCGAGAGTACAAGGGTTTGCTACCATCGCGAGCAGACCCTACTTCACCGCCTCCAACAGCTGGAGGTTCTACTCATCCTGGGCCTCCGCCTGGTGACATTCCACCAGCATATGGTCCGGAAGCTCAGCCAAGGAGTCCCTCTGACGGTAAGGCCACAGCACCACCACCGACAGCAGGTGTGCCATTTGACTTTGACTTGGCATTTTCAGGGGTGGGGACTGCACCAGTGGAAGATGAAGATGACGACGATGACGACGAAGGTGGCGTCTTCAGTCCCCCCAAGAATGGTGCGCCGGAGTTCGATCCTACATTCGACTCGCCTCCACGGCCTGCGCGCCAACAATTCCCTTCCGGCCCAGTCACGAACGGGGGCCCAAAGGTCGGACAGGAAGATCTTTATTCCCCGGTGATAACATCGAGTGGTCCCCAGCAAGCGCAGCCGCCGACCTCTCCTGTCTCGCATGATTGGGACGCTCTCTTCGCGCCTTTGAACGCGAACGCGAATAACAACGCTTCATCACAACCGGCAGCTGATTTCCCGCAGAGTCAGACACAGACCGCTGAAGTTTCCACACCTTCTCCCCCACAAGGACAGTCGGGCGTTTCATCTCCCACGCCCGCAATCGTCGTGCCTGCACAGACATCCCCCTCGCCACGATCAAAAGCCGAACGACCTCAGCTTGGTCGAGCGCTGAGCACGGGTACGGAACACGACGACCCGATTTTGAAGAGACTGACCGCAATGGGGTGGTCACGGGAGGAAAGCCTCGCGGCATTGGAAAAGTTTGATTATAACATTGACAAGGTGAGTTTCGCCCATTTCGCCCTTGGTTGGCCAAGGACTTGCTTCGGGAAGTCTTCATATCCTTGACTTTGAAAGATCGTGGTGAACCCTGTACTAACCAGCCATGATATGCGCAAACGCAGGCTGCGGATTACCTAACCTTCAGCTCTTAAGTCACGAGCCAGGATCTACATGCCCCCCAAGACAAGACATGGAAGATGGATGGTCGAGATTTGGAGGGTAGAGAGTCAATCGCCCGTTTGCTCCTTGCTTCTCACTGCCTTCCTTTCAACACTGCCTTTGCTGCGTGCGACGGGGGCACCAACGAGGTGTAAGGAAAGGGTACGCATGAGAAGGGCAGACAGGTCGCTAGACTCCCTTGCTCTTGCTACTCTTGCTCCGAGCAGCGAATGAGTGAGTTTGATGTGCCCTTTGCCATTCGCGAGACCTGGGGGTGGGAAGAGAAACAACAAGAAGAAAACTGTACAGCCTCCACTCGACTACCTTCTACGGTCAAACCCCAACCCCGATCTATTTGGGGCCGATTCTTTCCTCTCTCTAATCTCCTCCTTTATTCTGTGCCCTTCCCTTTTTTTTTTTTGTTTTGCCAGAAGAAGAACTGAAGCGAAAAAGATTTCTTGCCTAATCAATCAATCAATCACCCCCGAGATATAGTTTGCTATCCAAGCGCGAGCGAGCGAGACAGAGAGAGACTGAGCGAGATGCGATTTGTATCAGATCAAATTGAACCAAAAACTAAAAGCCCTAGATTCCAATCCGACTTCTAATTGCGTTTTTTTGCTTTATTTCGTACGAGAATACCTCGCGGGGCCTTGCTTGGGGTCATAGCATGCATGGTCGTTCGTATGAGGCGAAGGATTCTCGCTTCGATCCTCCCGTGAGCCAGCGAGGCAGGTACGGAGTACATACCTGCGAATCCTTAATAATAGTTACAGGCGCTGAATAAGCCCTGACAACGCCACGGGTTGCGAGCTCTGTTAAAAGGCCGCGATGGTTCGGTCGTTGCTGCGCTGGATGCTTTGATCAGCCTTACCGCCTTTCGTGCTATGCTGCAAGATGGGTGGCGCAGAGGGGAAATACAAAGGAGAGCATTGTTTGTGGAAGAGCCTTGCCTCATGCCGAAACCAAGCCACGAGCCGTGGGCCATGCACCCTGCTTCGAAGATCGCCAGTTAGATTACCGTGTACGTTCACATATGTATCCGAAGGCAACCAGCTTGGGGACCAACTCTCACTTCTTTGCCTCCTCTCAGAAGGTCATGACGACGACTTGTATGGACGACACTCAAGTTTATTGATTACTCAACTTGTCGATCGAATCTTGCCCAGTCTTTTGCATTGTTTAATTTTCCCAAAAGGGGACACACCACTTGCCAAAATCTGTGGAAGTGCGGCAAAGGGACTGCAGAGAGACCGGAGATGGACGCTTCTCCCAATCTGAAGATTCTGCAGATATTTCGCACGAGATCTGGCAGGCATCAAACAGGCCGATGAAGCTCGGCAGCACGGCCAAGAACTGACTCGACTGTTTGCAAAAATCAGATCTTAACTCTGCAATTCGTGAACGGAGGTACCCTCCCACTCAACTTCTTGCCAATAAGGAGGCCGTTAAGCCCGCAGCTGACAAAGCCTGCAGTTCTCGATGATAGGAACCACTGAGCGATGCAAAGGTTAAACTTGCTCGATTGAGTGCCCAAGGGCCACGGGCTTTGACTTTGACCCCTTATGAGATCCGAAGTGGTCGACAGCCATGTGGCTGCAAGCCAAAGTGCGCCCCGAGGCGCCCGCGCAAAGACGTGGCACGGCTTTTCTGAGGAGCGGCTTCATGAATCAACGGCGACCTTTTCGGGATGGGTTGAACCGTGTTCGAGTCTGCCAGCATCAGTACATGTACAGCCATAGCCCTTTGCCGTTTGGTGTCCTCCACAGCACTGTGCCGATGACCTGAACGGAAATGCACCCCATGTCTGTCCGGGCCATCTCCTAGTCATGAACACACAGAGAGGAGCGATGACCTGGCGTGGCCGGCGCTCCCTCCATCTCTCACGTCGTAACTCTAATCGAACCCCCGATACTGATGACGATTCGGAGAACAGCCGTTGTCCCTCTCCCTTACTCGCAGTCGAAGGTGGATACAGGATCAATCCTTTTGTTCAATACCCCGTCGCACGGGCTTCCAAGGGCGTACAATTCATGGCGGATTACTGTGAGTTCCGCGACGGCAAAATCTTTGAGATGTGCTCACCCGTCTTCTCAGATATTCAGGTATGGGCGCCTCAACAAGCACAAGCCTTCAGTGTACAAACTGGACGAAATGCGCTTCTCGCACTGGTGCTTCCGTTGGCATTTCAGAACTCGATGCTGTTTGAGGCGACCATTGCCATGACGAGAGCCGCGTGGGTGTTGAGAAGGGGATCGGAACCATTCGCCGACAAGATGCTGCTTCGACACCGAGGAGTCGCGATGAGAGAGTTGAGAGATGGTCTCATGGTTCCTAAACTGCCCAATCCAGACCTTGTATTGCTGACAATGTCCACTCTTCTCACCTTGAACGTAAGGCTTGCTGGATCCAGCACGGAACTTGCTCCAGTCTGACGACAGTTTAGTATATGATCAATGATTTAGAATCCTTTGAAGTTCATCTTCGTGCTTTGGAGAATATGTTAGCATCCACCAACCTCGAAGGTGATAGTGGGATCAGAAACTTTGTGCGAGGCAGGGTCCTGGCGTAAGAGGAATCCACCAAAAAGCATATAACTCAGGCTCATCGTTGCATAGGTTTGGAGTGCTTGCCTCGTTCTTGCAAGCTAGTCAGCCGAGTTACGCGGAGCGGATCAATGAGAAAGGCCACCGAATCAGCACATTGACGTATCCCGGCCACCCCTTTCTCCCGGACCTTTGTGCTGTCATTGCTAAACTGCCGGAGGGCTTTGCAGAAGTCGCACTGAGCCGAAGCATTGCGGTCGAAGTGATCAGTTTCCTAGTCAAGCTGACGGAACTCGTCAACTGGCTTGCAACCTCTCAGGAAGAGAGGGAGGCACAACCGAAGCCTGATATGACAATGCAGCGAGCAATTTATGATCTCCAATGCCTCTCTGCCCTGCAGCTGACTCCGATCGAGGTGCAGATATCCCGAGCATTGTTGGCCTTCTGTCTACACCTATACAATGAGATGTCGTTCCATATCCCGCTTGCGCGACCTCTTCGGCCGCTCCTAGAGACATTCAATGCGCATACCGAGATCCCTCGATACCCGTGGCTGCAACGGTGTCTGTATTGGTGCTCGATAGTCACCGCGAGTGCTTGGGACACTCAGATTGATGCTTCCCCAGAAAGGCATGTTGTTCTTGACAGCCTGATAAACCGGTTGCCAGAGGCGACATCGTGGGAAGACACAGAGGAAATGATGAGAATGTTTCTGTGGCAGGATCGGCTTGCGGATGAATGGGAGGTGTGCTGGCGTGCGGCATCGTTTAGAAAGCGCCGACAAAGGAGAGGGGCATCTCAGTTTGCGTCGGTGTCACATCTTTTTGTCGAGGGTGCCCAGAGCTCAGAAACTTCGTCATCAGACGACCGTCTCTGAAAGTCGGCAGGCCTTTGGTGGGCACCTGGTGCGTCCCCATGGCATCGAAATCGCTGGGAGGAGTAGCCTGGGAGACAAACAGGGGAAGAGATTCTGCGGACCATGGGGTTCACCTGCATTGATAATGAATGCTGGCTAGACAAGCAGGACGGACGCAATGGTGCCAATGTGAAATGAAGTGAAAGAAGAAGGCAACAACACGCCAACTTGGAGGTGAAATGCAGGGATGCAGGTGCAGTCAACCGCCCTTGCAAAACTGGCAACGGCAAGGAAATGATTGGAGGCAGGCACCCGCAGCACAATTGCCGTGGAGATCTGTTGAGATCGCAGGATCATTCTTCTCCTCTCCGCTATGCTATCTACATGAGACGCTCTTTTTTTTCAGCCATGGCCCTTACACACGCTCAGCTCCGGCCCAAGAGCGGTGCACTTGCACCTGCTTGTTCTGAGTTCTGTTCCCGCTGAATCTACCACCGAGAAAGATGTGAGAAAAGGCAAAGAAAGCTGTGATTCCGAAAAGGATGCTGTTGACTTGGTCAGTAAGGCGAAGAGGTAGGGAATTTCAACACTCACAACTCGAAGACCCCGACCACGACACTGCCTGTGGCAGACGAGCACGCGCCGAGTTCGCAAATATTGGATTGTCGCAAGCGATCAGCAACCGCGGCAAAGCCGGCCAGCCAGAAGATCGAGGTCGTGGCCTCGGCAGCGAGCATTGCGAACGGATGAGCCAGGGTTGGGAAATAGCGAGGCGTCAAGACGGTGTAGGGAACCGTGACGAGCATGGTGAAGACGGCAGTGAAGATGAAGAAGACCACACCGGCTGGGACATCGAGTGCTGGAGTATGAGTATTAAGGACGTTGGCCACTGAATCGTCTGTCAGCGCCGCCTTCAAGTGTGAGGAGACAAACTCACCGGTTGCTCCAAGTGCCATGGCAATGAAGGCCAGCACACCTTGGACGATGCGGAGGATGAGGACTGGGCTGATGAACATCTTGGATGGATTCTTGCTGCTGTTTGTGATGGTGATGGTAATGTGGACAAGGCTAGATGATGACACGTGATGACACGTGAAGGTCCTGGATGTGAGAGTTGAAGCGGTTGAAGATGATGAAACCAAACAGAGGTTCAGCAGAAAAGAAATGAATTTAAACTGATCAAGACGTCGCCGAGAGGATGAATTTGGGGGCCCGCCGAGAGAATACTATTGCAAACAAACGTGGGTACTCTGTACTAATACAACACACTCACAAACCGGCGCGGGTGTGGAAATAGAAGAATATGATATGGATTTGCACCACCGCAACAACCAAGAGACGCAGGAAAAGAAAGGGTGAGATAAGTGTTCATAAAGCGATCAGCGATCTCTGGCTGGGATCCTCATCGTTGTGCCAGACGCGAATCAGAAACGCCATGGGTGTGCAGCAAGATTGACTGTTTGAGATCTCATCAAAGAGAATGACATGCATGGACGGCTTTTGGCCGGCCAGGACGGGGAGGAAGAAGATCCTGTTTGATATTATGATAGCAGTCAGAGAAGAACAAAGAAGATGAAACAGACGAAGACGTTGAAGCTGGACGAACGAGAGGCGATGAGCAGCCTCGGCTGCAAGGCTGCGACACTCGTGATGGATGGATGCGCAAGGCTGCGTTTCAGGTGCAGCCGTGTCGCTGAGATTGATTCGACACCATACCACGACACTCAACACCAACAACACCAACACCAAACTCGTCGATTCAAGAGACGCCAGAGACACAAAGATCCTGCACCTGTCGCCGCTTCATGGGTATGTCATTGCCCGCCTTACGCGCATGTCAGGCACGTTCATCCCCAACCACTCCGCCACTATTCGTCTGTCTCTTCCCCTTTGTGATCATACCTCCCGAATACAGAATGGTAGGCAGAATCCCTACGGCGCACCAAAGTCCCATTGTCCACGTCATTGTCTTCCAGCCTGCAGCGCTTTTGACCGCGGCAGATACCAATGGTCCGAGCAGACTACCGCCGGCCCATGACACATTGAAGATGCCATAACTCCGGGCATAAGCAGACTTCCCTGCAAAGACATCCGGCTCCTGTCGCACCTTTGCGTCGCACACTTTACTGAATTCCGCCATCAATGACGTTAGGAGAAGCGCGGTTGCTATTCCTAGAAGCACCAGCAGCGCACAGAGCAAAACTGCTTGGCCGACTGTGTCATGGTCAACCAGCCGCAGCAGCACCCAGAAAGGCACCGACAGCACCAACCCGGACGCTGCAATCCAGCGTGGGCCGTATTTGTCTGTCAAATGTCCTATCCATGGACCTGCAAAGCCCGGCACAATCAAAGCCAGGAAAGCCAATCCGGCCCCAAGAGAATTCCAGCCGAAAACTTGGTTTACATACAACGGAAGAGTGGTGTCGATGGCGGTAAAGGTCATGGCCCCGACAAGATTCCCCCAAAATGCAACCTGAATACGTCGCGACTTGAGCAGAATCAGCATGGATGGTAGTTTTCGGGCAGGGCGCGTGTTGCAAGGCTCGGCGACCGCCGTATTCGCACTTTTCTCAACGATAGCGGTCGATTCTTTTCGATCCGCCAGTTCAATGTCCTGCTGCTGAGCGGGAGCAATTGAGGTAGGCTGATCTGTGGCAGTGTCTGAGTCGAGCCACCTCGCAGCGATTTTCTTCTCAATCAAGGCCAGCCGCAAAAGGATGTCGAATCCGATCACGGCAAAGGTGACTCCGAACACAGCGTAGTATCCCGACCGCTCGTATACCACACCACCAATCAGCGGAGCCACCAAGACGCCCAACGAGGTCGCAAGGCTGACATAGCCAATCGCCTGACCGGATTCCTGCTCACTCACCGTATCTGCCATGAGAGCCAAGGCGACCACCCACACCACCGCCGCCGACACACCTTGCAGCAACCTTCCCACTACCAGCACGGGGATGGTCTTGCCCACGCACAGCATCAAAGTTGATCCAGTGAGGAGGACGAGTCCCGCGAGGAACGGTCCACGGCGAGAGCTCGTCCGGTCGGCCATGATGCCACAAATGGGGGCGAAGAATAGCAACGCAGCGGCATATACGGAGAGCAGGACGGAAACCCAACGCTGCGTATCTGCGTGGGCCACGTGAACCCGTTGTTGGAGGGCGAAGGGAATGACGGGCACGACGACTCCGTAGAGGAATACATCCTGGCACATGATGGTGAGCAGCGGTAAGGCAACGCATAAATGGCTAACAGACACCTACAGTGAAGACAGACCAGCAGACAGCGAATACGATGAAGACCTTGGACGAGCGGAATTCGAGAAAGGCTGGCCTCCTTCCACGCAAGGGAATTATTCGTTCGAGTATGGCATGGATGTTGTTGTTCAGCCCCATTGCCATGGGGGTGTGGTGATGAACGCCTTGATTGCTTTGCCCTTTTTTTTTTTTTGGTTCTTCCCGGGGAGTTCCAGAAGAAGAAAGGATTCAAGGCCAGCTTGGGGGCCAGGAAGTTAGCAACTTGGCTGATGAGGTCGATGAGACATCGTCATGGATCTAGAAGCTCGTGTTGCTGCTCCCTTTCGTGTAGTCTACTTGACCATCTGGGTTTTTTTTATCTTGGTGCCCCTTGGCTTCGCTTAGATAAGTTCACGTCGTTCTCCGACCCGGAGCCGAAGATTTTGGCGTTTGAAGGATCCTCAGCCTCGGATATCAGCATCACCACTTTGGCTGCAGACAGAAACCCATTCCTCGTTGCAGTAAGTTGCAGTAAGTTGCATGTCCGCTGCATGTTTGTATACCTACATCCATGATTTCCCGCCTTTCATGTCAGGTACCAAGCCTTGTCAGCTCACCGGCACATCGCCTAATCGTGTTGGGACAAGGCTGCTCGCGTTTCCAATGCTACAATAAAGTTCTCCAGTCTCGCACTCTAGCCTTTGCTCGGCTGAGTCACCACTGAAGATAGAACAAGTTGGTTGTCTTGGGGGTCTATTCCGGGGCCCTGTTGAGTTTTTCCAGACCCCGAAACGCGAGGTTGCTTAGTTGCTTCTGGCTCGAACTGACGTGGGTTGATGGTCCGATCACGCAATATTTTAGCACCGCGTCCAATGGAGTCTTTTCGAATGCGGGGAAGGATGAGAGAAGAAGAAGAAGAAAGTGAGCTGCGAGAAAGCGAGGCACATCCCTTTGGCCCCTCCAACAGCTTTTTCTTTCCTTGCACGCGATCTTCAGAAGCTCCTCTGCTAGGGTTACCTCGTATATTCCTTACTCCCTGGCTTCTCTGTGCCTCCGTGGCTAGGTGGAGAGCTCTCTGTGGCCATTGACCCGAGAAAACAATACCGGTACACTGCTCCCTCCCTCCACACACACACACACTCTCTCTCTCTCTTCCTCTTCCTCTCTACCCAGAACATATATAACTCGATCTAGCAATCCTGCCATCCTGCCATCTTAACCTCCATTACCCGGTCACTGACTAGCTTCCTCCGTCTTCAAATCCATCCCAGTTCCCTCGTGTCTGAGCTCTTATATTTTCCTCCCAAACCAAGGCAATCCCCTCCACAATGCCTTCCGACGACTGGGTTCAAAAATTCGAAACCCTTCAGGTCCACGCTGGGCACTCGCCAGATCCTGCCACCAACTCTCGCGCTGTCCCCATCTACCAATCTACCTCGTTCACCTTCAACGACAGTGCTCATGGCGCCAGGCTCTTTGGTCTGAAAGAGTTTGGGAATATCTACAGCCGGATCATGAACCCTACTGTGGATGTCTTGGAGAAAAGAATTGCGGCCCTTGAAGGGGGCATTGCTGCTGTTGCCGCTTCGTCGGGCCAATCGGCGCAGTTCATGACCATTGCAGCGCTGGCACACGCTGGTGACAACATCGTCTCGACCTCCAATCTGTACGGCGGCACGTACAATCAATTCAAGGTCATGTTTCCCCGCTTGGGTATTGACACCAAGTTCTTGACTTCGGAAAGACCCGAAGACTTCGAGGCAGCTATCGACGACAAGACCAAAGCAGTGTATGTCGAGACCATTGGTAACCCTCGGTACAACGTCCCGGACTTTGAAGCCATTGCCAAAGTCTGCAATGCCAAGGGCGTGCCTCTGGTGGTGGACAACACGTTCGGTGCAGGTGGCTACTTCTGCCAGCCGCTCAAACACGGTGCACATATCGTTGTGCACAGCACAACCAAATGGATTGGCGGCCATGGCACCTCGATTGGCGGCATGATTGTGGACTCGGGCAAGTTTGATTGGGCAGGCAACGCGAAAAGGTTTCCGCAGTTCAACGATCCCGCTCCCGGGTATCATGGCTTGAAGTTCCATGATACTTTTGGGCCTTTGGCCTTCATTATTCGAGTGCGAGTGGAGATCCTGCGTGATTTGGGATCCTGCATGTCGCCCTTCAACGCGCAGCAATTTCTGCTGGGCACCGAGACCTTGAGCTTGCGATGCGAGCGGATTGCGGAGAACGCCATGAGGCTGGCCAAGTGGCTCGAGAGGCATCCCAACGTTGCGTGGGTGTCGTATCCGGGGCTTGAGAGCCATCCCTATCATCAGCTGGCCGAAAAGTATCTGCCTCGGGGGTTTGGAGGAGTCATGTCTGTTGGGGTCAAAGGTGGCTCGGCCGCAGGATCGCAGGTGGTGGACGGATTCAAGATTATTTCCAACCTGGCCAAGTAAGTGTTCCTTTTGTTGGTTGTCCCAAGTCTGTACAGCTAATCCGAGGACAGTGTTGGAGATGCAAAGACGCTCGCCATTCATCCGTGGTCGACGACACACGAACAGCTGACGGAGCAGGAGCGGATAGACTCTGGCGTCACCGAAGACATGATCCGAATCAGTGTGGGGATTGAGCACATTGACGACATTATCCACGACTTTGAGCAGAGCTTTGCGGCCAGCGAGGCTGCGCGACCGGATGCGGAGGGCAACAAGGACAATGCAGCGGTCGGAGCGAAGCCAAGTTCTGAGGCGACTCTCAGTGGGGCAACCTGATCTTCTTGCTTGACCTTTTTGATCTCCTTTCGTTTCATGGAATGTTGCGATACAAGAAAGAGGGATCCTGACAACACATTGGATACAGGGCCGAACCTCTAGACGATGGAGTTTGAATCGCGAAGAGACCGAGGTAGACTACAGGAAAGAGGGCGTGTCTTACTGATAGAGATGCATTCTCCTGCGTCTTCTGCGGCGAAGAGAACGCGTAGAATCGAGGTGGAGGAGCTGACACTCGAGCTTGGAATTCCAGGGGAATGGGGGGCAGGGGAAGCTTTAGTTCTTGCAGCCAATCGGTGGATGTGAGACTGTCGTGATGGTTTTCATAGCAACCAGAACGAAGGCGCCGGATTTTCACATGCTTCCCAGCGCGCAACTCGGCAACCCAAGTTGCCATTTGGATACTGGGTACGAGGTATACCTATGTACGCGGGACGTATTACGAAGTATTCCGTCTGTTGTTCGTGTCCATTGCTCGGCCGAGTCTGCTCCCATGGCCCTTTTAGCTCTCTGCTATTTGCACACATTATTGCACATACTACTGACCATCTTGGTTACATGTCCGTTGGCCGGTCCACTCGTTCGGGGATATTCCATTCAGGCCCTGCGGGCCCTGGCAAAGGACTGGCTAACTCGGGGATGCCGAGGTTTGATTGTACTGGAAGCCCCGGATCGCTTGGGCTTTGGTGTTGTACCAAGTAGTACGAGGTGTTGACCAAGCCGACGCCAGGTCGCATGGCATATGATTTTCCGCCCGTATCGCGACCACATTCTGCACACCCCAAGAAAGGAGAATCAGCAGATGACACTCCCATGGCATTCCATCCACTGATCTCCGGCGGCCATTCTTCTCTTTTTGTTCCTGGCCAGGCACACGCACCAGGTTCCAAGCCCGAGCACAAGCCCGAACACAGGGCAAGATCCCTCACCCTGAATCTGGCAGTATTAAGTGAATCTGACGCCGCTCCGGCTACTTCCACCTCCAGCTCCTGTGAGTTAAAGACCCGCATGCCGTTTCCTTCATACTCCAGATTTTTCCTTCTTTCACTTCTGCTTCCTTGGATCGCAGTGGCTGCTTGACCTTTTCGTCATCCTTGTCTGCATCTCGTCCTCCCTCGTCGCCGCCATGCCTCTTCTCTCGTCCAAGCCGCTCTACGTGCAAAAGGCCGACGAGTATCACCAACCGCCTCCCAAGGCCCAGCCGTATTCCATCCCCCTCCAAGGCTCTGAGCAAGCCGGTCGCAGCCCCGTCTACCGCCATCACAAATGTCGCGATGGACTTCTCGACACCCTCGATCCTTCCACCACCACGGCCCATGAAATGTTTGAATACGCCGCCCAGAGATTTCCTCACGCCCCGTGTCTCGGGTACCGCCCCTACAACTCGTCCAAACAGGCATACGGTCCTTACGAGTGGCTCGACTACGAGACAGTCCGCAAGAGGAGGTCAGATTTCGGCGCCGGGCTGGTCGAGCTGCACGCAAGAGAAGGCATCCAGGGCGCGAACTACGGCGTTGGACTGTGGTGTCAGAACAGACCCGAATGGCAACTCACCGACCTGGCCTGCATGTCCCAGTCGCTTTATTCGGTCTCTCTGTACGATACACTAGGTCCCGACGCGTCAGAATACATCATTCAACATGCGGAATTGGCCTCGGTCGTTTGCTCTCTCCCGCATGTTCCGACACTCATTAAATTGAAGGCACGCCTCCCCAAGCTCAAAATCCTGGTCGTGCTTGATTCCCTAGAACCGGGCCCCAATGAGAAGCCGGAGTTGTCCAAGCAGCAGCTCCTCAACTCTATGGCCGAAGATGTCGGCCTCAAAATCTACTCGCTCGATACGGTGGAAAAGCTTGGAGCATCGCTGGGGAAGCCAAACAACCCGCCCAAACCATCAGACCCCATCACCATCAACTATACCTCTGGGACCACAGGTCCACCGAAAGGGGTTCTTCTCACCCACGCAATGTGCGTGGCAGCCACTTCCTCCTCGCTCGTCTCAATTGCGGTCAAGGAAAATAGCGTGGCATTGAGCTATCTGCCTCTTGCCCACATTTACGGCCGCTTGCTCGAACACACTGCGTTCTGGAGCGGGAGTCGGATCGGTTACTTCCATGGCAACATCCTCGAACTCGTCGACGACATGAAACTCTTGCGTCCCACCAACTTTGCGTCGGTGCCCAGACTATTGAATCGGTTCGGAGGAGCCATCAAGGCCAACACGGTCGAACAGCCGGGCGTCAAGGGCGCATTGAGCCGTCATATTGTACGGACGAAACTGGCGAACGCGAACCCAGACCCGAAATCGCCCGGATCCACTCCGCCAAGCCCGACCTACCGTCACGTGCTGTACGACCGCATTTGGGGTCGCAAGGTCTCGTCCGCTCTGGGCCTTGACCATGCAACAACCGTGGTCTCGGGCTCAGCACCACTTGACCCCTCGTTGCAACAATTCCTCCGCGTCGCTCTGTCGTCCAGAGTATATCAGGGATATGGACTAACAGAGACGTATGCGATCGCCTTGACCCAGCCAGTCGATGACTTCACAGTGGGCAACTGCGGCGGTGTCGTCCCCGGTGTGGAAGCGTGTCTGCTCTCCGTGCCCGACATGGAGTACAGTGTTGAAGACAAGCCTTATCCCCGCGGGGAGCTCTTACTGCGAGGTGCATGCGTGTTTACGGGATACTATAAGAACCCGGAAGAAACAGCCAAAGCATTTACGGACGATGGCTGGTTCAAGACTGGCGACATTGCTAGCGTGGATGAGCGGGGCAGATTCCGAATTATCGATCGCCGCAAGAATGTCCTGAAACTCGCTCAAGGAGAGTACATTTCCCCGGAGCGCATTGAAGGCGTGTACTTGTCTTCGTGCACGTATTTGGCGCAAGCGTTCGTGCACGGCGATTCTTCACAAACATCCCTTGTCGCGATTTTCGGCATCCAACCCGATGTCTTTGCCCCTTTTGCATCCAAGATCCTGTCTCGCGACATCTCCCCAACAGACTTTGCCGCTCTCAAGCGGGCATGCGACGAACCAAAAGTCAAAGAGGCCGTGCTCAAGGATCTGGACAAGGCCGGTCGCAGGAAGAAGTTTGCGGGGTACGAGAGAGTCAAGAGTTTTAGATTGATGCTGGAGCCCTTTACGATCGAGAACGACCTGTTGACCCCGACCTTGAAGCTGAAGAGGCCGGTCGCCGTCAAGAGGTTTAGGGCGTTGTTGGACGACTTGTACAAGGAGGACGCCGAGAGGCCGCACAAGGCCAAGTTGTAAAATTATACACGCTTGAAGTACGTGGGTATGTAGGCAGGCATAGGCAGGCAGGCAGGCACGGGTCGGCTCCGAGTGGTGGTGTACAATTGAGTCGGCGGAGAGCAGACATGTCTACTCATGTACGAGGTACCAAGCATGCATACATATATAGCTACAATCTACTGTCTGTAGCCCTTTTGTTTTCTGGCCACGGGCCACAGGCTCTAGCGCGGCTGATCTCGTCGTTTTCGCATGCATCACAAGTCATGTCCACATATCATACATCCATACATACATAAGTCCATCCATATCTAGCCACGGGCATGATGTGTCCCGGGCGGGTTGATGTCTATCCATCTCCTGCACATCCACATATCCACAGAATCCAACCGAGCCCGGCTGCTCTCTTTCGTGCTTGCGCATATATCCAATCCGGTCGACCACTGTGTATATATACTCTAGTAGTGTGGCGTCCGGCGTCCGGGACTATAACTCTCCCACGTCGACCTCCTGGCGCTCTTCTTCCTCAGCCTCGTCGACAACATCAAACATACCTCCGTAATTCTTTACTTCGTCGTCTTCTCCCCCAATCCCCATGTTCTTTGTCGTCCCCTCGTCCGGCGCATGCCACTGGCCATGTTCATCCCACAACCCCACGCGTGAGTAAAGCCCCGTCTGGGATCCGCTCATCCACGCGAACCTGAAGAACTCGGGTTCCAGGGAATCGTCCGTGTCACCTCTTTCCCGCCGTCTCTTCAACATTACCCCCTCTTGGTCCCAGAAGAGTTCTTCGTCCGTGTACCCGCGCCAGCGTTCGACGTCGTTGATCAGGATGCTCACGCCATCCACCCCACTGTCCCGCGGCAGGGGCCCCCAGTTGAATGTGATATTGGAGATGTCTGGTGCAACAAGGGCCGTCACGTTGGGCGATTTCGCGCCCCACCACGACCCCGGGGAGCCGCTGCCACCGCCCGAATTCGCTTCGCCCAGCGCCGCGGGCGTTTGAATTATAGACGCAAACCCCCAGCGCGCGATGCCGTTGATGAATAGTCCCAGCAATAACCCCTGGTAGGCAAGGCAGGCCCGCGTCTGGGTGAATGTTCCTGGCATGAACAGCATCGCTAAAATGTAATGATGGATCCGCAGTCGGAGGTTGGGTAGCACAAGGAGGATGACCAATGCGAGAGCCATGGCCCCGTAGATGGCGAGGTATTTCGGCATGTTGCCCGAGATGCGAATGAAATGGATCTGGGAGATGACGATGACGAGGATGATGGTGACAATGAGGGCAAGAGCGAAGGGTGCGCCCGGTTGTGCCATGTCGCGTGGCGTGAGCCGTTCTATGGGTATGAGGGGAGCGAATGTATAGTTGTTCAACGCGCCGATGAAGCAGAATCCCAAATACAGGACCGTCTTCTCGATTTGTGCAGTCAGGCCGCGGAGCAGTGGAAGAGCGGAGATGCGATAGAGGATGACTGCGATGAATGACGCGGGAAGGAGACGTTCCACCAACTTACTGACTGCTTCGTAAAAGTTGGCGGTGTTGGGTGGATCCGAGACCAGGCCGACGTGGAAGAACATGATCACAAAGGTGCTGAAGAAGAAGACAGCGGGCGATGTCGTGAAGATGGATAGGACCACGAGTGCGACGGCCGTGACCACGAAAAGAGGCCATCGCGAATCCGTCGGACATGTCGCTTGAGTGGGCGAGAGGCGTTGAAAGGTGAACGATCGAGGGAATGTGCCGGGGAAGCTCGTACTTTCAATTCCATTGGCCTGGCTGGATGGGAAGTGTGTGTGAGACCCGATGAGCGTGGCGACGCCGCAACCGCCATTGGCTTCCGTAACGATGCCGGCATGAATGGCCGCCTGACAGATGAAACTATCTGCTCGATAGACAGGCATTGAGTCAGGCTCGTCGGGTTTGGGCCCGCCGACGACCAGCCCTTGATACCGCAGAGATTGATTGCCAACCATGTGTTCTTCTAGCAAATGAGTGCCTTTGCAATTCGCAGGACATCGGAAGGTCAAATGTGCCGAAGAGAAAGGTCGACACATGTTCCCGTTCAATCCGCATCCATTGCCTTCGTTCCAGAAACTGGCGCCGCACCACAGATTGCTGGGCTTGCCGTATCCCTTGATGAACCCGGATGTAGAGTGATTCTTGAGCATGAGCGACCAGGTCAGAAACCAGCAGATGTATAGTGCCACGAGGAGAATGACCCGCTGCTTCTTCTTGGGAACGTATTTGTCCAAAAGCCTAATAGGTGCCTGTTGGATCTTGGGGTATATAGGCTCTATCTTCAGGACTCGAGGAGGAACTGGCCCCTTGACCCAGATTGCGACTGCCCTGCCTGCTTTTCGGAGAGGCAAGGGTACCCATTTGTATCTGAAGGAACTGGCGGATTCTCGCAGCCACACAGGGATGGGGAGCGCAGTCGTGGAGGGTGATTCCGGGGTGGATTGGATGTGCAATTGTGGACTTTGGGCGCCGATTTCCGACTCTTCATCCACGAGAGGAAGGGTTTCAGAAGCGGGATCTTCTTCGTTGTCGCGGTATTGAACCATCTTCAGGGCGAGAGGAGAATATGATCAGGAGGGGGAGAAGTTGCTGAAGTTGCTACACAGAAGCGATACTGCAGCAGTTATCCAAAAGCAAACATCAGGTAGAAGACGGGAAATTGAACAGCAACGCAAGCCAGCGGACGCGCAAACAATCCAATGCCAATCATAAATGAAACGTGTAACTGCGGATGAGAAGCGAGTGAAGCGAATGAAGCGAGTTGGATGGGCAGCCGTTGCTTGCCGGTGCTGACATGGCGACGACGCCTGCGACTCACCCAGCGGGGGCCTAGCGAGCCGGTTTTAAAACTACTGTCACCCTCCGTCTCCTTCAGCCCCAGCACCAAGGTGAGAGAACACGAATTACTCCATGTAGGGCCAACAATGCTCCTTGAAACCAGTGACAGGAAACAAAGAATCGCAACCCTCTTCCTCACCATGACGCGTATTATCGATAAGGCGCGAGCCTCGGTCGATGCGCGGTCGGAGCGCGGTTCATCGTAACTTTCTTGAATTCGGCTGGCCAGGGGTCAACCCCCGAATTGACTCTTGAGCAAGACTGCTACAGACACTACGCACCGGCGAAGGTCGACGACAGGAGATGCGCCGCCTACATACTTACCTCCTAAGTCAAGGTGAGATATTATCATTGAAAATGGCACCTGCTTGTCTGCCTTCGCCTACGACCTGGCTCAAGGCGTTGTCGAGTCGAAGTTGATCGCTCCGATGACCTTCAGGATGATGGTCCGTTCTCACTCCGCGGGCTGTTGGGATGATCTGCTCATACTTCTTGATACGGGCTTGGCCTTGGAGATGTCTCTTGAGATCTTCTCCTCGTCAAAAGGGTTTCCGCCAGGCGTCGGACATGGGGGGTCTCTCGCCGCAGTGTACTTGCTTCATGTGTCGATCTACATCCGGCTGGCGGTGGGCGCTGAAATCACATCCAGTGAAGGAACATTTGAAGTCTTGCTTGTGAGTTTCTCAATGTCGGCTAGAAAGATTAGCAATGATTCGCTTCATGGCTGCCTCCTATTTCCGAGCTGACTTGGTGAGAGTACTTAGTTATAGTCACGTTGGCGGTCGAATTGCGGGCAATGAGCGACTATGTTCATGATTGAGCCTTTTCCGACTTGGAGCATTTCATTTCTGGTCCTTGGTACTGTTCCAGACGGCTATCGGTGGAGTTGGGACTGCAGATAAATGGAACGCCTCCCTGTTCTTCCGTCTCTTGCAATGGCGTTATAGGTAGGGGTATCCACAAGTCATTTGGAAAGTCAGTCGAAATCAGGAAGTGAGGGAGCGGAGAGACGTCGGACGGAACGGTAAGTCGTCCCGGGTCGATGTCAAAGCTATGATCGAAGTCAAATTCTGGGCTGCTGTCGAAGTCGTTGACAGGAGTTAAGAAGTTGGGGTCAGCAGAGACTCGATACCGTCGGGTTCTAACGACTCGTGGCTGTCAGGGAAGGCAGACAACAATGACGGCTGCGAGAATTCCTTCAACGACTGGCCTCAACATATTGTGTGGAAATTACGTCTATGGCGGAGACTCTACGAGTCTCCGCTAACCAAAACCTGTTGACGCATACAGGTACTGAACAAAGAGAAGAGATATGCAAGGACGGAAGGCACGCTTGCAGAGAGGAGACGACCAGGGGACCCGGGGGAGGTGACATGGGAAAGTTGCCATGATAAAGACATGGGGTCGTGCAGGGCCGCAGATGAGGCTCGCCACAGGTTGAATCTCATTTGATCTCATGGACCAGGCAGCATGGGTGGCATGGGATGCCGCAAATCCTGCATCAGGCAACGCACATCTGAGAAAGTGACAGGTGAGAGGCCGCAAATCCCTTCAGCCACCACGCTCTCTATCACTCTTTCATCAGCGAGGAGTATCTGCCGACAAAGTATTGACCATGACCAGGACCGTGACTGTGATGGGGGTAAAAAAAAGAAAAACCGGGGTGGGCTGTGGCCTTGATTTTCGTATGATGCATCATTTTACTTGGAAAGCCACTCACACCCTGGCCACTCCAAGATAGTCTCAACTCTCGACCACGCGCCTCTTAGCCGCCCAGTTGTATGAGCTGTCGAGCAATGGCCCTCACTCCAGTCTTGTCCAGTCAAAGCACTTCGAAGTCTGCCGTGCATCGCACCGTGGGCGTGTTCCATTACTGACTGGCCGCAGGAGACAAGGACCACTCTTCGGTGGGCCTAGAACCCTCTGCCCGCACACTGCACAAGAAAAGACCCGGATACTACCCTTGGCCATGCCACATGAATGCCCTCCCAGCCCTTCTCTCCTACGTAATGTTCCACTTGCGGATTCCCCAACATGTTGCCGACAGATGTTGATATTGACGCAGTACTGTGACACTAGCCAAATCACATCCGGAATGGGCATTGTGCAGCTTACGCCGGTCGCACGTGACGGCACCTCCTTTTCGATTTTTTGTCCAGTAACCTGTTGCAAACCGAAATGCTTGTCAGCAGATGCAAAAGACCTTGCGTATGACGCAAAACGAGAAAAGCGGTTGAGCACCTCGACCATTGAGGCTGTCAAACTCAATCAGAATGTCATGCTCGCCAATCGGTTAACAGAGGATGAGGTATCCGCAGGTGGGAATCTTGATCCCTCAACGAAGCTCCCTTGTGTTGCCGATCAGACCACATGGCGTGAGATCAAATGAGCGCTGTCCATCCTGTACCATGCTATGAGAGGTGGGGGATACACAACGCAGCCAGCCGGACGTGGGCAGTGTTAAAATCCACAGGTTACAGGTATCACACAATGCACAAGGGTCTTCCTGGGGGAATCAAACAAGCGCACAAGGGTCTCGCGATTGCAACACGAGCTGGACAGACTCGGATTTGCCCTTTGCAGAAGGCCTTGGAGTATATCTCGAAGCAAACAGTGCGAATCCCTTCAAATTGACTCTACGGACGCGTCTTTTCCCCAAGATCCCTCGCATCGCTCCTCAGCCAAGATACTCTGCATTTTTCCGCCTCATGTCACTCCCTGCTGATAATCATGACGCCGGCGCCGACCAAGATCCCGAACCAGTAGGGCCGATCACGGCTTCTGGCCTTCTAGGTAGCCAGAGCTAATAACTAATGCTCCTTGCCAGGTCGCGCCCGTCGCTGCAGATGACGCGGACTCGGCGCTGGGGGAAGTGAGCTTGTCACCATCTCAACACTAAGGCCCAAGCTGATGGTGCATTCACAACGCAGGAAGATGATATCCTGTCCACGTCCTCTCTGACCTCAAGCGTCTTTGACTACATTCAGGAACATGGAAGAACCTACAATGCTTACGGCGAACGAAGTATGCTATCGAAGTGTCTGGAACGTGAAGCTAACTCTCGGCAGCGTATGTTCTTCCAAATGATGAGGTATTGAATTTCGGCCAACTACAACTTCCCCAGGTGGCGACACTAGTGTGCTGATGGAGTTTGTCCTGGCAGATAGAATTGGATCGTCTAGGTATGTTTCTGGTCCCGGGGCAGCATGTTCCATTGGATCGCTGAGGGTGTGGACGGGGTTAGATCTCCAGCATCAACTGCTCAAGATGACCTTTGGAGACCGATTGTCGACCTGTGGAGTGGAGGACAGGAGAGACTTGCATTACGTGCTCGACGTCGGTACCGGAACAGGCATCTGGTCCATTGAATATGGTAAGAGACGAACAGCATCTCCCGAGCCTGAGTGCACAGGACCACTGACAACGAGGCTGCCGAAGGGGATCTTCATCCAGAATCGATAGTGAGTTGACGCTGTCGCCATGTTTCCCACGTGAATGACAGTTGACAGAGAAAAGGTGCTCGGAGTGGACGTCAGCCCTGTGCAACCGGACTAGTAAGTCTAATCAGACCCCCGGCATTCTGTCGTTCACCACGCTTGCAGTGTTCCTCCCAACGTCAGATTTGAAGTCATGGACGTCGGGCAGCCATGGGCCTTTCACTACAGCTTCGATTTCATCTTCAGCCGATTCATGACAGGTGCAATTGCAGATTGGCGGCAGTTCATTCAGCAATGCTATGAGTACGGCGACACATATCGCGACTGCAAACTGCCTTGGTGCTGACGACGTGGGCACAGAAACCTTGCTCCAGGGGGGATGCTCGAGGTCCAGGACATATCATTCCATCTCCAGTGTGATGACGGAACACTTCCCGAGGATTCTGCTTTGGCCAGATGGGCAGCCTATATGCTTGAGGCAAGTAAGCAGCTGGGATGTCCCCTTGACAGCGTCGAGTCAGTCAAGAGAATCATGATCGAGACGGGCTTCGTCGATGTGGTGCAAAAGCCCTACTGTTGGCCAATGAGCCCCTGGGTGAAAGAAGAAAAACTGAGGAAGATCGGTGAGCTTTCGTCAATCTGGACCGGGAGTGACGGGCCGGAAAATGCTCACGGAAACCCAAATCCCATAGGACTCTGGACTTATCACAATTTCAGCGGATCGTTGTCGGGCATCAGCCTGGCGCTTTTCACGCGAGGCTTATCCTGGTCTGCAGATGAGCTCGAAGCATTTCTGGTCGATGTCAGAAAAGACATGAGGAACACGGGATATCACGCGTTCTGGCCCGTGTAAGTAAGCCATCCAGGTTTCGGATCTGTGAGATGGGCGTGACTGACGGGACTGACGGGCGAAACACCAGTTACAGCATCAGTGGGACAAAGCCCGGGTAGCCGACGAGGATGAAATGCTGTGAACCGACAGATGAGCTTGGGGAGTCGAGCGGTATTCACTAGCACATGTTTATCACCTGGGCGGCTGTAAGCGAGCGGTGGGGTGGCTACTCGTAGTACTTGCATGGGTGGTGCTGCTGGTGGCCGGAAGTATGCAGTGTTACTTAACCCATGGCCGTTGAGAAAGATGTAGAAGTTGAAGACAAATGGGGAATGGCATGTAATAGTGGTGAATAAGGCCGAGGGCCAGATGGGTCGGATCGCGATCCACGCAGCTTGGTCCCCCATGTAGCCTCTTGTCCCTTGTCCCTTGTCCCTTGTCCCTTGCCCCCGTAAAGAAATAGTGAAGAGTAACGGTCACGGCCGTCACCAATGCCACTTCACCTTGACCATCCATGACCCATGGTGTTACTGGCCGCACTACTTTTGACTACTGCACCAGACCCGTTTGGTACCCGCCCGCTCTGGCATCTGCATCTGCTGTGCAACATCCTGCCCCAGACGTGGTTGTCAGGCTTTCCCTGTCTCTCACAGCGTGGTCCGCAATAGGCCATCGGCACCGTTGCCCATCACCGAACGCACAGAGTCCGGGAAATACCTAGGTAGGGAATACGTACCGCGTACCGTACCATGCGAGATCAGATCTGAAACTCTCCCCGCGGTGAACACAGTTCGACATCACATTTATCTCTTGTACTCCCCACAGGCAAACATGCTCGCTCTCGTCTACCTTGGACTTGGGCTTGCTGTCTACTCCGTCTACTCCATTGCAAGGACCCTCTACGACTGGTATCGGCTACGACACATCCCCGGCCCCTTCTCCGCCGGCTTCTCAAAAGGATGGCTCTTCAAACACACCTGGGATGGCTCCATGTACATGGAATCGGCAGAACAGTGCTTCAAATACGGTACAACCCCCCACCATGGTGGACTGTCAAATTCACTTCTGGCTGACCTATAGCCACTAGGTTCGCTGGTTCGCATTGGTCCCAACGACCTCATCACATGTGATCCTGAGATCCTCAAAACTATGGGTGCGGCGAGATCTCCGTACCGTAGATCTGACTGGTATGACGCCCTTCGAGTCAATCGTGACAATATCCTCTCTGAGCGAAACGAGGAGAGACATGCTATGCTTCGCGCCAAAATGGCTCCTGGGGTATTTGAACAGAAACTGTTTTCCCAGCATCTGAACCCTGGTGTGCTGACGCTGTCGCTAGTATGCTGGCAAGGAGAACCCCACCCTGGAGCAGTCAATCGACGAGTGTATCGCACACCTTGTTGGCCTCATCGAACGGGATTATCTCTCCACGCCGGAAGCGTTCAAACCCATGGATTTTGCTCGCAAGGCACAATATTTGACGCTGGATATCCTTTCCGCAATTGCCTTTGGAGAAGCGTTCGGATTTCTTGAAAAGGATGAGGATGTGTTCCATTACATTCAGACAACGGAAAGCACCATCCCGGCCATGATCCTGTGTGCAGCATTTCCAGGCCTGTCCAAGATCTTCCAGTCCCCGCTGATGAAGTTTCTCATGCCCAAGGACACGGATGCGTATGGTCTGGGCAAAATCATGGGAGTCGCAAAGGAGGTGGTCGCCAAAAGATTCCAGCCGGGCGCGAAACCACAGATGGACATGCTGGGATCGTTTCTGAGACATGGTCTCTCACGAGAGGACGCCGAGACGGAGACCATGGTTCAAATCCTGGCCGGTAGCGACACCACCGCTTCAGCGATACGTGCGACCATGCTTCATATCCTCACCAACCCGCCCGTCCTGGCAAAACTGTTGGCCGAGCTTTCGTCCGCAAATATCTCGGATCCCATTCAGGACTCTGAAGCCCGCAAATTGCCATACCTGCAAGCCGTGATCAAGGAAGGCCTGCGCATTCACCCTCCCGTCACAGGTCTCCAATCGAAGTGCGTTCCCCCTGGGGGAGACACACTCAATGGATATTATGTCCCGGGCGGAACGAAGATCGGATACTGTGCGTTCGGACTGTTCCTGGACGAAGGGTTGTGGGGCCTTGATGCCAAAGTGTTCCGACCCGAGCGGTTCTTGGAAGGAACGGAGCAGGAGATCAAGCGCAAGGAGGCCAACATAGACATGGTATTTGGTTATGGGAGGTCGTCGTGTCTCGGGAAGAGCATCGCCTTCATTGAACTCAACAAGGTGTTTGCGCAGGTGAGTCGGTGACAATTGGGTTTTGGGAGATTAACTTCTAGATCAAGCGCTAACACATTTCCCTGCCGCAGCTGCTTCGGAAATTCGAGTTCACCATTGTCAACCCGCAGCATCCGTGGAAATCCTTCAGCGCCGGAGTCTTCATCGTGAGTGACATGTGGATGCGGGTCACAAGGCGAGAACCGCCAATCTGAGATACATCCCTCGCGCTATGGCCCAGACTGGCAGAGCCGCGATGGATCAAATTGAGACCATTATGACACAGGGCAGCACAGGGCTCTGTTGAAGAAGAAAAGGAAGAAGAGGAAGAAGAAGAAGAAGAAGATGATGATGATGATGATGCAAAAAGTGGGAGTCCATAAAACCAACGTGCACATACTCATGAGCTAGCAACCTAGAGTACTTTAATATTCAGCGGTACCGAATCACAATGCTGCAGATGGTTGCCCAAGTGGTCCTAACTCGTACCCAGTCAAGGCACAAACTTGGCGGTAACCGTGCATCACGGCACGTGCATAGCCTGCAACTATCCAATCAAAGGCTCTTCTCCCTCCAAGCAAAGGCTGGAGTTCAGTGTTCATGCAATGACCTGTTCTTCTCGAAGGACTGTGATGAACGGGGTGTGCTCGAAGCAATAATAGCGGAACGCAGACCCTGCAACGGGCTACTGACCGTCTACCTAGATTAGTGGGCCTAGGGGTGGGATATTAAAAACGTGCGGTTCTGCTTTGAGCTGGTTTGACTTCTGAGTCCCCCTTACGTGGTGTTTTCTCTCTGCGAGGGACAGGGAAATGAACACCGTGGTGAGGACGATGATTATGATTTCTCGTCGCATGGAAAGAATCTAAGGCTGTTTCTGTGCAGTTTACGCCGAGGCTGAAGGGAAATTAAGCCAGCCTCGCCAGATCACCTGATACCTGAGTAAAGCGGCGGGGCATACTGGGTACTCGGGTGCTGAGTAGTCCCAAATGGGTGCCAAGACTCGTGCTCTGACATGGCTGGTTGAAATATTAATAACTCCGTACGAGGTACACTTCCAGGCCTTCATCAGAATTCATTCTAAGCACATCGACCTTCGCGCCCTGGCCACGATATCTGGATCGCAAAACAAGGTGTTTATCACAAGAGAGTGTGGGAGCGCCAGAGGACCGACCGCAGAGAGAACATGGTGCTGATTAATACGGGGCGCTAGCCTCACTCCAGCAGGCAGCGGGACGGAGCTTCCGGTCAACGAACATTTCTTATCGTTATCGGAGTCGGCAGTCGGCCGAACATGGCATTGTGAAATAGTCATCAGCCAATGCAGATGAATATCCTGACTGAATTCCCTGCTGCCTCGACGTTCTCTTTTTTGACATTCAGAAATATCACCTATCTCTTGGACTGACTGCGCCGCTAGAATCGATTCATTCCGTTAGCTCGACGCCCATCACCGCAACCATGGCGACAATCAGCGACAAACCTGCGCCCAAGGACATGTCCCATCTCTACTCGCGGGTCACCAAACAGCGTGTTGCCAGCAAGATGAAGGCTTTCTATAAATACTTCTCCATTCCGGGTATCGGAAACCTTGCTGGAGGCATGTCGTCGCTTTGGTCAAGATGTTCCAGCTTCTGCTAATGGTTCCTAGGTCTCCCAAACCCTGGATACTTCCCCTACGACACATTGGAAGCATCCACGGCGCTTCCTGATCGATTCAAGCCTACGCCAAACAATCCCGTTGACCCTCCATCTCCCGAGCCTGCAAAACCGTCTCTATCAGACGCTCCAACAGCCTCGCGGGTTCTGGTCCCCCACGATTCGGCCGAGCCAAACCTCCTGCGCAAGATCGACCTGACCACTGCTCTGCAGTATGGCACCGCCCAAGGATATCCTCCTCTTTACAGCTTTATCCGAACATTCGCACAGACAAATCTTCATCCCAATGTGCCTTACAAGGACGGACCGGAGGTGATCCTGACCTGCGGCTCAACAGACGGCTTTTCGAAGGCGATTGAATGCTTCAGCAACATTTGGGACGAGGAAAGAGATTGGATCCGAGAACGTGAGGGGATCCTCTGCGAAGAGTTTGCATATATGAATGCCATTCAAGCTGCCAGGCCCCGTGGCCTCAATGTGGTCCCGGTGGCAATTGACGACGAAGGTATGATGGCTCGAGGAAAAGGCGGGCTGGAGGAGGTCCTCGCGAGCTGGGACAAGAACAGGGGAAAGAGGCCGCATTTAATGTACACGGTGACGTGAGTGCCATCTTGACGTCCCCAAGAAAATCGCACTAATAAGAGCAGGATGGGCCAGAACCCGACTTCTGGATTACTATCGGTGAAAAGGAGGAAGGAAATTTACGCCCTATGTCAAAAGTACGATATCATCATTATTGAGGATGACCCGTACTGGTACTTGCAATATCCTTCGGCAAATGAGATGTCAATGAGAACCAGGGGTAAAGTGGTGTCGGAGAACTTCCCCTCGGACTGCTCCTACAACTACAACACCGCCTCTGGTGGTAAATCCGGCGGTTTCCCGTTCTTGGACAGCCTGGTTCCTTCATATCTCTCAATCGACGTGGATGGAAGAGTCGTCCGACTAGACACTTTCAGCAAAACAGTTGCTCCAGGTTGCCGACTAGGCTGGATCACCGCCCAACCCGACGTAGTAGAGAGGATCCTGCGCATCACTGAGACAAGCACTCAACAACCTAGCGGGTTCGTTCAAAGCATGATCGCGGAACTAATCATTGGGCCCTCTGAAGAAGGCGATCCCGGCAAAGGAGGCAGCAAAGATGGTAGTGGATGGAAGGTGGACGGCTGGGTTCGATGGCTTGAAGGGTTGCGGGGCAACTATGAACGACGAATGCAGCTCATGGCTTCAACTCTCGAAGATGGAAAATACCTGATTCAAGATTCGAAGCCCAGATCGAACGCCTTTGCACCCGACGATATTGAATACGAGGTGGTGCACAAGACGCAAATGTACGACTTTGCGTATCCGATGGCTGGTATGTTTCTTTGGTTACATGCACAATTGGAAACACATCCCCTTTTCAACGAGGTCGATCATACACGACTTTCCCAGGCACTTTGGGTATTGTTCACTACGGAACCGTATCTGGTTCTGCTTGCTCCAGGGAGCATGTTCTCCCCTACGCCTGAGATCATGCAAGAGAAAGGCTGGCAATATTACCGACTCTGTTTTGCGGCGGTGGACGATGATGTGGTGCGGAAGCATACTGAAAACATCGTGGCCGCTTTCCGGCATTTCTGGACCATCGATGATGTCAAGGTCATTGACAAGCTTCTGGAAGACGACGAGGATGTACAAGCGAGGTTTGCTGAACTTGCGATGCAAAACCAGGTGAGTTTGTACAGGGCGATCTGTCTCCTATGGTTCTGAGCATGTCCTAACTAAACTTGAACAGGGACTATTTGCTGTGAATCCGATCATTTGTTGAATGTCTTAATGAAAATGAATTGACGAGAGGAGCACCCATGAGACTGTGTTGGAATACGACTGACTCTGCATGTGTATACGACACTTGGATGGATATAGCATATAGAGATGGTAGCCATTCTGACTCTGGTATCCTGCTATCGCGGATATATCAAGGCTGGGATTTTAAGCACCCAGGTATTGTATGCATCTGCCAGCTGCCTACCTAGGTGGATTACTCGCGAACGAGAACCCTAGTTGCTATACGGTTCGAATCCTGTCCAACCCAACCTGACGGGTCGAGGCATTCCTAAAAATACTGTTTCACGACCGGAATCTCGACGCCCGTCCCCCTTCCAACCCACGTGACCTCGCGCCGCTTTTACTCAGGCTGGCTCGCGTCCGGCTCAACGTCGGCTTAGGCTCGGCTGGGCCAGCTCACTCTACTGACCACGTCGGGGCGGTGGCCCAAAGGTCGTCTCTCTTCTAGACCGTTAAGTTTTAACGAGGGCCCTAAAACGAGATCCCTAGGAAAGGGTTCTCTAGAGACGTACTACGGCACGTTACTTTCTCGATCCTACGAGAACGAGTCGATCTTTATAAGCGTAATGAGTCTAGCACGACGTACGCTTATATTTCTCGCGCGAGGAAGAATTCCTAGAAATAGTTCTTTATCTCTTCTTTTAATGTCTCATTAAGTTTCTATCTTCTCTATTATCTATTCTTCTCTTCTCTTCGTATCTTTCTTTTTCTTTTTATTAAGTAACTTAATCTTTATTAATTTTTTTTACGTTCGCTAACTCGATTTTTAATATAATTTCTACTTTCTCTTCTTAGTATAGATATAAATTTTTAAAATACTCGGGAACTATTAACTATAAGTATTAAGAACGAGAAAAGAAGTTAAAAAGATCTAAATTTAAATAAGTAAATAAAGACGATATTAGAGAATAGACTCTTTAGAAATTGTGGAATATCGCCCTCTAAAGGTTTATATTAAACCTTTAGTCACGTGATTAAATACGAAGTTTAAGTTCGTATTTAGACCTAGGGTCTATGAAATCACGTGACTAGTGCGATATTAATTCCGCACTCTATTAAATGATTGGTCGTGCTTACTAATGTTGATTTGAAATCAATATTTTAAGGGTCTTAACTGTGGACACTTATTGTCTATATAAAGACCTTTACCCTCCCTAGGTAGATAGTTATCTTCAAGTTCTTTAATAGTCACTTACCTACCTATAAGGTTTACGATCTATATGAGCCTTACTATCTATACATTAGATAGTTCTCTAAGTCCTTCGAACAGAAATAAATCGGAAATCGACGAGAAGTCTATTTATATAGAACTTACTAAGAGTAGTAAACCGCGATACGAGACGATAATAGAGATTTAGAAAGCGTAGGCTATTTAAAAAGCTTTACTTAAGTCTATAAGATAAAAATTAATAAGAACTAAATATAAAAGAAAATATCCGAGGTTCGATTCTCGTAGTATAGAAGTTATAAAATACTTCGCTAAAGTAGTCGAACGCGCGACGCCTAGTAGACTAAATAAGAAAAAGAGTCTAAATAAGAATAAGAATAAGAAACGAATAACGATTAAGACGATACGAAATAAGATTCGAAAATTTATATTATAATAATAAAGAAAGACTTACCTTACTATTCTTAAAGACGTTTATAACTTAATAGCTTCTATAAATATATTAAAACGCTTTCTAAGCTAAAGCGCTTACTTATAGTTTTATTTACTAATAAGAGAAAGTATATTAAAAATATACTTAAATATAAAATTTCGCTATTCATTAAGAAGAAAGAATCTATATATTTAACGATAAAGAACTATATCGCTATAGAAGAGTTACTCTAATTAAATAATTATTATAATTATATTTATAAAGTAAGCCGAGTAGACTATAGTACTCTATTAAAGATATACTACTATATCTCTATAAGATTATAAAAAATCTATAAGATAAAGTATAAGATTTAATTCTAAGTTAAATAAGATAAAATAATATAGACGATACTAATAATATTTAATAGAATCTTCTTTATATAATTATATAGAAAGACGAAGAGCTAAAGATTAAGATACGATTTAAAAGAGAGCGTATAAAAGATATATAAGATAATCTTAATAAGTAAGTAATGAATATCGACTACTTTAAGACTTAGATTCTTATTATTTATACTTCTATCTATATATAGACTAAAGTATTCTATATATAAGAGACTAAATTTTATATCTTCTTTACTTATTAATGAGCTTTTATTTTTACTAACTATCATTATTTTAGCTCGCGTATTTAAGAACTATAATACTATCGAGACGGTCCTCGATATTAAACCGCCATTTAAAAGAAGATTTAGAATTATAGAGTGAGTAGACGTCGTTTTAAATAATTTAGTCTTTTTAGAGATATTCGTAAATAAATCGACCGAAAAAGAGAAAAATAAGTTCGCGTAAAGTTATTACATCAGCAATTTTTCCCGCGGCTCACGGCATTCTTATATGCCCAGGGAGCCCAGGGAGCCCACCGTCGCTCACAGCTCTTATATCTAGGCTATGAGCCCCTATAGACCATCTATTTTTAGTAACTTTTATAATATACTTATTATATAATATTATTAAATTTAGAAAGATCTTTTCTATTTCGGAAATAAGATTTACGCTAAAAGCGGATAACTCGCTAAGTCTTTATCTTAGTAAATACTAACGCTATTAAGCTAATAATTTAAGATTTAGTACGAAACCTTATATTTTATATATATCTACTTTAATTCTAGTATAATATAATCTTAGTTAGTACTAGTTTAAACGACTAGTATAATTATATATTCGTAAAGTTATAAATTATTATATTAGCCCAGGGCCCTCTTAGAGTAGCCCATGAGCTCTCTTAGAGTAGCCCAGCGAGCCCAGCGGTCTCATGGGCTGCGTAAGACGCAGACTTACCTTGATAGCCCAGGGCAGCCCAGGGCTCTCAGGGTCGCGCGGGAAATTTTGCCGATGTAGTGTTTCGATTAAGTAAAAAGAGCTAACTTTCTAAAAGAAATAGAATTATATACTTCTCGCCGCGAAGTACTAATTAAAGTAAACGGTAAGACGATCTTATATTGAGTTAATTTACTATATAAGAAGCTAACTCATTCGTAGATAGCGGCTACTCGCTTAGATAGATAATAAAGTTCGCCGCGTATAGAAATCTAAGAACTCTTATCGGCCACTATCTAAATAATATAAGTAACGTAAACGGTGCCGCCGTCTTTCTTAAGCTAGAACTACGGCGGAATCTTATAGAGAACTTTCGTAGTGCGTTAATAAAGAGAAATTTCGATCTCTTATAGTTAATCCTTAGTAAAAGTTTAAATAAACTAAAGTATCGTCCATAATTTATCGCTCTTTACGAATAAATTAAGAATCTCTCTCTTTAACTTATCGCTAATATTATCGAAGAGAAGTAAAAAGTACTAAAGACTAAGAGACGCTAAGTTTATAATTAGCGATAGCTACTAATAAACGAAGAGTTAAAGAACTATCGTAAATTTAAGCGGTGAGTTTAGACTACTTAAAATAAGATAGATAATTATAGAGACTAGCGTCGTAGTTATTTTAATCGTATCGTTCGCTATATAATTTCTAAACGTAACCGCTTAACCTAGACTTTATCGCTCGCTATCTCTCTACGAAGCCCTAAAGAAATCTCTACTCTCTGAGACCTTATTACTCTCTAAGCGAACGATTCTCGCGTTACTTATTAAAAAGTATTACGATTTATAGAAGATTTTTATTTAGTATCTTTTTATAACCGAAATATTAAAGAGTAAGAGATATTTCTATAAATTATTAATATCGTTTTAGTTATTAATAGATTAAATTTAGTGTTATTATTAAAGATAGATAAAAGTATATATATAAATACACTAAAGACTATTATACTAAATAGTTCGGTTTCGCCGAGTTTTATTTTTAATATAGTTATTAAATAATTAATGAGAACGATTAAAAAATCTACTACTAAACTTATATCGATAGTCTCGACGTTCTCTTTCGATACGACCCGGTCACTTTTCGCTACGCTATTATTTACACCGGGTATTATTACGGCTATCTTAGTAAAGTTAAACGTTCGGCGACTATAAGAATATAATAGTATCTAGATTAAGCGATCTAATAGCGATATATATCTAGATATATCTTAAAATATATTTATCAGGGACCTACGCCACGCAGTAGGTACAAAGAAATGGGAGTAGCTGAATACCTTATTCTATTCACGTAGTCCTATTGACAACGACTCAACGCTTAAAAAAGGAAGAGTTCTCTCTCAGCCGATTCGGGTGAGAGGAGACTCTTATAGCTTCCTCTCTTTTATCACGTGAAAAGGGTAAGGTAACGTTAATCGATAGCCTTGTGCTTCAATCATTCTTTACCTTATCCTTTTCTTTCTATACCGTCCACCCGATTCGGGTGGAGGGCGTAGAGTACTTAGGGACAACGGTGGGCTCGTAACAGTTGCCCCCCCTCCAAAAAGCGGCTCGCCCTTGAGTCGCTGCGAGTACAAAGACAGCCTTAATCCATCACATGGGCAGACCGTCTCAATTGTTAATGACGAAGACAATGACATAGCAGTTAAATAGCCATTCACTAATAATAGTAAGTGATTAAATTCCTATCTAATTTAGGTGAGATAGTCGTTTTATATTGTTACAGTAATGCGGGTGAGGTTCAATTTACTTTAGTCTTTGCTTTGGTTCTTAAGCCTTTTATTATGGCCTTCTTCGTCTCTTTCTTCCTCGTTCAGATTAAATATAAGATGTGTAAGTATTATTCACCCGGCTCGGGCGAGAGACGCTGCTAACGTGTATATAGTCTCTTATATACGAGGAAGTCCGGCTGAACACTTAGTCCTAGTTAAGCTATGGTGCCAGCCTTATTAGTAAGAATTATAAGTTTCACAATATTAGAATAATAATAGCGTACTAACGAAAGAAGCGCTTTCCGCGGCTTTA